TTTTTCACCCGGCCCAAGAGGGCGCGGTTTTCCTGTATAGTAAGTTGTTGAAGGTCCGGCACGCCCTAGGGCACAGCGGCGTAGGAATAATAATATTATTAGGTAGCGCACTTTTGTTGAAACTTACAAGTCGAATTCTTTCCCGCTTCTCCTTCGTTCACGCTGATCGTTGAAGAGAGCAAGCTATTCGCTGTGTTGATGCCAGTTAATTCTGTCAGGACAGTATTGCAGCTTGATCAATATGATCCTACATTGACCGAATCTCGCAGGATTAGGTCACAGAAGTCTAATCAACCCTCACCCGGGATGCGAAATGCTACCTCAAGCATTAACTAACGTTATCCTTATATACCCATATTTACTTACCCCTGAGCAAGCGTACCAACTCACATGTCAACCTAAAACTAGGCCATGTTGACGTTTCCTGGGATCACACTGCATTGCAATTATCAACATGGTACTTTGTCCAGGCTGCAGGGCTAGTCTGCCCAGCATTTATAGTTTGCCATTTCTAGCTGCGAACTGTAACGGTCCCAGCAGGAGGTCTAGCTGGTGACCAATCTACAAGTACACTGAACGTTGATTAGGTAGAGAAGGGAAAAGAGGCAAGAGAACTGCTTGGGAGGTGAGCATATTCCTTCTGACCAGAGGGAGGCTGCGAGTCGTGTCCCTGCCAGGGTCTCTATGGACGTCGTCAAGGGCAACGGGGACCAGAGCCGCCGAAGCCTCACATCATCGGGGCATAGCTCAGGGTGTTGATTGCGGAACAGGGGTGGCAGTAACCGTGACAGTACTGTACACCCACGACGCGACCGAGATGGTCGTGGTAAGCACTGGACTGGCCCTGAAGGAAGTGGAGTACTTGGTGACGGTCCAGAAGGAGGTGCTGATGCTCTTGACGTAGATTGTGGTCACTCCATAAGGCGGGTATGTGAAGTCTGGCTTGCCGATGGTTGGAGCTGCAGAAGTGGCGGCCCGTTCCTTAAGGTCCATAACCATGTCGGTGCTGCTGTCGGTGCCATGATGGTCGTCACGAGCAGAATCCCGTCCGGCACCAACATCATCGATAATAACCGAGTTCGACGCAGCTAACTTGGGGCCCGAGCCAGGCTGGAGAAGGCCTGCGCCGCCAGCACGGCGAACACGAGGGCCGAATTCGAGGTTCGCGCTGTTGTCGGCGCGGCCGAGACGACGGCCAGAGATGGGCGGTGGTGTAACCGTAACAGTTTCAAAACAAGTTGTCGTCCTGGTGGTAACCCTCACTGTGACCGTGGACACCTCAGTCACGGTAGTCGTTTTGGTCACAGCTGCACTGGTCGTCGGAACCAGACTTGTCTTGGCCTTGGCCGTATTGACCACATACTTGGGCGTCGAAGTGGGCGGGACGGCGATGAAGTTGTAAGGCGAAATGGAGATGCCCGCAGCCGTAGGCAAATTCCAGCTGATTGAATGGAAGCCTGTACCCATGTTCTTTCCGCGCAGGCCCTTGCATGCGAACTGGAAGTTGCCCTTGTTGATGCTGGCGACCGGGATTGGGTCGCAGGTGTAGTTATCAGTCTTGCTGGGCCACCAGGGCCAGTCATCTGATGAAGCAGATCGGGGGACATAGACGACGGGCGTGACGGAATACGCCTTGCCTGAAATCGAAGGAGGGAGGGTGCATTGAACTGTTGGGGCGGGCCGCGTTGTTTTGACCACTGCTGAACTGGTTAGTACCAGTTTCCCAGAGACTACTGGAGAAAGGAACGGGACTGGACTGACAGGAGTTCAGCCCACACGATGTAGCACCAAAATAGTTGGTGTTCGTCGGCGCATAGGCAAGTGTAGCTGGGACGTGATAGCCAGACGAGATGACGGTGGTCGGCAAAGCCGGAATGGTCAGAAAGCAGGTAGGTAGCACCATTTGGGCGACGGAAGATCCAAGGAATGACTGTAACGACTGTCTGAGATACACGAAAAGACTCAAAAGAGTGGACGCGCCACGGGTGCAAACCCAAGATTGAAATGACAAACGGAAGAGGAAATTGAGGTGCAACGACATTGACGACTCGAAATATATGAAGACTGAGATCAAGCATCGCGAGATTGCGCCCTCGCGGTGCCAAGATGTCAGACAAGGATCAGACGGAGTGGTGTCGCCCCGGACGCCCGAGCCCCTGATAGGGCTGACAGCCAGACATGGAGCCGACATGCCGACATGGTCAGCGCATTCGCATGAGTTGTTACCAGTAGAATAAGGTCCCTAGGTCATTTGTGGGTGGCGCAGGTGTCGATTTTCGTCTTCGACCATTCGACGTCATTGTCGTTGTGGGAGCCATTGAGGTAGGATACCATGGTAAAAGACGGATTCATTCACGCCATTTTCGGCCGTAAGGCGGCACCTGTTCCTCGGATGAGCATGAGGGAGAGGCGGGAAAGCCGATGAGCAGCTTGGTCCAATCCATAACGTAGCTGATGTTCCTCACGGAGCGCTCGATCGCTCCAGGTTATGATCGTTGCGAAGTGGCATGATCATGCCGGGTCGGGACAGATCAGTGCCCTCCTCATTGTCTCAGTCATCGAATTCGTTGTTGCTCGGGGAAGCCCGGGGAGCCAGGGCGGCAGCAGCCTCCGTCGTTACCGGAAGGTAATCAAGAACATTCTCGATGTCTATCCCAAGAATGAGATGCGGAAGGCTCCGGCAGAACACTGACCCAAAGACCAGCAGTACAACAGAAGTATGATGGATCGAGTCATGGCGGCGATGATTGAAGACGTCGTAGCCTGGCGGCAGGGGGAAAAGGCTTGCAGAACATAGACTTGCGAAGCCGTCAAATGACCTCAAAAGGCCGTAAAGACTGGTTACCTTAGATACTGTCAGCGTTGTAATGCAAACTGTTGTTGTCCACAGCGATGGATGATAAAGGTACCTACCTAGGTAAAACCGGCGGGGCGCAGAGCAATGTAGAACCGCGGAGATGGTTGAATTGACAAGATATGCGAATGGCTTCAACATTGAGGTAAGGGAGATTTAGTACTGCGCTTGGAAAGCGAGGGATTATGGCCTCAGGAGGGTTCGGAAACGTAGAGCAACGAAGTGATCACTAATGGAGATTGATGACATCTTCGCACCTGACCACGGCTGGCTCGTTAGTGACTTGGTCTGCAGGAGGGATAGAAGAACCTACCTGAGAGGATGGTTGTGATTACCCAGATTGAGCAAAAAGTAAACCTCGGCCGGCCCGGCCATGACAAGACCCGGAGCCTGTCTCCTGAGCATGGCTGTTAGCAGAAAGGTATTTATCATGGATGGCTCTCTTGGGAAGTATGTAACCTCAAAATCGATGTTAGAAACAGGAATATGCACCATACGGAATACAGCTTGTTGCATGCAAAGTTAAGATACGTTAAGTACCTGAAGTCCACATGCGGTCACTTGTGTTTCGAAGTGACGGCGAAGCCTCGTCGCCAACTACACAAGTGGTTTCTTCCTGAATTTGTAACCCTCAATGCCTCAAACCTTACCTGGTAGGCTAGAGAGTAACGAGACTTACTCACAGCGTCTACTCACTACCCTTCCCCTAATACTCAGGGATACTAGCAGGGTTCGAGATCAGCCTGTAATGGAAGCCAAGGTTTGTCCTTTTGCTTTATCCAGCATGGGCTAGTAGCCGCAGCTCTGTGCAGCGGTTATCGAGTTCCAGGTTGACCATCTTGTGTCATGTCTTGCGGTATGACCACTCCTCTAATTAGCGTTGTTTGAACTTGCTTTGACTGCATGTGCCACCGCCTCCACGATCACAAGGAACGACAAGGGACTACGCCTGTGCCGACGTAGCATCTGGCTAACCAGACGCTTCTTTTCATTAGGGTTTCACAGCTAGCCAGACTTTACACTCAAGTCAGGGATGCTGAATCGGGTGCCCCGGAGCATGAGCCCGGGTGGGCATCGGCTGCTCCCGAGAATAGAGTGCAAAGCTACTCCTTCGATATCAGCCTGATCGAGCATGTCAACGTCGCAATGCGATGATACTACTTGGCTTCTTGATTCTTGGGGTCATGCTTAGGCTAAAGTACAATGCCGGAGTCAATTAAGAGTCGTATGTGGCGTGGAAGAAGGATGGTGGTGTTGTGTACAGCACGCGGTTGCAACCATGCTTCCACCCATCCTTGATATCGCCCCAGAGTTCTCAGAAGAGCTACATACCTAGGTTAAGGTAGCTAGTGATGATCTCTTTCCCAGACTGTTGACCACTGACTCACCTTAGTATGTCTCGGATGGCGTACCCCCGAGGTAGTGGAGCGGTACTCTTTGGCTTTTTGAGAAAAGCCATACTTCAAGAATTGCTGGAGCAACCGCCTTTACTTGGTAGTCTCTGTTTCCACTCATCCGAGGCCAACCAAGGCTTGAGTTTTCTCGCCAAAGAGTTGGCTGATGGCTGCACATGTGCCCAATGACGGCGAAGCATCTTCTCACCCCCTTTTCGGAATGAACTCTCGGCATTCGAAAGCCGAATCTTCCTGTTGAAGTAACTGTGAGGTCCTCGTGGGCACCAGCCTCAGCGGCTAGAGGCGCGAAAACCAAGCTGGAAGGGTCTTGAGGCGATTCCACGCGGGGGTCCTGGTTCTTTTGGGTCGCATTTGGCTCAGTTTAGCCGGCGGATTAATCGGCAGTGAGCCCTTGTGCTTCCCAGGGGCCATTTTTGCCGGTGGCCTTCGAAGGTTCCACCGACCCGGCTCGCCCAGTGTTTCGACACAAGGTTGTTCCGCCCCTTGGTCATTCGCTGAGCCGGCCTTCATCAACGTCCAACCCGGTTTCTAGGTGAAGCATTATGATGTGTGGAGCATTGGCGCATGCGGACGAAGCGCACATACATGATTGGGCCCCGGAGTTCAGGAAGGTTCTGTAATTATGGCATTCAAGCTCCCAACCCAAATCTATTGTTGCATTGAAACAAGTGTTCTTGGCACCCATGTTTGTACCCCTGAACAACATCATCGGGGCTGGATCTCGGGATTCGGGAGCTGTGGAGCCCGGAGCCTCCGTGTTACTTTAAGTTGTTTCAAAACAAGTCCGTATCGGTTTGGCTGGCTTTGAAGGTTTAGATTTGCACGACTGCCTGGCGTAAATTCGGTGCCATGGGCTTAGACGTATCTGCCATAGGTAAGGAGGGGATCTTCCCCAAATGGCCCATTGTGAATGGAGTCCATGGTTAGGTACCGAGTGAGTTCGGCGTTGCGTTGAAGGCGAAAAGCATCTTAGAGAGACGCCAAGCGCGGGGTGCGTTGCATAACACACACAGACATTGGATCCGGGCATGGTTAGATGGACTGGAGGCGACATGGGTCGGTCAACCGCTTTCACAGCTCCGAGGCAAATGAGGCTAACGCACCCCAGTCTGGGCCTCAGGGGCTGCTCGGACATCCTAGATGGTGGCTAAGAATAACGTCGGTGTAATATTCCGAAGGGAGAGAAACCCAGGACTTGATTCCAGGGCAGATACAACCATGAGCAAGCAGGTCGTGTATATAACCACCTCGGGTCCTCCCTCCGGGACCTCGATCGCTCTCCCACCCAACAAGGCTTGCTCACAGCAGTTCACCCCTGCCCACCATGGTCAACTTCTCTTCTCTCTTCCTCGCGGCCGCGGCGGCTGTCGTGGCTGTCGCCGCCCCTGGCGAGCTGCCAGGCATGCACAAGCGCCAGACGCTCACGAGCAGCGCGACTGGCACGCACAACGGCTACTACTTCTCGTTCTGGACCGACGGCCAGGGTAGCATCAGGTATACCAACGAGGCCGGCGGCCAGTACAGTGCGACCTGGTCGGGCAACGGCAACTGGGTCGGCGGCAAGGGCTGGAACCCGGGCAGTGCTCGGTATGTTTCCCCACTTGATATCCATGCATCTGCGCTTTGCTGACAGGATGTCAGGACCATCAACTACACGGCCACGTACCGGCCCAACGGCAATTCGTACCTTGCCGTGTACGGATGGACGCGCAACCCGCTGATCGAGTACTACGTGGTCGAGAACTTTGGCACCTATGACCCCTCGACGGGCGCCACGCGGCTAGGCAGCGTCACGGTGGACGGGTCCGTCTACAACATCTATCGCACCCAGCGCGTCAACCAGCCGTCGATCGAGGGCACGCGCACCTTCTACCAGTACTGGTCCGTCCGCCAGAACAAGCGCAGCGGCGGCAGCGTCAACATGGCCGCCCACTTCAACGCCTGGCAGCAGGCCGGCCTCACCCTCGGCACCCACGACTACCAGATCGTCGCCACCGAGGGCTACTTTTCGAGCGGCTCCTCCACCGTCAACGTCGGCGCCTCGTCCGGCGGCGGCAACACGGGCGGCGGCAACACTGGGGGTGGAAACACGGGCGGCGGCGGTTCTACCAACGTAAGTTCCTTTGGTTCCCTGTCGACACCAAATCACAACGCTTAATGTTGTCAATGCTGACTGCTTCGTCTTCCAGTGCGCTGCTAAATGGGGCCAATGTGGCGGGTCGGGATGGACCGGTCCGACGTGCTGCCAGTCCGGCTCGACCTGCCAGGCGTCCAACCAGTGGTACTCGCAGTGCCTGTAAGCAATTGGCGTGGAGTGTCAAGTTGAGGGTGCTCCCTCAAGAGTCCATTGCCGGAATCACAGCTGCCATCTCTGTTGTTGATGATGACGACGGGGGTTTGGGTCAGGGGCTCAGGGGTACGAGACGGTGGTGCTGGCGCAGTTCATGTACATACTTTCCCTTTCGCATCCATCCGAGGCTGCAGTACAAACACACTTGAAGGCTGAAGTTGATTGATTCATGAGATTCCCTGCGTCTCAATGTTCTTTCGTTTGCTGCTCCGAGTTCTATTTCGACCTCAATCCCAGTCAAGGCATTATGGGCCAGACTCCGCCCTTCCCAGCACGACGGGCGCGCACGTCAAAGCTGCCTGAGTGCTTCCTTTCAAGTTTTCCTTTGCATCTGCGAGCGAGCTTGCGACACGTTCATCGATGATGGACTTCGATTTGAGTTTGGAGCTAGTTCGCAGCCCCTGTCTAAGTTACCAGCTCGAGGAGAATAGAAACCAGGCCACTCGGCTGTGTAGATTGTAACGGTTCCGGTATCTGAATATCGTTCTCGACTCATTACGGATGTGCTGATGCTTACTCGTTGCAGCAACCATGCCAACAGTTATCAAGACGTCATGGCAGAGGCCTGTTTCCTTTACCCCCGGGCTCTCAACCCCCAACCACGTCTTGCCAGACACCAGAATGAACAGCCTGAGGCATGTTATCATACATCTGCTACATGCGTTCTGGACTTCACAACCTCGACTTCAGCAACGTTCGAAACCGACCCGACCATGGGGCTAGGGCGGGGTCGGCAGTTCAGCCTGTGTAGCGATTGGCAGGACCAGACAGCACCAAGAAGTCGAAATGACCTGCAGCAAGCCATACTGAATCCAGAATGAGGAAAATTCAATTGCCGTCGGGGATAGAACAATGACCGCGGCGGCTTGGCTCAGTTCACCCAAGAATCACCCTCTTGAGTTCATCCCCAACACCAACTTCCTCTCGAACACCTAGTCAGCCAAAAGTACCAATGAAGCGACCCAAAATGCCCGACACGTTCCCCCGCTTGCCGCCATCCGGCATCAAGGTCATCGTCGTCGGCGCGGGCTTCGCCGGCCTGGCCGCGGCCATAGAGTGCGACCGCAAGGGCCACTCAGTGACGCTCTTCGAGAAAGTCACCGACATAGACGACATCATGCGCATCGGCGACATCATCAGCTTCGACCCCAACGGCTCCAAGGCCTTCGAGCGCTGGCCAGGCGTCGTCGACGCCATGGAGGCCATCGCCCGCCAGACCTCCTGGCTCGACCTGTACCACCACCAGGGCAGGTTCGTCACGCGCCAGTCGTTTGCCCACGAGAAGGCCTGGGGCCGGAGGATTAACGGGCATCGGGGCCAGCTGCACAACATCATCTATCACCATGCAGTGGACAGGGGGATTGATATCCGGCTTGGGTGTAGAGTTGAGGATTACTTTGAGACCGACTACCCTCCGCAGGCTGGCGTCGTGGTCAACGGGGAGCGGGTGGCGGCTGATGTGGTAATCGCTGCAGAAGGGGTGCGGTCGCGCGGGAGGAGAATTGTGCTTGGCTTTGATGAAAACCCAAAGTCGTCCGGCTACGCCGTGTACCGGGCCTGGTTCCCGGCAGACCGCATCAGGGACAACCCCGTGATCCGGCATCTGGTGGCAAACGGCGACACGCACCAGGGTTTCATTGGGCCCGATATTCACTTCCTCACGTCGAGCATAAAGAACGGCACCGAGGTAAACTGGGTGTTTACACACATCGATGACGGGAACATCGAGGAGAGCTGGCAGTTCCCGGGCAAGCCAGAGGAGGCGCTAAAGTACCTCGAGGGCTGGTGTCCTGTCGTGCAGGAACTTGTCAAGGCCACGCCCAACGGACGGCTGATCGACCACAAGCTTGTGTATCGCGACCCGTTGCCGACCTTCATCTCACCCAAAGCTCGCATCTGCCTGATAGGGGACTCGGCGCATCCGTTCCTGCCAACATCCATTCAGGGGGCCAGCCAGTCGATCGAGGACGGTGTGGTGTTGGCGACGTGCTTGGAGCTGAGCGGGAGGAAGGACATTCCAACGGCACTGCGGGCGTACGAAAAGCTGCGGTACGAACGGGTGCACCGCGCTCAGGCTATGGGGCCGCAGACGAGGGAGCGGTGGCACAAAGCCGACTGGAACAAGGTGTGGAAGAACCCCGAGATGATCCACCTGGTCAGGGAGCCGTGGCTGCTCAACTTCGATGCCGAGAGGGACGCCTATGAGCGGTACGGGCAGGTCGTTGCCGAGCTGGAGCGGGTGGAGGCGCGGTTGTAGGGATGAATGCTTCAGCGAGGCAGCAGGCATCTACGCAACAACAACTGGACTCATTGACTCGTCTGCGTCATGATGCTCGTCGCCCGCAGATAATCGACGACACGCTGTTCAAAGATGCCCTCCCGCACCAGCTGCTCAGCCGACTCAACCACCCAAGTCTGGCAGTTGCGCTGTGTAATCTTCCTCCGCCCGTCGCCCTACTCCAAGTCAGTCGAGCACTAACCATCCCAACCATTCCAGAGAGACTTACCGCATCGCCGTGTTCTGCATCTACCGCCCGCAGCGTCTTCCCCGGCGCGGGAACCTTGAACAGCGTCCTCTCGAACTCACACCTCGGCGTTCCCTCCACCACCACGTCCCCATCCTTCTCACCCTCAAATACCCCCGGAAAACACCCAACACCATGCATATACTCACGACTCGCATCATCAATCTCAAACAGCCTTCCAGTAACCCACGCCAAAGGCACCCTCCCCACGACACAACCCCTGCCCCCATCCGACCCCCTCCACACCACCCTCTCATCCCCAACACCAACACCACCGCTATCCCCACCATTACTAGTTGTTGTCAGATCCCGACCACCGGGTGAATGACTATCCACGCGCAGAGAGAACCCCCTCTTGACCTCCAACCTGAACCCGCCCCTCACGTCCCCGGCAGCTTGCACCACCAACCCCTTATTCGGGTCGCGAGGCGACGCGACGAAGTATTCCCAGTGGTCGGCGAACGGCCAGCCGTTGTACATGAGCAGGGAGACGAGGAGTGAGTTTGGCGGGCCGGTTTGCGGGACCTCTGGCGGTGATGGAACTGGGTTTGAGGGACTTGTTGAAACTTTGTTATCCTTTCCGTTTAGGTTGGGGACCGTAAGGGCTGGAGGCGGGGGAGGGGGAGGCGGAGGCTGTAGTGGTGGTGCCATGTTGGAATTAGCTGTCGCTGGTTTGGAAGATGATACGGGTGTGATGTGGGTTGGAAAGTTGAAGGTCGAGGCCGGAGTTCGCGAGTTTAAAATAGCGTCAGAGGCTTGTTGGTTGGTTGCCTGTTGGTTTTTGTTGGCGCGTTGCCTGCCTGGTTGGGAAAAGAAATGGGGCCTGAGCGGTTGCGGGGCAACGCGCGTCGCATTGCAGACACCATCACCAGCTCTGTTCCTGGAGCGTCGTGCAAAATCACGGGCAGCGTTGCCTCAGATAGACAGGTCATTGATGACTGTGTATTGTGCGCTTTGCCCCATGCTGTCACTAAACTTGGCCATCCAACTCCATCTCTGCGTCCCGCCCATTGCCATTATACCTGATTGAGCAACCGAATCCTCATGTGCTCTGTGAAATAGCAAAGTATCATCGGGTATCTGCAAACACTCACATCTAAAGGAGATCCCAAACGAATTAGGAAAAGAACCAAACGACAAAACAATGCGGTGACCGTGCCACCCCTAGCTACGACAGGCGCAACGCCGTCGCAAAGAACCCCAGCGCCAGTGGCCAGCCTGGAGGCCGCATCTAAAACAGACCGAGAGCACCATCCTCATTCAGGGAACAGGCTAGGTTGCTCCAACACATCAACAGATTGGGAAGCCGTGTTCTTGCCAAGAGAATCTGACGGTTGGACGGAGCACTGAACCAGCGCAGGTGGCGGTCCCGCAGCCGCGGTGTCGGGCTTCTCCTTCGCTTCCTGAACAGGACTGGCTTGCTGCTTTGACGTTACCGGCGGAAGATCCTGCGTCATCTCTGCGGTCTTGATGTCACAGTTGGGCTCCTCGACCCGCTCATCAATCGGAAGACGGGGTTCAGCAGACGCGAGGTTGCAGTTCCCATTGGCTTCCCCGACAGTACCGGCTTGCTGGCTCGATGTTTCGGCCGGGAGATCCTGCGTTAGCTCTGGAGCCTTGGTGTGACGACTGGATTCCTCAGCCCGCCCATCAGTCGGAGGACGGGGTCCATCAGATGCAATGTCGGTGAAATCCTTCGCTTCCTCCACAGCGCCGGCTTGCGGGTTTGACTCCAAGACCGGGAGAGGGAGTGTTATCTCCGAGGTCTTGAATTCCGGGGTCTTGAGATCATATGTGGGCTCTTCAATTTGCTGACCACGATCGCCCGTCCGATTGGGTCCTTCTGTCGCTGCTGTGCCCGTTGGCATAGTTTGACTGTCTTCAACCGACTCGGCAGCCGGGTTCGCCACCTGGCTCGACAAGCCTCCGGCGACTGCACCATCGGCAGCCCTCAGCGGGGAAGGTTCCGACTTGGGCTCCTCGGCCGACTGAGTTCCGGCTCCATTGGTAACGTCAAACAAAAACTGCTTCGCCTCGTCGCCTGGCGTCGCGGGCACCAAAACCGGATTCTGCCGCCGGAACTCGGCTAATCGCTGCTCATAATTCTTGCGGTAATCTGTCGTCCGCAACAACCACTTGCCGAGGACGGAAATCAAGCGTTTCTTGTCGACCGGCTTGGCAATATAATCGTTCATTCCGTACTCGAGGCAGCGCTCTCGGTCGCCCTTAAGTGCGTACGCCGTCATGGCAATGATGGGCACGAGCACGCCGCCCGCGCGAATCTCCTTGGTCGCCTGTTGGCCGTCCATGACGGGCATGCTGACGTCCATGAGCACGGCGTCGTAGGCAGCGGGCTTGCCGCGCACCATGCGGACGGCCTCCAAGCCGTTGGATGCCAGGCCGACATTTCGGAAGCCCAGCGATCGAAGCATGCCGAGAATGACTTTCTGGTTGATCAAATTGTCCTCGACCACCAGCAGGTTCTTGATGCTCGACACAATCCGCAGCTCCTTCTGCAACTCCTCCACCTCGCTATCCAAGGCTGGCGTCGACTGCCTCTCGCTTCTGGCCGCTGTGGACGTGTTCTTCCAGTTCGCCATTTGCTCGAGGGTCTTGATCTTCTTGAATCGCGCCGTGAACCAGAAGACGCTGCCGTGTCGATCGGGATTCGGGCGGTACCCTATCCTCCCGCCCATCAGCTCGGTGAGCGACTTCGCAATCGATAAGCCCAGCCCGGTGCCCTTGTACTGTTTGGTGGTTGTGGTGTCAAACTGCATAAAGGGCGTGAACAGGCTGGCTTGGGCCGATTCCGGCACGCCGATGCCCGTGTCGGTCACCTCGGTCAGAACCAAATAGCTGACATCGTCCTCGCTCTGCACCGAAGCTCTGACTCGGATGCTCCCCTTGTCGGTGAATTTGGCGGCGTTGCCCACAATATTTTGCAGGATCTGCCGGTACCGGAGGGGATCGCCCTGCACGGACCTGGGAAGTTCGGGCGCCAGGAAGAGCTCGAAATGCACCGAGGGTGGCAGCGAGGTCTGCACACCGCGGACGACGGACGTGACGATGCTCGTGATGCCAACAATATCGGAATTGATGGTGAAGCTGCCGGAAGCGAGCTTGGAGTAGTCGAGAATGTCGTTGATGACTTGCAGCAAGACCTGGCCGGACTCGTCCATGATGTTGACAATGTCGCGCTGCCTCGCCGAGAGCGGCGTGTCAAGCAGCAGGGTGCATGCCGACAGCATGCCGTGCATGGGCGTGCGGATTTCATGACTCATGTTGGCCAGGAAATCCGACTTGAGCTTCTCGCTCTCCTCGTAGGCGGCGATGAGGCGAGACTCGGCCGACTTGCGCTCGGTCAGATCGCGCGTCACCTTGCCGAAGCCAACGTGCACGCCGTCCTTGTAGACGGCCGTGATGACGACATTGGCCCAGAATCGACTACCGTCCTTCCTGTAGCGCCAGCCCTCATCCTCGACGCGACCCTCGCGCATGCAAATCTCGAGTTCCATCTGCGGCTTCTTGATGTCGAGATCCTCCTTGCCGTAAAAGACGGAGAAGTGCTTGCCAATGATGTCTTCTCGCTTGTAGCCCTTGAGCAACTCGGCGCCCGTGTTCCAAGTCACGATGTGACCCTTTGTGTCAAGCAAGAAGATGGCGTAATCCTTGACCGCCTGAACTAGGATGCGGAAGGCTTCGTCGGTCGAGAGGCCGGGCTTGACCAACTCTTCCTTCTGGTCAATCTCAGGAAGGGTACTTCGAGGGCCATCGTGCCACTCGAGAACTAGGGACACCAGCTCATCGCGGTTGAAGACGGGGATCACGCGAATTTTCCACGAGACGGCGGCGCTTGCGTTGATGGGGTGGGTGGTGCGCTCGGCGCGGCTGGCAATGGCGTCGTCGATGATGGAGGTGAGGTGGGCGAGGTGTGCTGGTCGCGGGGGTTGGAACTTCCTCTCGAGAAAGGGAAGCAACTCCTGGCCGAGGCAGTCTTCTGCGGCGACGCGCCACACCGAGAGGAAGCGAGACGAGGCTCTCCGTATGCGCCAGGCCGGCGAGAGGATGAGCACGGAGAGGGGCGCAAGGTCGAAAATGAGGTCGAGGTCGGGTCCAGCGTGTCCAGCGGGCTGATGAGCGGCGCCACTCGGTTGGTGCATGATGGGATCTTGGAACATGTCGCTGCTCAGGCAGCGTCTCAGAGACGGGTCACGGTCGGCAAGCGTTGTTGGCCGGTGCTCTCAGTCTCGCCTCGACTCTCTCGATCACGGAATTCTCGGCGAGAAACAACGAATCGGGGGGTGGTGGTACCAGATCGTCGGGTCCGGAAGCGAGGTTCGTTGACAAGGCCCAATTGCTGCATTGTCGACGCTCAGGGAGGTGGCAAACGCGGCATTCAACGAATGCATTGGCGCTGCGTCGAGAAGATGGGGCGGATTCCGCGATTTTCTTTTGGGATCGCCCGTTTGGGACGGGGTGCGGGGTTGCAGTGTTCCGCAGTGATGTCACATCCATTCTGCTGGTGCTTTTCCTGTTGACGTACCGGGCATGCCAAGGCCGGCCTATAAGCTCCGGGGACAAGGGTTTTGGGTTTCAGTCCGTTGCCTGGAAGAAACAGCATAGATAATACGAACGGGTGCACCCCACGACGAGATGGATGGCTAGAAAAGAATGACTACTCCTTGAATTTTCAATGCTGCATTTTCAAGCGATTTGTAGTTACTTGGGCAGTTCCACTCTGGGAGTTGGACCGCGGAGATGGCAGGTTGTGGCGAGGTGATCGTCGTGCGGTGGAGTCTTGCTGACTCTCTCCAAATTTCAACACTGCGATCTCGCCAATGCAGTGGAAGGATCCGTACCACAGCATTTTCAAATAATATAAGTTAACCATATTTATTGTATCGTACCTTACACGGCATTTGTCATGTTATACAGATGTTCCTTACATTTGTAAGGTAGGTAACAGTGTAACAGTCCAGTTCGTTACACAGACCTTTAAAGAACGATGCCGAGGCAGTCACCAGACCGCATTGGTCTCACAAACTCGACGAGAACTGCACTTTCGGGTCGTTTCTAGCCAATTCGACTTCAAGTTTCCGCCCACAGACTCGGTTGAAGCATCGCCAAAACACTGAACTCAGTTGAGGCATCCAACGCCGCCCACGGCCAAATTGCTACAGAACACGTCGATGTCAATCCGGACGTTTCTGGTATTGTGCTCTGAGTGTTAATATGTGTCCCCGGTGCTATCGCGAACATTCGCGCCACCACGTGACATCACGTCTCACTTCCAGTAACATCGAGAAAACGACAGATGTACGATGATGGACTAGAAGTTGTAACTGATGAAAGTATATTCGATGGCACCGCCGCCTATCGGCACGAGGATATAAACACCGAGACCTACCTTCCAACGCTCACCCGACAACGTCACAATGCAAGCATCTCGAAGTCTGATCTCGCGAACCATCATTCCAACACTTCGACTCAGGCAATCATCTCTCGCCTTTCGAAGAGTCATCATTCCTACCCAACGCCGCAACATGTCACTGTTCCATCCTTTCTCGCACCACTCCCACACCGGCGCCCCCAGCCCCCCCAGCGCCCCCGGATTCTCGTCCCTCTTCCGCATGCTGGACGAGTTTGACCGGTACACCAACCAGCAGCTGGGCAGCGCCCTGGGAAGCACCACGGGCGTCACGGCATTCTCGCCCAAGTTTGACGTGGCCGAGCACGACAACGAATACTTGCTGCAGGGCGAGTTGCCCGGCGTTGCGCCCGAGAACGTCGAAATCGAGTTCACCGACGAGCAGACCCTCGTGGTGCGCGGCCACTCGGAGCGCAAGCATACCGAGGGCGACCCGGCCCTGCTCGAAGCACCTCGCGAGGCTAAGCGGATCGAGGGCGCCGAAGGCAGCAGCAGCAGCACCAGCAACGGCAACCAGGAGTTTCAACAACAGTCTCAGCCTGCTGCGAGCGAGGAGGGCACCAAGTCAAAGCCCCGGTACTGGCTGAGTGAGAGGTCTTACGGCGAGTTCTCGCGCGTCTTCACTTTCCCGGCGACCGTCGACCAGGACAATGTCCGGGCCAAGTTCAAGGACGGCATCCTCGAAATTACCGTTCCTAAAGCGGTGAAGAAGACTGGCAAGAGGATCACCATTCAGTAAAGGGTTGGCAATCTTGTAAGTAGACGCATGGGAGTAACTGGGACTGTAAATTGTATGACTTCTAGGATAGTGCGTAATCGTAATTGAAGGCTGGTTGAAGTTGTACTGCTGAGAGTCGCTGTTTGAGCCTACCTGCTACCTCGTTATGTCTGGGAATCGCGTTCCACTGAAGTCAAGTCCTTTTCCCACGACAAGTTGTTGTGGCATTAGTATCTCTAATTCTCCATGTACGGTTTACTTTTGAATATCACCAGACTGATATTGTTGCGATTGCCTCAGTCTTTGAATGCTTACACGTTCAAACCCCATACCTCCGTCCTGCATGGATATCCAGCGTCGTAAGACCCCTGGCTCGTGGCTGTGTCCGACCTATCGCGAGCCCTGCCGGTGCACATTAGTGGATCTGGACGGTGGATGCATCCCGGCTCCCGCTCTCACCGCTGGCTGAGAATTAGCTGCGGTGCAAAGCAGTTGGAGCCCAAGCCGTTGCCGCCAGGAGGCCTGAGACTGCGATGTGATGCCCCGCTAGGCTGTGTGCATGGGATTTTACACGTGGAGACCACCGCAGGCCTTCCTTCAAATCTTGTCGAATCTTTCGAATGCCGAGCTCCCTCTGACTCTTTTCACTGTTCTGTCCTGAAGGCATTTCTGAGGACCAAAACAAGGGGACATCAAACGTGTCCCCAGGGCAAGGCACCGCCGGAATGGCGCCCTACGCCCCTGAATGGATGAGCAACATCCGCGATCCGCGCCGGCCGCCACCATTGGCGCATATCCGCAGTCCCCACAACCTCCACCGTCGCTCACGCCCGTACCGTGACGGTGATCTCCGTCCTGACCATCACGACCAGGACCATGCCGTCGAGGTTCACATTGTCAGGGACATCATCGACGACCACCCCGACCACCCAATCAACATAAACTTCAACTACGGCCCCGTGCACATCCACCAAAATTGCCTCTGCCCCAACCCGTCGGCACATACGTGCAGTCCCGCCACCGCCGCCAGCGGCAGACGAAACACCACCACGGGCATCACCTACCCCTACCCACCTTTACCTGGACCCCCTCCACCGCCACCTCCAGCAGCTGGGGCTCCAACCCGCCGCCGCCCCTCCCGCCCTCCCCTCCAACCCTTGGGACATTCGGCACCCCGCCCTTATCATCCACGCCCCGCGGGCAGCCCCCCGAGACATGCCTCCGCCCGCAGCGTCACCAGAATCATCGTCCCCTCGCCAGAGTCAGGATATTCTTCTTCGAGTTCTTCAGCTCTAGACGAACCTCCTCCCCGCCGCCACCGCAGCGGCAGCCCTCGTCCTCGGAGGGGGATCTTGCGCACCGACCGCTCGACTGGGAGAGGTGAGGTTGGACCTGGTGGTGGTGTCACGGTCACTACTACCAGCAGCAGTAGCAGCAGCGCTGCTGCTGCCGGTGCTATTCCTGCAGCTCATGGTGGTGGTCAAATTAGGGTTCAGGTTGGTATCTGCGACGGGTGTCTGACGCGGCGGAGGCTGGTTTGGGGAGGGTACTGTGCCGAGTGTGAGGTTTTTGTTGATAGTGGTGGGGATGATGTTGATGAGGATGAGATCTCTTTATCCTCGCCCGGTCCTGTGTCACCCCGGATATGGGCGAGAGCACGGTCGCCTGGTCCTGGAACGGGGACGGCATTGAGGAGGGGTGGTGGGCATGGCGGTGCGCTGAGGGTTAGGTACGTGTCTGGAGGGAGAGAGGACAGTGCTCCTGCTGACAGGAGGGGGATGAGAGGGAGGGAGCTGTTGGAGAGGGAGCGCGAGAGTGACTTTCAACGGGAGGAGCGGGAGGCGATGGAGCGGAATCGCCTGAGGAGAGATCGAGAGAGGGACGCGGTGAGGAACGGCGTTAGAAGGGGAGTCAGGTGGGACGCGGATGTCGAGGCGAGGGATAGAGGGAGGGATAGGAGGTCCTACCCTCGGACTACCGAGAGGGTGTATTTCAGCGAATCCGAGGGAGACAGTGCGTGGTAGCACTAGACCGGTGTGTTACCGGAGCTGGGAATAGTGGTTGTGCCGTGTCTTTCTTGGTCAGCCTTCGGGTGTGTTACTAGAGAGCGCGACGAGGGGCCGATGAGTGACGAAGTTACGACCAATGACTTTATACCCATCACATAGACCGGAGATATGATGATGAATATACTTTCCCTGTCAAAGTTATGTTCAATGCAACGCACCAAACCTTTGGAAATTAGCATGGAATGAGAGGCGGTTGCCCTTTGGGTATGTTGAACTGATCCAAACAATATTGCCCTTGATCAACGATACACAAACCTAACAACATGCGGCGCTAGATACAAGTATGAACCAGTGCTGATACAGTACTACAAATCGTTCTCGCACAATGCAGATGCTACTAAGTCACGGAGTAGGTCCCATCTGCCTATCTACCTGCACATGTGGTAAACATAAGGTCACACCAGGCATTGTTTCCGGGGAGCCTCCTATGACACCCCTATGACGTACACCAACCGCATCAAACCACACGGATGCGAAAACAAGCCTCAGCTGATCAGAATCTCAACACATGTCTTGTACATTGCAACAGCTCCAGTGAAACAATTAGCAACCGGCTCACTTACACGTTGGCAATAGAACAAACATGGCCACACCATCAGATTACCCTCCATCATACGAACAAGCGGTTAAGGGCGGCCCCGACGCGCTCCCTCATGAACAACGCAACGGCATCCCGCTGCGCGCACGGCGCAGCATGGAAGACGAGTTGCGCCCGCTCCCGCAAGGCTGGGTGCGCGAGTATGACCCAGAAACGCAGCACCAGTTCTTCGTCGACACCATGGCCTCGCCGCCGCGCTCCATCTGGCACCACCCCTACGACGACGACGTGTACCTCGCCTCGCTCCCGCCTCAGGAGCACGAGACCATCCTCTCCAATTACTCTGCGTCTCACCGCAGGCCTAGCTGCGCCGACATTGTCGCCGAGGACACGGACGACGTCGATTCCGACGCAGAATCAACCCATTCCAACAAAAGCAAGGGTGACCGAATCAAATCCCTTGGCCGCCGACTCAAAGACCACCTGACGGGCACAACACACGAGCAGCGCGCGGCCGACCGCGCCCGCCGCGCCGAGGCCGAGAGGGAGCTCTACCGGCAGCACCGCGTGATGCGCCAGGCCATGCTCGAGGCCATGCGCACGGGTCGGCCGCAGCCGCTCGGGCGCGACGAGAACGGGACGCAGTTGTTTCTCGAGCCGCCGGGGCATACCTTCCCGGGCGTTGCGCGGGTCCGGAGGCTCAGTCCGTATCTTAGTGAGGTTGTGTACGAATCAGATGATGGCTCGGCGGATGGAAGAAGCAGCAGCAGCAGGCCTGGGCCGCCGGGGCGGTATCTGAGACCGGAGGGGGATATGTATGGCATGGGGTATGGTGCGTATGGGTGTGGTAGGTTTGCTGGCGGGCGCTGGGATCGACCCGGGGATCCGTACAGACGGGTAGAGGGGAGGGGGTACGGAGGAGGGCTGGGGTTTCCGCTTATGATGCCGCTTGTTGGAGGTATGATGCTTGGAGGGATGATGGGGTCCGTGTTTTGAAAGCCCTCTAGGGTTTGGGCGACGGCAGGTGAAGGCCAAATGTGCGATGCGGAATCCCAACCATGAACTTCGGATTACGCGGCTCATAGGTGTACAGACTGCACACAGGACTACCGTAAGTATCCTTTATCGTCTAACACTTTATCCGCCCAAGCCGTGGGCCTGAAGAAGTATCAGGCAACCGTTTCTACCCTTCTACGGTTTCCGGCTCAAGGCAACAACCTCATTACCTCATGCCGCGTTCGGCGCCCAGGCAGGGTCTGCCAGCTCAACGCCGTTCGGGTCGAATCCTGGCGCAACTAAACAACAAAGTGTCAGTGCCGTGCTCACACCAACAGGGAAATCAAACTGAACAAAGTTGCAGTCTTTGGACCTACCCGTCGTGCCAACAAGCGTCCACGCGCCCAAGCTCCTGGCCTGCTGCCACTCCCACTTGGCAACGACCACCTGCGGCTGCTGCCCGGCAAACACGTCCGGGCCCAGCGTCACCACCCGAACGGGCGACCCGTCGTCCTTGGCTAGCGAGAGGGTCAGGGGCGCCCCGGCATAGTAGTGCCACACCTCGACGGCGTCGACGCGGTGCCAGCGGGAGAAGCCCTCGGACCCCTCGAGCAGGTAGTAGATGGCCGTGCTGGCGCTGCGGTCGGGGGTACCGCCGCTGGTGGTGGTGACGTTGTCGGCGTCGCGGAAGGTCTCGATGTAGTACCCCTTTTCGACGTTTGGGATCAGGTTGAGCTGGGCGATCACCTCCTCGGCGGTCCGCTTGTGGAGAGGTGTGTGGTGTTTGTGGGTTTCGTGTGCGACTTCACGGGGGTCAACAGTTGATGGTGAGGCCGCGCCTGTGAGTGATGCTGTCGACAAACAGAAGCCGAGGAGGACGGCGGGGAGGGAGTGCCGGCGGAGCATCATGTTGGATTTCAAGGTGAACGTGTTATCTACTGCAGACGATTGAGCTTCAAGGGGCGTAGAATTTGGGATTGATCAGACAATGGAACTGGTTCCGACGTCTGTGAATCTGTGATTTATAATGTTCTACATACATGCAAAAGTCGGCCTGTCGCTGGTTGGCTGGCCGGATCGCACGGGAGCAGCTCTCCGTGTCTGACCGGCATCAGCGCGGCACAGAGTTGGGGGCCTCAACAGGGGGCTGGTAAGAGTAGGCCAGGAGGTATTGCCGCTGCGTTATCAAATCGCCAGGGGTTGACGTTGACTACGGAGGTACACTATTATTCCTCCAACATCTGCCAATGTGACGTCAAATTCCCACCTCCACATCTCAAGGACCCCATTTCCGGCATTGGTACTTCCCCTAGCACTGCGCCGTGTCGGACTGGAGATGAACGGGCACGAATCCCCATTGGACATTCTGCCCGATTGGTGCGTTCGCCATCGCGTTGGTGTTCATGCGGCGATCAAAGCCGTCGACATTGCAGGGCGAGGAAATGGATGGATTATCTCGGGAAAGGAAGCCCTCTCTAACGCTAGTGACAACACAGCTCTTCTCCATATTCCCCGGGAGGTCATTCTCTCGGCGGAATACGTGGTAGACTATGCCAGCGGCAACGACCGGTTCCGACGCCTTCTTGAAGGTCTACCGAAATTTCAGGTAAGAGCCTTATCATCCTGATAGTTCATTGTTATAGATGCTGATAGTTAAAACAGTCTGAACCGCGACTCCTTATCCTCCTCTTCCTGCTCTCGCAGCTAGTACATCACCGGTTACCCGAACAGGTGAACGAAAGCAAAGAAGGCCAACACGAACCATGGCGTCAATACATCTCGGTCCAGCCCTCTGATGTACCAGTGCCCACCATGTGGTCAGACGTGGAAGTGTCGCTGCTCAAGGGCACCTCCCTCGAGTTCACACTAGCTGCCAAGCTAGTACTCCTTGCAAAGGAGTTCGAGTTGATCACTGTAAGAGCGCAAGAAACGGGTTTCTGGCAAGAGATGCTCTCCGAAAAACGCGTGTCACTCCGAGATTGGATCTGGCTGGACGCGCTCTTTCGTTCGCGCTCTTTCGAGCTACCTTTGTCGGGGCCGTCAATGGTTCCCTGTGTGGACCTGGCAAACCACAGCCACGAAAACGCAGCATACTTTGAGCAAGATATCGAGACCGGGACGGTTACAATGTTGCTCCGAAACGACAAGTTCTCGACCATGTCCGTTGGGGACGAAGTGACCATCAGCTATGGCAGGGACAAACCGGCCGCCGAGATGCTATTCAACTACGGATTCATTGACGTGAGCCAACCACCCTTCGGTGGTCAGAGGCTCGTCCTTTCGTTGGATGATATTTCTCTGTGGGAAGACTGGGCTCGAAAGGATCCGTTCCTTACGGTCAAGCGAGAGCTCTTCAGTGATGCCCCGATGCTATGCCTCGATATGGACCATGCGGGCGCAGCGCGGTGGACGTGTCCCTTTGCGTATATTGTGTGTGTGCAACAAGAGGACGGTTTTGGTTTCGAAAGGATGGAAGATGGGCACGGCACAGGAAGGTGCACGATGTCATGGCAAGGGAAAGACATATCACGTATGGCTGGCATGTTGGATCTGTGGCTGAACACCCGGGAGGAACTGAGGAACGTTATTCAGGGCCGCGTTGTCGCTATCCTCTTATGCGTTGTCACACACCAGCTCAAGCGACTACGTTACAACGGAGAGGTTCAAGTTGCTGTTGAAGAAGCCGAGGAACGAGGAAGGGCGTCAGTCCTACGCTCAGTGAAACAGCTCAGGGAGGTTGAGCTGGCGATATTAGAGAGGTCTCTACGAGCAATAGTGGCGGAAAAGGAGAAACTGCTACAGGACGGGGTCGATGTGAAAACTATCTATTGGCACTAGCCTCACAATACGAAGCCAGGGGCCAAGGTGCCCCGTCAAGCAAGGCACGGCACACGCACTGGGAAGGGGATCCAGCCTACCAACTTTCATCGGCCATGCATCATTAACCTCCGAATAAGATAGGTACCTAATTCATTTAACAGAATTGAACTCCTCGAGGCTCGCGGGCTTTGTCGAGCTTGCAGCCTGCTGGAGATGAACGAAGTTCGCCTGCATTCCAATAACACAAAAGAGGCCAAAGCCAAGATCGTCAACGCGCCTGACTGGACTGAAGTTAACTGGCCCCGGACGTTGTCCGACTTGTCCGCTGCAGCTGAACTACTGAAGCCATAGCGTGAGCAGCCACCGCCACATGTAATCAGGAGCCAGCCTGCGAAGGGAGCAATGCATCAAGTGTGGCCGCCTTAGCCACTGCCCATTTTGCAGGAGTGCCGTTCTTCTGTAGGGCACTTTGCCGCCCACCAGAAAACCGGACCATTAAGGACCGCCTCTTGCCTTATACCTCTTGCCTTCATGTTACGATGGATCCCGCTCTACGTTCTCAGAACCTCCCCGGACAACCTGAACACGTGTTTGTGAACAACTCCATTTACTGCTGGAACTGGGAGTCGAATGACTCGTACTGGCTGCGGGAGCAGCATTACATCTGCAGGGAGTTTGACAATGGCAACTGCCCGTGCCCTGAGCTCAAGGCCGACTCGGACGTCGCGGGAATAGGGGTAAGGCGTTTACCATAACTTACTGATTCCAGTTGCCCGCTACGTAGAGGAATTGGGGATAAAGAACTGCCTAATGATTGGGCAACTCCAGGTCATCATCGCCTTTCCTGTCATGGCAGGCCTTACCATTGTGACAACAATCTTGCTCGACATCCTCAAAATGAGTGAGGGCGAGTCGGAGGCAGAGGAACCCAGGCCCGCTGCATACGGCAATCCGATGGCGCAACCGAGTTGACAAGGCAATCTATTACAGGTTTAATCCAGACACTGCATCAGCCCTCCGGCACAGGGGTTGGGACGTTGGCGTGTTAGTCTCTCGCGTCAGCGACGTTGCGAGATCCCTCAGCGACACGCAGCTGGTGATGGGAGTGGTTATCGGGACCGCGACAATGATCGGACTTGAATGCCAGGACTCTGCCGGGCCCAATGACAATCCACCACTTTAGCATTGCGACCGACCTCGCTTGGACAGCATGGTCAGCACTATAGCGACCACCTTTCTCTGGAGAAAGGATGAAGAAAACAAAACGTCTCGCGGCGGGGCTCCCGCTTCTATCGTGGATGTTTCTCGTCCTTGCTATGGCTGGCCTTCTGGCGTACACATTATTTTCGGCGCACTACGCGGGCTGGCGACAATCCCTTGCTTGTCCCGCAAAATGCACCAAGGGATATCGAAAAGGTGCCGGCAGGGCGTGGAAGGCGAAGTGGATGATAGTCAACCCTGTGCGTTCTCGGCGTCAACCTGGCCAGTCCGCACGTTTGAATCCGTCAAGTTCTCCGAGCAGGTGCACTCAGGAATGGACTGCACGCCTTCGCTTATCCGGAACGCCAACAGCCAGGTCTTCCACGAAGTCGATGCCTTTTTCTGGGACCTGTTTGAGTCCGACAACCTTCACACGCTGTTCTTCGCTAGCTGGTATATATGGGGATGCACCTCGCTGTCTGAGGCCCGCGCGCTCGGCCACAGCCAGATGGGCGCTGAACACGCCGCAGAAGACAGGGCTGGATTCGGCCAACTGGTGCCGCGAGTTCTGCTGCTGCTTCCGCTGTTGGCACTTTTCGATTCGTATGCGCAGCACTCCGCGGACAACGGGCCGAGGTGTTAGGAGGAGGTGCTTTTGTGAGCCAATTGCATCTCGAGCACCATAAATTAGGGACGGCCAACGGCGAACATCAGTTATCGGATACCTTGCCTGCTCCTAATATGAGCTGAGCAGTTGCCAGTGTTGAAGGACAATGGTCAGGAAAGAATATAACAGGACAGAACAAATTAAGCCCGGCAAATCCATTGCTCTAACCTGAACCGAGACTTTCCTTTCTCTATGTGCCATCTAGCGCTGCCCAGTGTAACGCATGAGGGAAACAACGTACGGTATCACAGAAACCCCGGGGAGAAATAAGAAGAGGCAAAGGGGTATCAACCACAACCTAACGCCGTTTCCGTCTACCAGCCCAATCTCATGCCGCTTTCCACGAGGCCGACAAGCGCCTAATACCAAGCCGACTTCTTCCCGGCCTCAATGCTGTCCACAATAGTGCACTTCTCGGTCTGGCACACCTTCCTCCTGTCGAGGAACTTCGCCTTGGGCCCCTGAGGGCCCGTGACGTAGTGGTACTCTCCGAAAAGCCTCCACTGGCGCAGGTCACTCAGCGGGTAGACATCATCACCCCAAAACCCTTCAAAGTGGAACCACGACGTAGGCAAGCCCGGGTTCGACTCCGCGGCTGTCAAGCTCGTCCGTACCTGGACCGTCGAATTCCTCTCCTCGTCTCGGTCGACCTCGTAATCGTACCAATAGGCGTAATGATTCAGCGCGGGATCCCACAGCGGGCCCTTGTCGGTGACATCCTTGAGCAGCTTGAACGGGAGAACGTAAGGGTGCATGCCGGGCGAGGCATACATGGCGTGGCTGCCCACAGCTGAGTAGATAACGGGCCGTGCGGGCTTGCCGTCTTTCTGGGTCCGCTTCTCCAGCGCCTTCCACAGGTAGGCCTTGCCGCCGGCGTGCTCGCTCAGAAACATGGCGCGCGGTACGCCGTGCTGGAAGCGCACCATGCAGTGCTCCCAGTCGCCGACGTGGTTGCCGAAACGGATCTTGAGGACTGTTTGGCCCAGGTTGTAGCTGTAGAAGAAGAACCAGAAGGCGTCCACGATGCCCGCCCCCTTGTCAACGAGGATGAGAACGGCCGGCGCTCGGGAATACCCGCTGACATCGGGCTTGCTACCCTTCTGACTTGTTGCAGCGTCCCCAACCAACGGGCGCTGTGGGTGGGGAGTGGAACGTCTCTTTCGAAACCCCTGGTGTCTCTGGCTGGACTCCCTCGGCGGGACTATGCGATGGGGAGGGTGATCCCTGTCCACATCCCACCAGGAAGTGTCGTCGTCCGGTCGTCGAGGGGGATCGTGAGAGTCGTCATGGTTTCCTCCATCTGGACCATCATCCTCAAAGGGGGTTGGGATGGCGGCTCGGCTGTGGAGCCACTGGGGCCTCAACTCCACGTCATCCTCGCTGGTCAAGAAGACGGTGTCGTTCTGGGATTGAAGTGTGCCGAGATTGCTCAAATCCAAAGGCTTGCTTGTGTTAACCAAGGTGCCCTCCACGCACGCCTTCATATGGCGGATGTGCTCGGCAATGTCGGATGGCCAGAAATTCTCGCCAGAGTAGAGATGTACCAAGGGCGCGTGATTGAGCACATAGTCTGGCACCTCGTAGTTAACCTTGCTACCGCTGTCGCCGGTTGCCTGGACTCCGCGCTTCAAGTCCTGCTGTGTGGGCGCCACTTCCCAATCGCTCAGACCGGTCTTTTCGACAAATCTCCAAGATGTGCTAAGCCCTAGAGCTAGCGACTCTAGTTCGTCCAAGGTCGAAGGCTCGTTTGGATCGGACAGCGCCGGCGCATCCCAGCGAATGTGCTGGATGCCGCAAAGACTCAGCCAGCGGCATGTTTGTCGATCGAACCAATTGGGGGATGTGTCGACCCAGTGCCTGTCCCGCTCGCGTTCTTCGGCATCCGGCGGGGTCGGGTTGAGCAGTCGTGGCAGGAGCCAGATGACGAAGATCAGGGCCGTGACAAAACAGGTGGCGATGGTCGCCCGGCGAAGGCTGTAAGCCACGATCGACATCTCGCGGCGTGTTCGCAAAAGCGCAGGAAAGGACGGAACTGGGATAGGTTCTCGGATAGCGGCAAAAGTCGGTATCGTCAACGGTCTCACTGGTCTCGCATTAGGCGGAGTGGGATGTTGTTATGGCGGTCCAAAGGGGAATAGAGGAAGTCGGTGGGCGCGGTGGCCGTCAGCGGTGTACTGGAAGCTGTCGATGGATGAAAGGAAGCCGTTTCCACAGTGCTAGGGAAGTAAGCATGGAGATGCGCATGAAAACCACAATGAACTCGAACTCTGCAGTTTCGAGACATCACACTGTCAGGAACAGCCGCCACCTTGATCATGCACCGAACACCCTGCATGTGTCTGCGTCAGTGCCAAGGAGGGGCTACTATGTAGCGTTACTGAGGGATGCCTGTCAAAGGCTGTGTTGCGAGGTAATGGTACTATCTGGGCGCTGAAAGCCGACCCCACCGTCACCCGTGGGCAATTAACAGGCCCACATCTCATCGCCAAGCTTTCTGATTGCCGCCATCGCGCAGCCCTGGACCACCCCAAGGCAGGCCTTACAGCGAGGTGACTGGTGCCTTGAACCCTCAACATATCAGCGATTATGGGCACCCGAAATGTCGTCCCAATGTGCAGGCGTCGGAGTCGAGGTGCTTGGTAGCCTCTCGGTCGTCCTGGGACCATACCGCGATATAGCACCGCTGTCGCGACGTATCAGCGCTGCCCGTCTGGCCCTCTTTGGCCATCTCCCCCTTCCCCCAACCTTTGGGATGTAGGTCCTCTCCGGCGATCTCAAGCCGAGTTCTCTCTCTACCCGCCTCTTGTCGCGCCACCTAATACTCCTTGCATTATCGACTTGCAGCTTTCTGCGCCGGCGCTCTTCCTCTTCGTCTTCAATCATGAGCTTGTTCTGTCTGGTCTCCAACGGTTGTATCGTGACCTCGTCTGTTTCGCCGCGCTTGCGTTTCAGCGCGATCAGATCCTCGAGAAAATGCGCTTGCGGCTGTCGCTGGCCGCTCTTGTCGCCGCCTACGTGGACGTAGATTCCTCCGTTTCTCTTGTATCGGTGGGGAATGTCCTCCTCGGTCCATCCAAAACCCAAAAATATCCGGTTGGCTATCGAATCTCGCTCCTTGGACACAAATATCGCCTCGCGGAAGTTGATACGCGTCGCGCTTGCCGCGAGCAGGTCCATGTTCTGCGGGAGGTGGCGCAGTGCCGGCAGAGGCGCGCTGTCGTCGTGCGGAGTGAAGATCATTTCTGTGCCAATGTTTTCACACCACGAACCGCGGAAGACATGGTTACGGTAAGACACAACGGGCTCCTTTGAGTGGAGTTCCAGAATTTGGATCTCCTCTGCCGGTTTCTCGACTGCATGGGCGTCGAATTGCCCATCCTTCTCGGCAGTATTTTGGAGCATAGGGTCTATTGGAGGTTCGGGCTGGTCTTGAGGCTGCGGCATGCCGATCGTATCGAGGTCCAGCTCTTCGCGCTCGGGCGGCTCTCCATCATCGGCATCTTTGTCGTCGAGAAGATCCGGGTTCGAGATTTGTGGGTCGGGCGCATTGAAGAGGGGATTGTACCATACTCGGTAGCCGCTTCTAGTGTTGTGGACGATGTCGGTTCGGCGCTCGAGGAAGTCGCGGATGGACAGGTCGAGGGTGAGGTAATATGTCTGCGGCACACATCAGCGTTGGTCGGGTATAGCAAGTTGACACCCGGTGTACCTCTGTCTCCGTCGTCGAATATTCGTATTCCCAACCGTCGTCGTCATCGGGCAGCTTGTTGGCCTGCTGGGGACTGGATGGCTCCATTGCGCGTACTTCTGAACGTGTCCCTCCTCAACCTCGACGGGCTTTGCTTCTGTATTGTGACAGGTGAGATGCCGATGTCTTTTCTAGAAACAAGTGAAATGGCGAGCGATTCTTTGCTGGATGCGCTGGATTAGGGATCATGGCTATTGTTGGATTCAGAGTAATGGGGCTCCCATTCCCGCGCCATTCAACCTCCATTCAATGGAAATCTTGGCGGTCAGTCGTGGCAGTTGACCCCTGTTGCTCAGTGACTCCATGGCGGGGTACCTGCAGGTTGCCGATGCCCCGCCATGAGATAGCGACGCCGGAAGATTTTCAGAATTGGCAACCATTGACTCATCCAACTCTTCTCGGCCTCCTACAAGAGTCGGAGCGGTCGAGGTTAACAAGAGGCTTCCGGTTTTCCTTCCGTCTCTCCCACCAGACAGGCACCGTCAAAATGCCCAAAGTCCACCTCCTCGACTACGTCGCCGGCAACGTGCGCAGTCTCGTGAATGCCATTGAGAAGGTTGGCTACGAGGTCGATTGGGTGCGATCACCGGAAGACGTCGCGAATGCTGAGGTACGCACAAGCCACTTGTTAGCAAAGAGCTTGAAAGTTCTGACATAGCTCCCCTCCCCAGAAACTCATCCTCCCCGGTGTAGGCCACTTTGGCCACTGCCTCTCGCAGCTCTCCTCGGCCGGCTATCTCCCCGCCCTCCGCGCCCACATCGACGCTGGGAAACCTTTCATGGGTATCTGCGTCGGTTTGCAGGCCCTGTTTTCCGCATCGGCCGAAGACCCAGACTGCCCCGGCCTCGGCGTCCTCCCCCGGGCGCTCGACCGGTTCGACGACACGGCCAAGTCTGTCCCCCACATCGGCTGGAACAACGCTTCATGCCCGGCGAATCCGACGCTGTACGACCTGCGCCAGGACTCCAAGTACTATTACGTCCACTCGTACAAATACCCATACAAGAAAGGGGAGCTGGAAGAGCTTGGCTGGGCCGTCGCGACGGGTACATACGGCAGCGAGACGTTTGTCGGCGCCGTGGCCAAGGGGAATGTGTTTGCGACACAGTTCCACCCGGAAAAGAGCGGCGTCGCGGGGCTGAGGGTGCTCCGCGCGTTCTGCGACGGCTCCGGGGCCAAAGCTCTCGCGGAGCATGTTCCCCATGGCGTGGATGGCGACGTAGACGAGATGATCGCGCGAGAGGGGCTGACCAGACGCGTGATTGCCTGCCTTGACGTGCGGGCAAACGACCAAGGAGACCTCGTGGTGACAAAAGGCGACCAGTACGACGTGCGGGAGAAGTCGGAGAATCGGTCTGTCCGCAACCTGGGCAAGCCGGTGGAGATGGCGAAGAAGTACTACGAGCAGGGCGCGGACGAAGTCACGTTCCTCAACATCACATCCTTCCGCGACTGCCCGGTTGCCGACCTGCCCATGCTAGAGATTCTGCGGAGGACATCAGAGACGGTTTTTGTGCCTCTTACGGTCGGCGGCGGTATCCGCGATACGGTAGACGTGGACGGTACAAAGGTTTCGGCGCTCGAGATTGCGACAATGTACTTCAAGAGCGGAGCGGACAAGGTGTCAATTGGCAGCGATGCAGTGATCGCTGCCGAGGAATACTACCGAGGCGGAAAGGTGCTGTATGGCAATACCGCCATTGAACAAATCAGCAAGGCGTACGGCAACCAGGCAGTTGTTGTCAGCGTGGATCCCAAGAGGGTCTATGTTCCCAAGCAGGACGCCACGCGCCACGCCACCATCAAGACGAAGTATCCAGGGCCCAAGGGGGAAGAGTACTGCTGGTACGCATGCACCATCAAGGGCGGCCGGGAAACGAGGGACCTGGACGTTATCGAGCTTACGCAGGCCGTCGAGGCAATGGGCGCCGGCGAGATCCTGCTCAACTGCATCGACAAGGACGGCACCAACAGCGGGTTCGATCTCGAGCTGATTAGGCAGGTGAAAACGGCCATCAGGATACCAGTCATCGCCAGCAGTGGCGCCGGCAATCCGGGACACTTCCTCGACGTCTTCCAGGAGACGACCACGGATGCTGCTCTAGGAGCGGGCATGTTCCACAGGGGCGAATATACGGTGCAGCAGGTAAAAGACCACCTTGGTGAGAAGGGGCTGCCGGTCAGGAAGTTTGAAGGAGTGCTATGATGAGCTTCTGCACATCTACACGCAAATCTTGATATAGACCTGGACGAATACTCTTGGATTTCGCTGCAGATACCATGAATACCAACTAAACGGATGCCCCAATCATGCAAGACCCAACTAAAAACAGCCACTGAGAGATGTCGAGGATCAGACTGAGGATGACGAGCGCTACCATAATGTGGTTGACAAACTCCCAGAACCCATCGCGCCTCGTACGCCTAAACTTCCATTCCCATGAATAACCACCTGTTGCTCAGGACGTCGAATCCTTCGGTCCAAAAATCAAGCGTGGTAAGCGAAAAACCGGCCCACTGCAGCCCCTTTGTCAATCCATGTATTTCGTCCTCGGGAATCGACCGCTCGACGCAGATAACCATGTGCGAGCAAGCAAACGGGCCCTCGGCCAGCTCGATGAGCGCGACGAGCCTGCAGCATGTTAGTTGGCCCTCAAGCGAATTGCGAGAAGGGAAGAGATAGAGAGACGACGTACGCTTGCTTGAGATCCCGTGTGATGGAATGTGCATCGAAAAAGACGAACAGCGACGTGATTCCCCGACGGGCGTCTTCCGAAACGAAGCTGCGGAAGCTGGAACCGCCTGCGTAGTCCCATATTTCCAGCCAGCCGAGGATGCCGCCGCGGCCACTGGCACCAAATCCCTGGCGATTGCCCATCCTGGTTTCATCCGCAATGGGGAAGTCGTCGGGCGGTGTCAGTTGGCCGTGCTGTCCCATAGCCCGGGCATGTCCGTCGCTTCGGTTGTTGTTGCTGCTGCTATTGTTGTTGCGGCTGGAATTGTCGTAATAAACACTGGCCAGGCCGGAGCCGTGCATCGCCGCGTTCCTCTCACCCAGAAACATGGCGCGCAGCGTCTCGCAAAAGAACCTCTCACATTCTTCCCTGATGCGCAGTGTTGCCCCCCCTCGACGGCGATGCCAGGCACTGTTCTCCGACGGAGAAGTGCCCAAGCCGGTGCGACCAACGGCGGCGCCGCGCGATGATGATGACCTCGCCTTGGGGGTCAGCGCGAGCTGGTTGGTCGTCGTGAGGGCCGCGAGGGGGGGGCTTGATGGCGGCGATGGAAGTCCCGTTGAAGGGACCTCAGGAATACCACTCGGCCCCTCCGAGCCCGGTGGTGCAGTAATGCAGGCCCCGGAGCGACGCCGTGGCCGAGTCGACAATGTAGCAGCTGGCGAGGATATTGGCCTGGCGGACAATGCCCTCGCCATAATTACTACTACTATGACTGGATTTCGGTGATTTCATGGGCGCCATTGCTGCGGGATGCCAGGGTGCTGGTTTGGGAGAAATGCTTCGGGGTGAATTGGTGCAGGTAGATCGTGAATTGTGAATCGGCTTATGCAAGCACAAGAAGGTTGTTCTCTCGAGAAATCGGGCTGACTGATGTTGATTCGCGATGTCGATTGACGCTGAGGCGATGCGGTTGCTGTCGACCTTTGGGAGCGACTGTTGGGCTGGTGAATTGGGATTTTGCGAAATGGAAATCAAGGTTGCCACAAACTGGGCAAAAGTCGACGGGCCAGGCGGTCAAAGCTGAGAAATCGTCACGTGGACTAGCAAAGCGGGGCGGTGGCCAACCTGGAGCCAACCAGGACGCTCTACCGCTCACGTCTCACAGGACGACGGATGAGCGGCACACGCTGAAGAGCGAGCTTGTTTGGGTCTGGAACTTTCTAGAGGAATTCAATTGACGAGAGTCAAAACGAGTCGAGAACATTCAAATGTGCAGATAGTCAACCAGATCAAACGCTGGATGCCAGTGCCGGGTTGATGGCTTTTGGGAAAGTTGTGGATGATGCATAACTCTGAGCTGAGCTGGAAACGGCCTTTCAGCTGCTCCATAACACCCATCTTCATACAAAGCTCGCTCATTTTGAGCCTGTAGAGTATATAACCCTTTACGTTTTTATTTCTCGTTTTCCGTTGTTTCCATATCTTCATAACTGACGAAAATCGGCCAGTACAGAGCTTCCAGGTTTGCATTGAATGTCTATTTCCCTGCGAGTTGAAAAAACGTTTCCGTATCCGTAAGCCCCCGTTAAGTTATCTGCAGGTCAGACCTGAATGAAGCCCGGGGTCCGCCTGATGATTCATGGTTCGGTCCGCTGTGGGCCGGCTGCCTACTGCACGTTGAGAGTAGCTCAGCTCCGCGACCTGGTGGTGACCGCATCTATGGAGATATGGACACCTTGAGGTTTAAACATACAATATCATTCTCAAATCCCGTACCGAAAAAACTGCAGTTGACCCAAGAGGTCCAGGTTGACACTATGCAGTGGCCCTTTTGACGCGGCCTCGGCACTGACCTCCGGAGCCGGACACGGCCCGGCAGTTGAGAAGGGATGCCCCGCAATTGCACCGCAGATTCACGTCACCTGCAACCAAGCAGCGGTTCCGATAAGAGCATGCTCATTGCTCACAAAGCAGACAATGCGGGGGGTGTCAGGTGCCCGAACCGGCACCAAATCATGTCATTGCTCCAACAACTTACTTGAGAGGCGACGAAAGCCTGATCCAATGATTGTTCGACATCTTCGGCCGTTAGGCCCGACCACGAACCAGATGTGGTCCAGCCTCCAGCCTCTAGCCTCTTATCTAGAAGGTCAGGCGACTGACTGACTGACACATAGAGACCGTGAGCCCTATCTGTCGCCCCCAAGTACCCCGGGGGATTAGCGTTGATCAACATTGAACAGTGATCTCAACGTTGCTTCACCACTGGAAAGCAGTGTGGTTTCGCTCCCGACCACACGACATCCATCCTGCAGTGGTTGAGGTCCTCTCAAGCTTCATTCAGTAATTTTCACCACGCAAACCATGAGTACCGCCGCCAGAATGTTTGGAGAAGTCATGTCTCTCCGCCGCCCCAGCGCCTCGGCGCCTGCAGACAACAACACCCACCCCTCCTTCCCGATCTACCTCCTCCCCTCGCTGCACATCCCCTTCCGCCGGCGCCGCATCTACGAGCCGCCCCCATCACCGCCGTCAAGCTCCAGCGAGCCCTCTTCCCCAGGTAGCACCACCCCCTCGCTTTCCGCCTCTCCAACCTCTCCTTCCACCCCACCCCGCCGTCTCTCCCGCGCCCAGCCACCCACCCTCCGGTGCAGCAGTTGTTCCACCGACCTGGCCTTCCTCTCCCAGATCGTCAGCAAGGGCTTCACTGGCCGCCACGGCCGCGCCTACCTCGTCGCTCCGCCTCCCCACCCGCACCCGTCCGCACCAACACCACCATCCCCGCCGGGCGGCGCAAAACGGCAGTCGGATAGTACGGATGCGGGCGCAAACCGGGACCTGGCCAACATCCGCGTTGGCCGACCCGAAACCCGCCGGCTGGTCACCGGCGCCCACGTGGTAGCAGATATTTACTGCTGCGGGTGCAGCGCCGTGATCGGGTGGAAATACCTGGACACGGCGGAGCCCGCGCAGCGGTACAAAGTGGGCATGTTCATTCTTGAGACGAGGAGGGTGGTGGGGTTTTGCTGCTGGGAGGATGTCGATGTCGGGGACTTGGACATGGACAACAGCATGGGTATCGCTCATCACAGGCACGGGGAGGGCGGCGGGAATGGTCAGGGTAGGGGATCGTGGGGCTATGGTGGTGACGGGAAAGGGAGGGATGAAGGGCATGACGAGGGAGACGGCGTGGTGGTGTTTGACTCGGAAGATGAAGAGGAGTGCGAGGATATGTTTGCGGGCGTGTGGGATGCCACGGTAGTGGCCCGGCGGCGGAGGAGTCGACGGGCTGAGGACTTCTAAGTTCCGACGATGGCATTTGCGCGTGATGATGGGCACCCTGTCTCTGGGGTGGATGGCGCCCTTTAGGGGTGCTTGCTTTGGCATGGAAGGCGTGCGTTCGTTTCTCTGACGGCGGCAGGTTCGCCGCTAATCATTCTCTTTGGGCAATTCACTATAACGGGTTTCTCTCCATTACAGGCGGCGTTTGGGACACAATTGGGGGCAGCATCAAACTGGGATAATGGACGGCAGAGGAAACATCGATGGCCAGGGATAACAATGGTTGCAGACCGGGCACGGGAACGGAGATTTAATGGGATAACCCCGAGTCAGGGATCTCCAATACACTCTTTGACATGGGCGCATATGGTCTTGAAGCTGATACCCGATCCATACCTTACACAGGTGAGATGGACGAGGCTGGTCTCGTTTACAATTGGTACAGGGTAAATCCGGGCCGCTCTCCAAATATACAGCCACTCCATATACCCGTCTACTGGCACACCTAATTCATGGGCTCCTCAGCAACGTAGTGCAGATACGCGCCCAGCAGCTTGATGCCCTCAATGTAGTTCCGCTTGTCCAGCTTCTCGTTGATCGAGTGGGCGCCGTCAGTAGAGCTGCCCATCGGCAGGAGCAGCACGTTCTTGCCCGTCGCCTGCTCAAAGGTGAGCGTGATGGGAATGCTGCCGCCCTCGCGGGTGAAGTCGGGCTTGACGCCCCAGACGCGCTCCGTCGCCTTGGCCGCGGCCGAAAAGTTCCAGTGGTTGGGGCTGGCAACCCACCACTTGCCGCAGTGCTGGGGGTACACCTTCAAACTGTTCTTGGAACCCAACTTCTTGTGGACCTCCTCGACGTACCGGCAGACGACCTCGTTGGTCTTGTCGATGTCCATGTCGGGCACCGTCCGGATCGAGAACTTGCCAATGACCTTGGCAGGGATGACTGTTTTGGCGCCAGGCGCAGAGAAGGCACCTTCAATGCCGTGCAGCGAGAGCGAGGGGAACCGCCACCGGGCCATCAACGTGCGCTTCTTGTCTTCAAAGATGGTCGTCTTGCTCCCAAGAGAGTCGTGGAGCGTGTCCATAGTGAAGGCGATGTCGTCGTACAGACCCTCCTCCTCAGCCGTGACAGGGGCCACCTGCTCGGCGATGCCCGGAATCAGGATCTTTCCGTTGGTGTCGACGAGCGAGGCCATGATGCGCACTAAATCCGTCATGGGTTCCTGGGCAGTGCCGCCAAAGACGCCGCTGTGGAGGTCGGCGCCCGGTCCCCAGACCTCGATGCTGTAGTAGTTGCACCCGCGCAGCCCGTATGTCAAACACGGCTTCTCGGTGCCGAGCCAGTAGTTGTCGCTGATGCAGACGGCATCGGCATCGGCAAAAAATTTCTTGCCCTCGGCGTTGACGAGGTCGTCGAGGCCGTCCGACCCGTACTCCTCCATACCCTCAAAGCACATGAGCAGGTTGACAGGGAAGTCGATACCGGCAGCCTGGTGGGCTTCGATGGCATTGAGCCAGCCGAGAACGGGGCCCTTGTCGTCGGTCGAACCACGGCCGCACATGCGCCCATCCTCCTTGATGGTCAGCTCGAACGGCTCCGTGTCCCAGCCGTCGCTCTTTTCGGCCGGCTGTACGTCGTAGTGCCCGTAAACGAGAATGGTCCGCTTGTTCTTATCGTTGCCATACCGCGCCAGCACGACAGGTGGCAGGTCGAGATCAGTGCCGTGCTGCTTGCCCAAGGGCCGCAGCTCGACCGAGGCGCCGAGCTTGGTCAGCTCGTCGGCCAGGAAGTGGCCCATGCGAACGACATCGGGGCGGCGGGCGGCTTCCGACGAGACGGAGGGGATGGCGACGGCCTGGCGCAGGCGCTCAATAAACGAGTCGGACAATGCGTCAACCTTCTGGAAATAACTGTCGAGCTGAGGAGACATCTTGCGAGCTTGATGGGCGCGGATGGCGTCAGTGAGGTATGGGCGTGAATTTGCAACGAGGGGTGTTCGGGTCGGCCGGAGTCTTGTTCGGGACGAGGACGGGAAGGCGGAGATGGTTAAGCTCTCGCACAAGACACGGTCATCCAGCAGAGAGCGTCTCGAGTATGAGAGAGTGGCACGACTTGAAGAGATCAAGTTGGGCGAGAGGAAGAAGGGAGTGCGGGGCATTGATGTCGAGAGCAAACTCGTGGGAGGGGTACGATCATTCTCAGCATAGAAGGTAAGCAGAGCTGCCGTTGTTGCCCGCCAACTTGCCCTTGCTTATCTGCAAAACCCCACTTGCTCCATTGGGCTGGGTTCTGTGCCTACTCCGGGCTCCGTCTTTCAAATCCCAATCCAACATATGGCACAAGGAGTTACCTTAAATACGAAGTACCCGGGACCTAAACAGATGGATCTTGAGACTACAGAGTAGTAAATCACTATTAGCGTAGTGTGCCGAGTGTGCCAAGCGCAGAAGTTTAGTTCAGGATATGGGCTGGTGTTGTTACCTATGGGGTCGATCAGGCAATCCGGCTGCCGCCGGCCTTCCGGGCCAGGGTGGGTGCTGCTGTTTCCTGTTGCCAGTGGAGCTGCGGATTTATGCTCGGGCCGGAAGGTCGAGACCTGCGGGGACACAGTACCTCCACGAGGAACATCGCTTGCTGCCCAGGAATTCCTTCTTGACGCGCTACGTGCTTGTTCTGGATCATTCCCTTGAGCTACTGGGATGTCGACGGCACAAAAGCAGACAGGAGCGGTCGTGGAATTGGATTAAGCGCGTGGTCCTTGACCTGAAACGCAAGCTGAGCAATATCTCGCTGTCTCATTGGTCCACTCCTCGCAAAACAAGCGCCCACATCAGCCGCCCAGAGATGGGTACTGCATAGCACAGTGATGGCGCGCCCGTCAACACACTGGGGCTTATGCAGCTTCCAAGCGATTTTCCTCACGCCTGGCAAAAACCCCTGCACCATACTGAGCAGAGGGTGGCATCTCGCAGCCAACCACGGTTGTGCCATAGACGCCAGCAGTAGTTCCCAGCGCTTACACACACCGCATGGCCTCACCAAGCGAGCCACCTAATTTCACTACCTCTTGTTTCCTATTTCACCGGTCTAACTGCTTTAGTTCAAGGGCCCCCGCCTTACGCACGAGAAAGCTTGCTGCCAACATCCTCATCGCCTCGAACAACAAAGGACTCAATTCCGTTGCATTATCTGCAGACCAAAAAACCCAATTTTATTCGAGATTGCAGGTCTAGTTAAGCCTTTCGAACATGAGGGGCGTTTTGCCAGCCCTACTCCGTTCACCGTGCCGGACCCACTCTGTGCCGGACCCCACCTTCGTTCCGCGACCTACCACAACGCCAACTGTTCCTCCCTTCGGGGCCCCACTCGGCGCACACTCGGGGAGCCGAAGGACAGGCAGACTCAACAGGGCGGTTTTGGGAGGTTGGAAACCTTTGAAGAGGTGGAAACAATTTAGAAACTCAAATGGGTATCGTATTGCGACGTGCGTAATTAGTTGCATGAGGTGTAGTTTGACGGTGGTGTTATTCACGTGGTGTTGCGGCTGTAGGGGGCCTAGATTGAAAGCGGCTAGACCGGTGAAAATAGGAAGCAGGGCTAGTGAAATTAAGAGGCTCTGAACCAAGAGCCCGGCAAAATCAGCTTCACACGGCATGTTGGTTATGCAAAACAGGCTCAAAGCTTCCGTTGCAGGAAACCCACCATGACGCCGGGCACAGTAGCGCGCCTTCCCAGCAACACGGTCCCCGATCCAGGGAGAAGGGGGCTTTCCAACGACCAAACATCACGATGGAACACCAGCGAGATATATCCCGGCATCCGCACACAGGCCAGTCCTCGTCATTAGCGTCAAAGTCCTTTGTTCAACTAAACCTCTCTCCTTCCTCACCCAAAGGCCAAAGTCGCTCGTTCGAAGCTTTCGGGTAGCACCACAGCACTCATTTCGAGCAGGGCAGCCCACTTACAGCCATGGCTCGGTCTCCTCCCCCAGCCGCAATCAACGCCTCCACGGCGGCCCTGACCGGGTCAACCATAACCAGCCAGCAGAGTTCGGATTTGCCGCTGAGAAACTACCCGTGCCCCTCAGAAGCCGCCGATGAGCCCGATCCCAGTGACTTGCTCCCGGCGGCGTCCCACTCCGCCTCCCCCCATCGAGCCCCGCCGCCAGAAACCCCGAGCTCCATTGCCGCCGAGTACGGTGATAGCAACAGGGACGCGGCTCCCTCCGCGGCGGCCATCACCAACAGTGTCTTCCAGTCTTACAGCCGATTTAGGTCACGCTCAGGGCCTTCGAACGCGAGTCACGGGGTGGTCCTTGGCACGGCACGCAGCAACTCCCCAGCGCCCGGCAGGTCACACTCGGAGAGCAGGTCTCAGTCATTTCAGCGCAGGGAGCTCAGCCCCGCCAGCGAGGATGTGAACGACAAAGTCTAGAGATTCCTGAAGTCCAGAGATTCCTTCGCTCCATGAGCCCACCAAACCCCATGGACGAGCTCGCCAAGGAGAACCGCAGCCTTCAGCAGCGCATTGCCGCCTTGCAGCGGACTGAGCGAGACTTGCTCAACGACAACCAGGAGCTGGCTCGCAGGTTGGCCTCGAACCAGAAGCGGCATGACACTCGGCGGCAGCGCTGGAAGGAAGAGCTGGTCAACAGGGAAAAGCTCTTTGAAGCACGGGTCAAAACCCTTGAGTCCAGGCTGGCCCGACAGGAGGAAGAACTGATTCGCATCACGCTCGATCGGTCCAGAGACACCGTCTTGAATGACAGCATCATTTCATCATGGTTTGCGTCCAAGGCAAAGACCTGGCGAGTGTGGGTTGACGACTTTGCCCATCGAGACCCCGACCGACTTCAATCCGGGCTCCACCCTCTGCAGTTGCGGGAGCTTTGCGACGGTGTCCGGCATTTCGTTCGCCTTAACGATAAAGGTGACCTTCCCTCCGAGCTGCTGGCAAGTTCCGGCAGCGATGGAACTCGGATGGTCCGACTTCTCCTGCAGGGAATGCTCGCCAACTTCATCATATCGGAAACACTGTCATCTCCATTCTGGGTATTCGACGCCGTCTCCGGCAACTCCCTTGAGGCGGAAAGTCCCAGCGTGCCGCGCTTCAACTCTGTGTCACCAGTCGGATTCCGGATGGACCTCGCCATGTGGAACTTCAGCGTTGGCCCACCGGGCGATGTCAGGTCCCCTCGTCCCATGGTCTTGCCTCACGAGTCCCTGGCTGAGCCCCAAGATATGCGCAAGCTTCCGCGGCTGGTGACAGCCATACAACCACCCAGTCTCTCTACCGGCTCAGCCGCAGGCTTGCTGGACCAGGATATCCCCACAAGACAAGCAATGGAGAGCTTGTATCGGCTTCTGTCAAAGAGTACGCCTCACATTCACCACCTGTGCTATTCGTTTCCCTCGTAGAGAGCATGCACTGACGTATTCTCTGGCAGTGCGAGGCGGCGACAGCAGCGCAAATGCTTGGCGCAACTCGCTGATGAAGTCCTTCTTCGAAGGCGGCATGAGCATGGAGGCCGATAGCATCCTTCACACTGAGGACAGCCGTCCCCTAGCCGAGGTCCGGCTCAGGTATGCGGGTAGGTTGAAGGACAAGTTCTTGCGAGGTCCAGCTCGGTTTCTGCTCCGCGACCAGGATTCGGCCGGCATCGAGAAGCTTGAGCGTCGGTTGCTGCAAGAGATCGATGCGACCCTGCGCTTCTCGTGTCAGTTATGGTGCCGCCACGATACTCCTCAGGTGCGAGGCCTGCATGACCTGATCGAGACGGCATTCAACAACTCCCGGGACGATATCGAGCTGTGCCAGGCCCAGGCACCGCTCCATGTTCAGTCACCCCGAGGTCCTAACGCTGATGATGCGCCCCCGGGATACCACGATGGCCACTCGGTCATCATGGTTGTCCAGCCTTCCGTTGGCATCAGCACAAGCACTAGTACGGTACAAGGTGCCAAGGTCAATTACAAGGTCAATCCCAAGGTCTGGACCAAGGCTAGTGTACTCGTGGCAACGCCAAAACTTCCCGTGCGGGAACCACCAGCCTTGCAGCAGAACGGATCTCCTGGTGCCACTACCCTCAAGGCTACGGCCAATACCGCCTCCGTCAAGGCCATGCTCGAATCGCCCAGCCCCGTATCACCACCGAGCTCTGCACCACCTCCTCCCGTCCCACCCAAAGATGCCAAAGAATCAGCTCTGATCCTGTTGCCGAACATTGCGTTCAAAAACCTGTCGGCCCGGGCACCTAAACAACTACCAAGCCTGGCCATTTCACTTGCTGCGCCTCCGATGGTCTCGTAAGAACAGATGATTTCCGGCGCATTCGGGGTGAAGGGGGGCCGCAGGTCCCGTGGATGCCTAATATTGATTGAGACCCGTCTCTTGGAAGTTGGATCCTGGCGGTCGTTCAGGGTTGGAATGTAAAACAAGGGGGGGACCGCCTTGGCTCCTGGGATTAATTCCATCCGGCGCCTTTTTTGATTCGGTTCGTGGTCTGGCCCTTTTTTCGAGTTCGCTCTTGTATTAGGAAATGAGATAATGAGTTGTTACCTTCAATCGGAAATCACTTGACGGTTTGTAGCTTTTCGGTTGAAATCATGATTTCAGTTCTCATTCCGTCCCTCTATCAAAGTTGGACGATGGCTGGCCAATCCATTCGCCCAAGGGAACCTCGTAAATGCAAAATCATAAATATGAACAGGAAGATATTTGAAAGCATTTCCTCTCAGGCACCCTTGCTCATAACAGACTAAGAGGGACTGCCCAGTCGTGCTCTGCTTCGAGGATACTTTCCCCCTCCCCCCATCCTGAGCCCCTTTTGGGCCAATCTTCGTCCTGGCGGCGCCCTTCCCTGCCCGCACTTCCAACTCCAAACCCTGCTTCTGCTCGTTCATCCACCGTGCATTCGAGCCCCTGACTTAGCCGGAGGGGTTGCCGTTGAAGGCAAGCCTGTTGATGGTCCCGCTGGGGAGGCCGGTGATGGCGCCCGAAACGCCCGTGTTCTTAATGTAGGTGCAGAGATCCTCGGGGGATGTCTTGCCGCGCAGGGCCAGGAGGTAGGCGGCGAGGCCGGCGATGTGGGGGGAGGCCATGGAAGTGCCCGAAATGGTGTTCTAATTTGCATTTCTTAGCACATTTGCTCTCCCTAACAAGGAGTAGGATTTTGAACTCACGGTAGCCGAGCTGCTGCCGATCCAGGTGCTCAGAATGCTGCTGCCGGGGGCGTGGACGTCGACGGCAGAGCCGTAGTTGGAGAAGCTGGACTTGCGGTCGCTGCTGTCGGTGGCGCCGACGGTGCAGACGGACGCCTCAGACGCGGGCGAGTAGTTGGCGGCGTTGCGGTTATCGTTGCCGGCGGCGACAGCCAGGAAGACACCCGCGTCTACGAGCGCAGCAGCGGCGTTGTTGATGGCGGCCGAGTACCCGCCGCCCAGGGACATGTTAGCCACGGTGCCGTTGGGGCAGTTGCGCTTGGGCGCATCGTCGGCCACAAAGTTGATGCCGGCGACGACACCGGAGCTATGGGTGGCTGAGGTCAGGGGGTTGGACTTATTCAGGGGTAGATGGTGGAAAAGGGGTGACATACGTTGAACCGGAGCCATCAGCGCCGAGGACCTTGACGGCGTAGAGGCGAGTCTTCTTCGCAACACCGTACTTGTTGGAACCGATGGTGCCGGCAACATGGGTGCCGTGGCCGTTGCCGTCAGTGTTGGAGCTGTCGACAAAGTTGGCAGCAAAGGTAGCGCGGCCGCCAAATTCCTGGTCAATGTCAGCAACGGGGCGCCATCGCTTTGGGTCCTAGTGAACATACCGAGTGGGCAGTGTAGATGCCCGTGTCAATCACGTAGGAGCAGGTACCGGCACCAGCGCTGTCGTCGTAGACGTACGTGGTGGAACCCTTGGCCTTGTGCGAGATGCGTCCAAGACCCCAGGGAGCACCGGTCTGCGAGACGTACGTGTTGATGGTGAAGATGGCCTCCTCCTCAACATACTCAACCTGTGTTTTGCATGCTCAGTACAGTACTGGCCGGAGAATGACCTGCGGGCAAGGATGGCGACTCACCTCAGGCAAAGACCGAATGGCGTCAAGAGCATCACTCTCGACCTTGCCGGCAAAGCCCTTGAACTTGCGGTGCTTCTTATACACGAAATCGGGCTTGTTCCTGAGCTTGCTGATAGCGGCCTCGAGGGCGTCGTCGCTGGCGTCCTCCTTCAGTTTGATGACATACTTGCCGGGGACGACCTGCCCAGCCCGCGCAGCAATGATCGGGGCGCGCTTGGTGATGGGCTCGGTCGTGGGAGCTGCGAGAGCAGCAGCGGGCAGAAGAGCCAGGAGGGCGGTAGAGAAGAGCATCTTGACGAGATTGAACCGGGAGAAGAAACTGGGATGAGGTGTCGAGCTTGGTGCTGGGGACAGGGCATCATGGTTGAAGAGGAGGTATGGTCGTGATATTTATCCTCATGGGCCATGCATGGCATGTAGACAATGGGGCCATCCCCGTGCTCTCAAACACCATCTCCCAATCTATTTGCGACCTGCCGCTTTTGACAAATAGGAGGGCCGCCTCAGTACGGGGCATGACTGGGCCCGGAGGATTGTGGCAGGCGACTGGCCGGTGATAACACATACTCGACCTCCGAAGGGGACTCTAGGGGGCTCTCGCCTCACGGCACCGTTCTCGGGTCTCGACCATGTAGAACAAAACGGCAGGCCCGCAGCGAGACACCTTCCCGGTTCGGCGCGTCACCCGGTATTGACTGGGTCTCAGGCAGGCGAGCGGGTGCTCCCGTCGCCATGAAGGGGCCAGAGTGAAATGTGAAGGGGCTACCTGACATTCAAGGGTTAGCCAAAGCCGCACGCCGGAAGCGCCAAGCCTTCGCAACCGCCCTTACACGCCCCATAGCGATGGCTACCTGACATAACAGGCTTAGGTCGATTGAGTGCCGATCTTTTGATGTGAGAGGTCAGGAGTGGCTGGTGCGACATGTGCCGTTGGATGATGGAAGGCTTGGCCGTGGGATTTGGAAGCATGGGTGATGCAATTACATTCCAGCAGGCAAGTCGATCAGGCGGGATCCCATAATCATGCGCAGAGAGACGGCTGGAAAGCCTGTCAATAAGGTACCTAGGAGCGGTGTGCATGCCGCCCTGTTTCGGGAAGGGACTCACATGTCTGGTCCAGTAAGGTAGCCAGCATGGACAAGATGAAAGCCAACACTGCTGCTCAGCGTAGCTTGAGTTCAGAGATATCATCGAGGGACGAACTCTGCCTCTGCTCAGCGGATAAAGGTGCTATAACCCACCGTGAGAACTTATATGAGGCATGCGTGTCCCTTCCGGAAGCTCTATCTGGCTGAGACACCAGCCCTTTTTCGGTTCGATATCAGTTCCATAGGTTTTTGCTCCGCGACATTGGCCCGTCAAAACAACGGAATTGGGCTGCAAAAACAAGCCACAATCAAGACAAGCAATCTAGCATCCGGGGAAATTGGTCATGCACGCCATATCTCGATGTAACCTCACCAGCAGAGACCCAAGATGGCGCCATTGCATTGGTCCACAGCCCGTCGGCAACTGAGAAGGAGGCGCCTCGGGACTTGCTTGTAAAGTGGGGGATTGGTGGAGAAGATGGAAGGATTGCGGGATGATGGGGGAGAGGTGCCGATCTCTTAGGTCAGCAGCTTGCTCGAAAGACTCCAAGAAGCCTGCGCGTGGGTCATGGTGAGAACCAGGCATGGCAGGTGGTATCAGAAGGTCAAATGGGAACATGTTGTCGCGATGGCATTTGCAACGCCGGGCCAAGTTTACCTACCAACAAGTACTACTGTACTGGTATAAGTGTCTCAAATTATCGAATTAACCTCGGTTTGTCTCGAGGCCCCACAACCGGGTTACCCCTTCGTTTGTGATATATCCGTTCTTCAGGCAAAACTGGCGTGGCGAGCAAACCAGGCCTTTTTGGAGTTTGTTCCTGCATTGAAGTTAGTGTCCCCTCCGAAACCGCGGCCCCCCATGCGAGTCCACACTTCCTGGTTCACCGAGAGCTTAGCTCTGCGACTGTTTCATCCAAGTTGGGTCACTTGCCAGGCCTTATCTGATGGCCTTCCAGATCGGGCCAGGGTCGAGTTGCGTTGTGGTCTGCCCTTCTCCCCTACTTTCGACCACGGCCGCTACCAGACGCATAGGGTACACTCGTCAATCTTCAAAGCGATAGATCCTCCTGCCAGGATCTGGATAGTTCATGCTCTGCCAAGAAGGCCGTCATGGGCTCTTGTTAGTGACTCGGTTCGTTCATACCAGCTGCCGAATCAAGTATGACGACCGGGTTCGTGCTACATGAACTTTCCACTCGTAGACTGCGAGGCCGATTATATCATGTCTTGGGCGGCCGTACATCATGATATAATGCGAAGTGTAGAAAGTGTCATTTAACCTCCCATTCCTATAGCTCTAAGCGAGGCGTTCACATGTCTGACTCAGTCTGGAGAGACCAGGACAATGACTAGTATTGTCAACCTAAAACTCCATCGTGAGACCTGCTATGAGACCTTGCGAAACAGGTTACTTGCACTTGATCTTGCCTCTCCCGGTATGAACAGACGCCGATATTATTTTAGGGAGAGTGGTTTTTTTGATAGTCATTCGTAGCACGCTGAGGTGGGTTATTGGTAACCGTAAGGTACTAGTAGTACAAGAAGCAGCACCACATGCTGAATGGATGACGCTGAAATTTTGAATTGATTGATTAGATGCATTGTAACCGAAAAAGAGCGAGACGCAAGCTCCAGAGCCTGAATGCATGCTGCTAGTTAAACCTGAGCCCACGTTGAAAGACAAAGAGAAGAAAACGCTAGACTCCTGGAACGAGCAATTAAAGACAGTACTGGACGGAACTGAATTGCCCTACTAGTCACCGGTATGATTAATATTTTCGCTGGAAATCATCTAAAATATAATCATGGGAAAGGACTGACGAACTATGTTGGGGTACTTAGCTGGCACTACGCTGCATTTTCAGCCAATGTGCTGGTTACTGAGGGAGTCGAGATCACAGGATTCTTCAAGAAAAAGGAAGGTAAATTAATAATCACTAGTTATACCACTGGCCAGAGTTTCGATATGTGTGTTTTGGCATACGCTAGTCAAGTTCAAGTTGACCCTGCCCATCGATCACGGTCTAGAGTGCTAAGAGGCTTGGGGAGCTCACAAAAAGGGGAATGGCTAGATCGCAAACCGCCACGGCTATATAGCACAGTGCGATCCCTGATTCGGGAAAGCTCCCGCACCGCCCTGCAGCAGTACAAAAGTGAATATTCTGACAGCTGCTGCCAAGCGGGTACTTAGCAGCTGCCACAGCTTAATCAACCTGTTCAATGAAGTCAACGCAAATAACTTTGGCTCGTTTCCACTGCTTTTTGTGATAACGTACGGATGTCCCTATCAAAAGTTTTACCACACCGCCTATTTAGTTTACTGGCCATAGGAGAGTTCTCTGCCAAGCAGAATTACTGTGATTTTAAGGCGGTGAAGCAAGCCTTTTGGTAGGGACCTCCGTATTCTTGAAGGTACTGAATATGAACGACACAATTCACTGGCGTACACTCTTTCGGGGGGCGGGGGCTGCAAGGGCGGCCGGGCGCTTCCGACGACGAGTCGATGGCTTCCATTCTGCTTGGAAACAGCTTCATCAGCTTCATGAATGGCGTCAAGGGCAGGAATCATACCTGACGATCTCTGGTGGTAACAGGTTGTGGATGGAAGCGGAAAGTTGAAGGGGGAAGTTGGAGCAGCAGCCGGCTGCTGTGGTGTGTTTTGGGCAGGCGCCGAGCTGTGGCCCGCTTGCCAGCTGTCAGAAATTCACTTTTGTATTGCTGCGAGGCGGTGCGGGAGTTTTGCCGAATCAGGGATAGCGCCGTGCTATATAGCCGTGGCGGTGTGAGATCTAGCCATTCCCACAAAAAGACATCCGATATTCAGGCAAGAGTTACCCCCCTCTATCGCGTAAACAAAGGGTTAACTGCATGTGGCATTTGCTCTTATCTGGACGCCATATCAAAACGTCCTCAGCTTGGGACTGTGAGCCGTTCATGTCTCTTCTAAAGTCCAAAGGTACCTTGCAAAACAAACGCTGTACCCTCATCTGAATCCAGCGTGGATGTAAGCGCCGGACAAAACAGCATAGGCCGCCCATTTGACCCCTGCACTTGTATTTCGGACGCAGTCCCGCCCAGCGTCTCAATCTGGTTCATCACGCTGTCCATCATGGACGAGTCGTAGCCCGCGCGCTTCATGTCCATTGCCAACTGGAAGGCGTTGGCCCGGACAAGCGGGCTACCCTTCGCATAGAAGACCAGCGTCCCGGTCAGGAAGTTCAGGGCGTCCTCGCTCTCGTGTCTCCCTGCTCCTCCTCCTCCTCCTTCTCCTCCTGCTGCTCCCTGTGATGCTGAAACACAATGCTCAAGGAAAACCAACGCAGCCATGTAAGCAGCAAACGAGAGCAGCGGGTTCCGAATCGCCCTGCCGAGGCCCTCCTCGCCCGCCGTGCGGAACACGGCCAGAATTCCCTGGGCAGCAGAGTCCTTGCGGGCCTGACTCTCGGCGATCAGATTGGCGGAAGCCGAAATCGTGGAGTGGTTCTGATGCAACAACCCCAGCGCCACGCGGTGAAGCTGTATGATGGCCATGTGGGTGCAGGTGTGGACGAGGATGGCGTCGAGGCTGCGCGGGTTGTGCGAGAGCTGCAGACTTTCGGGCAGGAAGAGGGTTAGCGTAGTGAGGTTTGAGTCGAGCTCCCTGTGACGCCGCCAGTAGGATCCGTTGAGCATATCTTCGATGTTGACATTCTTGTGGTCTGGCGGATGGTGGGCAGTATGATCGAGGACGTGGAGAAGCTCGTTAGCGGCGAGGATGCGGATGGCAAAAGGGGATGGCTGGGCGCCGCTTTGTTGTTGGAGTGCCCGCAGAGCCTTAGAGAGAGGAATCGGGGCCTCGTTTTTTATGCCCCAGATGAAAGCTTCTTCAGTAGAAGGAAGCGTGGTCCGGACATGGCGTTCCTTGATCAGGGAGGGCCAGCCCGTGATGGACGAGAGGAAGCGATCGGCCATGAAGGCGACCCACCACGTTCGCCGTCTCTCCTCGGCCTCGATCCAGGTCCTTGGACGGGGTAGGCCTGACTGTAGCTGGTCCTGGCCTTGAGGGTCAAGAAGGTCAAGTCGGTGCAATTTGAGCATCTGAGCGATCCGCACTGCTCGGCAGAGGCTCGTAGAGGCCCGAGTGAAGATGGCGTACACGTGGCATTCATAGGCTGAGATGAGGCACCAGGCTTGGACGTGGCCCAGTGTCGTGAAAGTCTCTCCTTGTCCCTTCAGCTCGTCAGCCTCGGCGTAAACCCTGGCACGCTGGTAGAAGGGCTCGGAGAGGTGGCGGTAGGCTTGTGATGTTGCCGCAGCCGACGCCATGACGATGTACTGCAGACACATGGGAGGGCGCATGTGCGGAGGGAGACGCAGGGCTGCTGTGTAGCTCGTCTGGTGAAGCATGGGCGCACCGGCATGGATGTTTTGAAAATAGAGAGTTGTCCTACATGTGGGTGAGCTTCTGATTAGCAATTGCCTGAACTTTGTAGGGATGACATGTCATTGTCTTACAGCTCGTCTATGACCTCCCACGAAGGGAGCTGCTCAAAGAGGCTGAGGCCAAACAGCTGATTTGCACCTGACTGTGGAAGGAAGCCCGGTGCTGCCTGGGCGGGAAACATCATGTTTTCGAGTGACAGATCCTGGTATAACGGTGGAGGGTCGGCGGCGAGGAGATCCAGGCTTAAGTTGTTGTCTTCCTGGAACAGGGGCTGGGGTCTCTGAACTGAGTCTGATTCGGTCTCTTCATTCTGTCGCAAGTTATTGAGGTTGGCCGCCCTGAGGAGGGCTTCAAGTTCCTCTTTAAAGTCGTGCTTGCTTCGTTAGCCCCATGTCTCAAGATTTCGCCGCTCTCGGCGGGACCTCACCTATTCGCGTCTCAAGTTCCCGCACAGTTCTGCGTCGACCAAGCGCTCGCTGCCTCGCTTCGGGATAGTTACATGTCTCGCCTAGCTGGACACACCTCTCACACCTTGGGAACTTCCGGTCACACCTAAGTTTCCGGTTTCGACACTGCGCGCAGGACAGTTGACTCGTCGCCGTGCTCCCACTACGGCTTCCCTCGCCTTCCAGTCGTAACGGGGTTTGCTCGGCTTCCATGTTGAAGTTGAACAAAGAACTGAGAGAGAGTTCCGAGGTGCATAAGAGAAAGTGCGACCTGAGGCACTACTACAGGAGAAGATTAGGGGCTGACGAAGCATCGCTAGCAGGGGCCGCCGAGCACCAATCGCAGGCGGTTCGGACCCCGAAGTGGGGAGGAGGAATGGACTAACGGACTGCGAGAAACTCCTCCAGTCATACCTTGAAGGTTCCTGTCAAGGGGACATGAACAGAGCGCAGCAGCTAAGCAAGATTGGAGTCTATGTTACTTCCAACATGTTGCAAAGAATCACTGGAGATAAATCGGCAAGCATTAGCAAGCTGCAAGCATCTATTTCGATCGATCAGAGTCCGAGGCCCATCTCGGACACCGGCTTTGAAATGCACGACTACAATGATGTCTTGAGGCTTGGTGTAAACGACATCGAGTGCTAATCTTCATTCTATAGCTATAAGTACAGGCGCTCGCCGTCAGATCTAACCCGCCTGTCTATCATCACATCAGACAACCAGCACTCTCACACAGACAGCTTGCACAGCATCCAACGTGCAATCTCATCTTACTTCCAATTCCCTAACCATTGACCATTCCAATCCAACCACTCAGTCAACTCATATCCACCATGTCGAACATCTTGACCGTCTTCGGCGCCACGGGCATCCAGGGTGGCTCCGTCATCCGAGCCGTTTTGGCCGACACGGAGCTGTCCAAGACCTTCAAGATCCGCGCTGTCACTCGCGACGTGTCCTCAAACTCCGCTCAGGCTCTCAGCAAACAAGGCATTGAAGTCGTCACTGTGAGTCCTTCCGGTCACTTTCACAAGTGCTTACCCCCAACTCATGCTCATGCTCACATCACAACCAGGCCGACATGAGCTCCCCGGCCTCCTTGTCCAAGGCGCTCGAGGGAACTCACACAATCTTCCTCGTCACACTCCCCGATTTCGTCACCGGCGCAGCCCTGGGGACTGAGTTCGAGCACGGCAAGAACGTTGCCGACGCGGCCAAGGCAGCGGGCGTGCAGCACCTTGTCTTCTCGTCCCTCATCAACGTCACTGAGGCGTCCAACGGCCGGCTGCCGCACGTTGCGCACTTCGACCGCAAGGCCGAGGTCGAGAACTACATCCGGTCATTGGGCACGCCGGCCACCTTCATCCAGCCAGGCTACTACATGACCAACTTCACCAACCTGCAACTCCTGCGGAAGGGCGAGGATGGGTCGTACACCCTCGCAGGTCCCACGAGTCCCACCAAGGCCCAGCTGCCGCTATTCTTCCCCGATAGCGACACCGGTGAGTTTGGCTTCTATCTGGCAGACAGAAATGAGACTGTGACTGACCGAGGCAAACTCCAGGCAAATACTTTGTGGCGGTCGTCAAGAACCGCAGCAAGGTCCTGGGCAAGCAGATCCATGCCGCCGCCGACTACTACACCCCAACTCGCATCATGGTGGAGTTCCAGGAGGTGGCGGGCAAGAAGGGGCAGTACGTCCAGCTCGACCAGGAGGTGTACAAGAGCTTCCTGCCCCCGCCCATTGCCCAGGAGATTCTGGAGAACGAGCTTCTCTGCGAGGAGCCGGGCTTCTTTGCCGGCGGCTCGCTCGCCGAGGGCCACGAGTTGCTTGCTGAGGTTGGCCTGAAGCCGACGACGTGGAAGGACTTTCTGGAAAGCAAGAAGGAGCTTTTTGCTTAAGCGGGCGGACAACTGAGCTTCGAATTCTCTGCTGGAATGGGAAGCTAAAATAGAATGGAGGATTATCTTGATGACGGGCATGATCAGTTTCCAATAATACATCGATAGACTTGGTGTTGCACTGTACCCTCACTTCAAGTTGTTCCAGACTAGCCGCCGCCTTCCTGACACGGTCGCTCGCCTGGAAAGTGTTTGTACTGAGAAATACAAAGAATTGGACACGTTCCCGACTGGCGAGATGGGGGCCTGTCCGGGTCTTCAATCGAGAACACAGTTTCAACCAAGAAACCCAGTTTGCTCAGCTGTCGTCGACATCTGCGGTTGAGTGCCTGAGGAGCGTGATACGGGCGAGATGAGCGCAGTGCCACACCAACAAATTTGTGCAATGGCAAGAGTTCAAAGTATGATTGCTGCCGCCAGCACCAACGCCATCTTGGAACGCTGGCCGATGAATCGAAGGGTGCCTTATTGGCGGATCGGGTACGTCGAATCACGGTCGATCTCGGATGACTCGCGCTGAACTGAAAGTAAGGTTGGGGTTCCGGTCGAGTCTAAAGACTCCGGCCAACTTCGCGCCGCCTGCTGTTCAACTCATGTACCTCAATTGACTGGGCTGTTAAAAGAGGTGCCGAGAGGATGATTTTTACAAAAATTGTTTTGGGCTGTACTAACAGCTTGCATGGAACGGTACTTGTGAGCGTGCTGCGTGTGAATGGGTGCTTTGCTCCTTCCTAGATAAGCCCGTTCCCAGGGAGGGAAAGCAAAGCCCGATGGGCCATGGAAGTTACAGGCCAGAAGCCTGCCCAGAATCTGCCGATGCTCAAATCCAGGGCGGGTGGTAATCTGGCACGGGGCCTGGCAGATACTGACTAAGCCTCAGCGGCAACGTCCTTTTGTTGAACACTCTGGGCAGCGTGCGTGCTGTGAACCTGGAAGTCGTCGTCTTCGACACGCAAAAATCTGCGGGGCGGGGAGCGGAGCAATTCGAGCCTATCGGACCAAGGTTTAGGTGACGCCCGAGGGGCCAGACCTGATTCCGCTGCGCTGCTTCACCAGCTTGCCTAACAAGCATCAAGCAGCAGAGACAAAGTTGAACAGCCCACAACAATGAACCTGTCGCAGAGGCCTAAAAGATGTCGACCAGGGATGCTCCGAGTCGTATGGGAACAGCAGCCCACGTTGGGCAATGGAGAGGATCCCAGCAGTTGGAACTGTGTGCCCACTAAGAGGACAGAAGCCGCAATGCAACTCCTCCAGCGCAGCCGCCACCCAAAGTCGGTCCCTTCGGATGGCATAATTCGGCCTCTGGTCTCCCATGTTATCCTTATGGCAATTCGCTGGTCACTATGGAGTGGTGCGGAAGGTGCAGGTGGAGAGTCAGGTCTGGCAAATCGTCGGGGACGAACTATAGCGCTTTTCTGGTGCTCGAGTCGTTTGATGATGATGGATCTGCAGCACCATGAAGCGTCAGGAAACAACAACAGACGTGGTTGACGAACCAGGCCACCGCAACGGCTTTTGCCAACACGGTTGGACGCGGCGCAACCATGGTCACACCCAGAGACGTGAACTGCCATCCCACAACTCGCCTGAAATCGGCCTTGACCTGGTAACCCGACGACGCCCTGTATTGAATGCTATGGTCTTGCCAGAATCATCAAATCCCCGACCAGCCGCCCCCATCATGAAGTCCAGTTGCAAGGTTATGGCGACATTTCGGCCGCATGCAACAAGCAGTCCAGGGTAATGCACAAAGCCACAGCAATCGTCCCATCCTGCCAAGCGTACCCGGTAAAAGACGACGCCAAAACGAAACGCCAGCCGTTTATTTCTCCTTCTTGGGCTTGGGGCCCTTGACCTTCGCCGTACCCCGGAGGGTCTTCTGCCTGTTCTTGCGCTGCTTGCCTATGCGGGAGAAAGTAGCGTCAGCGATAACCATTCCCGACAAACCACCAAAAATTCCACCGTCACCGATCCGTGACTGGTCTGCATCGCAAGATGAAACGTACGCTGCTGCCTGCTCGCGCGCTCGATCTTGGTGGCCAGGCCCACGCGGACCAGCCTGTAGTGGGGCTCGAACTTCTTCATCGCCTCGGGGGAATCGTAGATGAGGGCAAAGCCGGTCGTCTTGCCGCCACCGAACTGGGTCCGGAGACCGAAGACGCTGACCTGGTCCTTCTGGGCCTTGTACATGCCGGCGAGCTTGTCGCGGAGCTCATCCTTGGAGATGTTGGCGCGGTTGGGGTGGAGGATGTCACTGCATGAGAAAGCGATCAATCAGCACCGCGTCCATCAACCCACGCAACTGCCGCCTGAATCCAAGGCCACGTCCAAATCGTCGTCGCCCAGTCGATAATTGTAGCGACCACAATGCAGGGAAAAATTTGTCTCTCTGACGATGTGGCTTCCGGAGGGGCTCGGGCGGAGGGTGCAGGCGGCAGTGTGAGAATGCACTGTTAGGAAGACTCACACGACCATCTGCTTGCGACCGAGCAGCGGGTTGCGGATGAACTTGCGCGTGCGCAGCGTGACCGGAGAGTCAGAGTCGGCCATCTTGGCGGTTGGATGGCGGTCGATGTTGGCGATACTTCCACGATCTCGATATCTCGGAGGTTTCAAGTGGTATTTTCCTGTGGTGCTAATTTTTGCAGGGTGCTTGCGCCAGGGTGGAGCTCGAGAATCCTGTTGCCGGATTGGTTGTGGGCGCGAGCCCTAATTGTGCTGCGGCCTTCAATTTTAGGTGACAACAAAGTGGGGGGGTCATAGTCCCACTTCTAGAGTGTCCCTTTGCAGAATCGAAAGATCACAACATTCCATTGCCTCTCGGCATCGTCTCACGTCCAACTGCTCGCTGCAAGTGCATCTCACATGGTCAATTTGCAAATGTGTATCGGGCTCTCATCGCTGTAAAATGGACCGTTTTGCTTGCTTCTTGGCGGCACGGGAAACGACTCATGGCTGACCGCGAAGCCCCTTTTCGCGCACACGGCCAGAAAGCTCTCGAAAGTTGCCAGGTTCCGCTCTGTCGCAGCAATCAGAACGGCGAGCCCCGGGAACAGTATTGCCAGCTCTTCCAGCGTCGCAACCAGAGCCGGAATCACGCTCACATCGTAGGTGATATCTGCGCCCAAGATGGTATCCAGCCCTCCTCCTTCCATTTCCCCCAACGGCGTCCCAACCAGCGCATGGCCCCAGTTCAGCTGCATTGCCGAGACCTTGGGCGACCCCTGGAGGCCGTTCAGGAAGAAACTGTCCGACAAGTGGTTGACTACCTCAACCGATCCGTCTGATGCGATGACATGGCCTGAGCCCAGATACTTGGCGCAAAGCACCGAGAGGTAACCTGTCCCAACCCCCAACTCGAGCACCCGCTTGTTCTTGACGAGCGACGGGTCAATGCAGAGATACTGCCCGAGGTGCAAGGCCGCCTCCCAGGTGCGCAACCCCGTCGTTCCGGCAGCCGAGATGAGGGACCGAGATTCCAAGAGGTGGATGCGAGGTGTCTCTACTGCTGTTGACTGGCCATGCAGGAGCGAGAGGTGATAGGTGACGTAGTCTCTTTGTTGAGCAGCATCCGTCTCTGATAGTAGTGGCTGCGACAGTAAATTCGAGAGGGCAAAGGTGAGGTTATTCGAGATTCCCTTGGTGTCTCCTCGTCAACGATGTCACACCTCCAAGAAGCAGCCACCCCCACGCCACTTACATGCTCGTCCCAGTCCTCGATCGAGCCTTCAATCCTTGCTATCAACTCCTTCAGGATCCTGACCTGGTACCGCCGAGGTGGACGAAGGGTGACCGTATCGCTGAAGACGCGCTCGTAGATGGTCTCCTGCACAATCTCATCACGGAGCAACTCAGCGTCTGGGAAGTCTGGAGCTGGCTCCACTTGCAGGTTCTGCCAGCAAAAGCGGGAAACCTTCGGGTTGATCATTGGGTCATCAACAAGAGACACCGCAACGACAACGCTTCCAGGATCCGCGGCAGTTGCAATTGTTGAGGAGGTGAACTCGCAATGTGCACCCCGGGCCCCCTGTTTTGGCGTGGGAGATGAATGTTGCTGGCTTCGCGCTGCTGAATGAGGGGCTGCTGCCCCTGTACGGATTTGAAGAAAAGCACTGGCCACTCCACTATCCAAACAGCCTCGCCAAGCACCACTGAGTTTTCATTCTCCATCATACCTACCAGAGGTATACCCAAGCCCACTATTCTTGTTCACCCGCCTTCGTCTCATGTGCGGTTCATCAATGCCCGTCAAGCTGACCAGAGTCGAGCTGCAAGGCTGAGCGCTGATGAGAGCTGACTGGAAAGGCCGTGCATCTTCCACTCGGCGCGCCAATACGACTGCGGCGGTTGGGGTTTGGTTTGCTCTTGCCATCGAAAGGGCTGGGCTATTGACAGAAACGTGTGACGGGCTGGTGACGAGGGAAGGAGCGTGCCTTGGTCATCACCTGATGCAACTGTGAGAAAATGGAAGGCACGAGATCCTATAAACTCCCCCTTCGTTTCATCTCTCCAGTTCCTTAACTTCCTCTTCACGATTGTCAAGGAGCTGCCAATGTCATGATCTGCCGCCGAGTGTGTTGTTATGCTGAACACCCTGGAGAAGTCCGTCCTGGGCCTGCGCATCATCCTCAATGGCACTTCTGCCCAGCTCCCGGCATTTTGATGTTGATGCAACTACAGCCAAGGTTATCTGGGGTTTCATCTTGTTGTTCTGAACGCACGCAAACTGACCGAGTTTCAGCTCTTTTCTTTTAGCTTCAGGCATCATGTGCACCGTTCGGCAGGGTTGGGGGTGGGGGGAATGCGCTTGTTGAACTTCATCTGTGGTGACGTGTGGCCTAGAATCCTAATGATCCTTCCTTTCCATAGATGATGACGCCGGCCAACTGTGAGTGTGTCACTGCCTTCATGTTCGATAGGTAGCTTTGGGATTAAGTTGGGCCTTGCGTCAGATGTATCACCCCTAATTCTGCGCGTCAACGTTGCTGAGATAGATCACTCCTTGATACCAACGCCACCCCCATTGGGTCCCTAGAGCCGTGTCTTGTGATACCCAGGGAGTCCCGTCCTTTCTTTTCTTTAGTCTAACACACTAGGTAAGGCAACCACACGAAACCCGGCCGGATCTTTTTCAGTCGGACCTCTCCATGGTAGAGGGAGCCGGCGCCTCTAGCCCCAACTGTTTTCCCAATCCGAGATGTCTTTGCAAGCAAACATTACATGACCAACATTGACCATTAGATGACATGAGCGTTTTGAGAGGTACAACTAAGAAAGCTGGACGGTACGGTCATCCTGAGATGGTAGGAGAGAGGCACAACGAGCCTCCCGTGAAACAGACCAGCCTTGACATAAGAGACGGGTTTGCGGACCAAATGGACCAGACAACTGCTGAGCCCACATCGTTGGCCGCATTAGGACCATGCAAGCAGCCCACTCCCGCTTCCTCAGGCCTCGGACACGAGGTCAGACGAGTTGAATTAAGTGATGATGGAAACCAGAAACCAACCAACGTGAAAGAAAGAAAAAGGAGCAGGACCAGAAACGCCGCGATACTGATTCAATCCCAAAAAAGATGCATGCACACTTTAGTCGCCAACCCGAACCGACCTCTATGGTTTTGAGACTGAGCCAAGAACAAAAGAAGGGGGTTGGATAACCCGAAAGACTTTCTCGCCACACTGTCCGGAGGTTTTGACTGGGGCGGCGGGGTTCGAATCCGACGACCGTTGTCGAGGACAATCGATATTTCTTGCCCTGTTGTGTCACGCCGAGTCTGCGGCATACCGGCGGTGGCTCGACAGTAGCTCAGGCACCAGCGCGACTGACTCGAGATCATGCCCGATAACCTGCAGAGCTAGTAGCGACTGGGGAGTTTCTGATGGTCGGCCAAGTCTTGATGCATGCCACCTATCCGACTCAGGGGCTGACCGTATCAACACGCAGCTAGTTCAAGTCCGGCACACCCCTCCGTATAACGCCCAGACCACGTCAGTGACGGCTGGCCACAGCAACCTGCCTGTCATCGGAGTGGGACGCGTGGCTGGTGCTGCCGCCTCCCGACGTCAGGGAGGGACCATGAGAGCGGTGGACAACAGGGCTCGAGGGCGGTGCGTCGCCCATGTAAGAGTGATGGTGTCCAACAGCTGCGGCTTCGTGCGCTCTCTCGCCAGGCACGTAGACGTGGCTGCCTGCTGCTGCTCCTCCTGCTCCAGAATCGCGGCGGGGTGAGGATGTGTATCCGTTCATGTCGAATGCGGGGCCCTGGCTCTGGAGGCTGCGTTCCTGCTCCGTGAAGATGCCCTCGGACGCCGAGTATGCGTCTGAATTGGAGCGGGAAGAAGACGACGGGTGGCTGGACAGGCTGCTGCTGGCTGCCGAAGAGAAAGAGAGGCCGGGCGTGTCGAATCCGCCTGCGTAACTGGCTGCTGTGGCCACGTCGGCTAGTGTGCTTGTTGCCGAGGTGGACGCTGGCGTCGGTGGCTTGACGGCGGTCGGGTACGGCAGTGTGGAGGAGCGCCCTGCCGGGTTCGGGAGCAACCGGTCTGCGCCGGGTGTGCTTGACAAGGGGAGTGACGCCGCAAAAGAGAAACCGGGGGATTCCGAGCTGACCGGGTGCGAAGGACGGTGGAGCAAGCTCGCAGTGCCGTAGCTGCCATAGCCTTCCGAGTCCATGTACATACTGCTGAACGGGGGTGGCTTTGCTCGTGCCCCTGAACTCCATGAACCGGGCAACATGCCAACCGGGTCCGGGTGCATCACCGACGGAGAGGGCAGTCCGAGTCCAAATTCAAACTCTTCAGGGTAGGGTGAGCCGTAAGCGTGCATGGCCGGGTAGTAAGCCTTGCTCGCTGGCGTGTAAGCGTACGAAGATCCGCCCCGATATGGGCCCAACACATCGCTCGAGCCCAGACTCGGCACGCCGTCTGGTGCGTAGGGCATCCCACCACCCACTGGCGTCCTACTGGCAAACACTCTAGCATCCCCCACGCTGTAGCCGAAGTCACCGGTATCGTGGCGCAGCGGTGCCTCCCGAGACGCTACCTGTCAACGTTTGAGAGTTAGAACCTGTCTGGCCAAAACCTGAGCTCGTCACAGGCAGGAGGGTTGAATACACATACTCGAAGGAACTGGCATTGATCGACCCCGGCATTCTTGCAGTTTGAGCATGGCTGCCCTTGGCCCGGGTCGCCGCTGCATCGGATTTTTCGCTTGCGACAGCGGCCGCACTGAACAACGAAGGTCGGTTAGCAGTGGTTCAAGTGATGAGGACAGGTTCCCAGGAGAGAGGGATACGTTCGCGTGATGCCGTGCTGGGATTTCAAGCGCAGACAAAGCTGCAAGGCGAGACGAGAAAGGGGCTGGGCTGGGGTCTTACTGCCACAGCAATGCGCTTCCTTTGGGGCGTCGAGTCCGAGTCCAGCTGATCCGCCATGCTCATGGCCCGCGAATCGTGCGGGGACAAGGGGAACCGCCGCTCCGAGGGCGAGGGAAAGTAGAGCGGGTACGGACGGCTATAAGATCGTCTTCCGTCGCTGCTGCTATAACACGCCTGGGACACCATTGTCCACCTGCTTGCCAATCTCAGATCTGCCCCTTGTCTGTCTTCGTGCTCGTTTTGCCTTTCAAGGTGCAGCGTCAGGCGTGATGCTGGCTGCTGACACTCCTGTTCTCGGTCTGGCCCAAGCCCACCGTGGCCCCTTGCTCTTGGCCTGGACTTGTCTGTGAAACGAATGTGAGTGAAGAGGTCGAAGACAACTTTAACTGACCTCCGGCCGGGACAAATGTAGAAGGCTGTGAAGGACCGGAAAGCTGTTGTGAAGTGCTCAGAGGCAAGATGATGCCTGTCCCAACTCAAACTGGTACGGTGACGCTTGATGCAGTGGAATCGGATTGGATCGTAAATGGTATGATGGAGCGTCGTGGCAAGGTGACCCCGTGTGTTGACTCGATACCAGCGGGCCTAGATGAATACATGAGCGACATAGACAGACAGAGCTGGCAGCATCTGACAATCCTGGGGTGCTTGTGCCCCCACACTTCTGGCTCCTGTGGTCTTGCACTACCCGGCCGAGAGAATGCGGTGCCAGGGCCGGGGTCCAAGGTACCACTCTTGGCTGGGGGTTCAAGATGGCGCGCCTCTTGTTACCGTCTGTACCGAAAATGGATAAGACATACCTAAGTTCTGAGAAACAAGGTGAATGTCAAGGAGAAAAGACTTGGTCAGTGGCCTCCGCGCTGTGTTGACCTAATCCAGTGTACTGCGGGCTTTCTTCCAGGATTCCTCGTCCAGAAGTCGTAAAGTAATCGAGCGTGTTGTTCTTGGACGAGCCGGCTTGGTGTTGATTATCCAAGCTTCTGATAGTAAGGAGGGAAACGAAAGAATGGATTTCCGAGAAGCGTAATGGACAGAGCTCCTGGTGCTTCAAGACTCCGTCGCCAAAACTTGGCTCTGCATGGACCGGTGGAATCAAGAGCATCGAGTAAGAGAGCAAAGGGAGAGAAGTGTGGGACATGTAAGTGATCTGGTGATATAAGGGAGTGCCACAACCACAGTGAGTGGCCATGTCGTTGTCTAGATCGCAAAAATGAAGCCATGGTCAAGCTCTTCTGTTTGTCATGCACATATGGAAGGGGTCCGTTTCCCTGGTGGCCGTTACTAGGACATCCAGGCCCACCAGCAGGCCCCCTTCAACCTCAGCCAAGTTACACAAACCGAAGGTACCTACCTCGTCGTTGCACAGAAGAGACGTGTGCTTACCCTTGTCGATGCCCCTCATCTATCGTCCGGGTAAAGCCTGGTGGCACTTGAGGGGAAACGGAGTCCGTGTCGGGCAGTCGCATGAAGTACTTGTTGATATGACGCTGCAGATTGTGAAGGACTGATATAGGATATTTGTGGGTGTCAAGAAGGATCTGATGCTAGCTTGGGGTTGTGTGGCATACTTTGATAACACCAGACTTGACAGGACTAGTGTGAGACCAAACTTGACGGTGTAAGACTTTGAACACTGCCGTGTCTGCTGTACGACTTCCGATATGATACCAATGGGAGAGGAGCAACGTAAAAGTGGATCTTGATCGGCCTTCGTTTGCCTCCATGTCCCCCACTCTCCGGGCTTCCAGGACGTTATGTGCCTGCAGGGTACGCTGCAGACATGTAGTCCGTAGAAACGGGAGAAGTCTGTAATGCAGGGTTGGATAGACTTTGACATTCCACGGTCAAAGAACAGAGACCCATGTGGTTGATAAATTTGGGGAATGTTTGGCCAGGCCCTCCGGACCAACCAGAGATACTGCTTCGACGGCACGGCGCTGCCGCTGGCCACGAGGACGTTCGGCGATACCAGGTACCTGGTAGTCATGGAGGAGATCTGGACTGGACGATTCAAGCCAAATGCATATGCCATGGAAACGTGCAATCCGTCTGTTTTTCTCAGTTATAGTTTCCAGCATCTCTCAGAAAGATCGACATGCGGGAACAAGGCATATGTAGGCTCAGGGGGACCGAGGAGTGAGAAACAGAAATCCAATTGCTACATGTAGCACATGCATCATGGGCCTGGACATTGTCGTCTTCTCAAGGGCTTAGTGCATCTAGACCAGATCATTTTGCTTTGGCATGACTCTGGATAGCTCCGGCCGCTGTGTCACCGATGATCCATGCTGATATCAGTACTTTGAGGATGTCTTCAACCGCTCATTTTGAGTGCGACCGTGCTACTGGACCTTGGAAGCCATGCAAGTTGAACGTAAGGTATGCATCCTGCTCGTGTGGGCAAACTGTATGACAAGTCCAGACCTGCGAGAAGTGAGCCGTTATCAAACGGAAAACGGAGTGTCCAGGGCAAAGGAATCCTGTACCTGTTGCTAACTGACGAATCGAACTCTTCAAGTTTGAAACGGCCACAGATAGTTCGACGGTTTGTTGGCCAAGAGTCCGAAGGAGAACGGGCGAATCAGCCAAAGGTACATGGTGAGGTTCCTTCGTTATGGCAGCTTCCAGCCCACCCCGAAGACGGAGTGTCTGTCTGAGCAGGGTTTCCAGGTGCCAATGATCTGTGGCACCGTGACTCTGTACTTGTATTTTAGAGTCGGTGTATCCATGAAAATGCCTTAGCAACAACTGCAAATTGCCATACGTCCTGCAGGCGACGCAGGACCTGTTCATTACGTATCTGAAACGCAGTAGGTGCCTGGCCTCGTTTCTGGCGCTGTCCGAGGCCGCTAAGGAAGATGTGGCCTCGAACGCTCCCAGTTGTGCTATGCCGAAGACGATCGGTTTCATTATTACATGTCGCTTCCTGATTGACTGCATGTGCCTGCCGGCATTTATTGGCGTAATCAACCAACTGACTTCTCCTCAGACTGCCTGAAAAGCAATAGGAACAGAGGATCCATACCAAGAGGTTCAAGATGGGGACTTGGGCATCGTGCAGGCGCCTCTCGGTCCCAGAAAAACATCGATCGGACACAAACACCGAGCTGTAGGGTACTCCGTACTCTACTTAGTACATGCGCTGGCAGACGGAGATCTCGGCGGGGCGAATCGGGACGTTGAAATTCAGCCACCTGCTCCCAAGCCTCGAATTTTGCTTCGCTCCAACCCGGCGATGAAAAGCCATTCAACCGTGAGGACGTCACCGCACACAGGCGCGTTTGATCCATAAGGGGAGAGTGCCAGGGTGACCTGTACCCTGACAGCGTTTTGTGCGAGCAAATCTGATCTTGTCGTCCTGAGATCGAATTGCGAGCGATCCCTTGCTGCAATCAACTCCTCTTCCCGCCTTCCCGTGGGGAGCCATCCGATTTGACAGCGAGGGGATTGTTGTTTGTTCTCCACAGACAGCTCCTGAGGATTCTCGAGAAGCATGCTTAGCGCGGAGACCAAACGCCAGCTGCATCTCAGTACAGACAAGCCTTGTGCTCGCGCCCGGAAGGACGAAGATTTTCGGACGCTGCAAGATATTGCGTGCATGTCGTGACACCAAGCTTCATCTCCGCAACCGCGAGCGGCTTTCCGGGACCCCAGAATCGGACCGGTGCTGGACTCTCTCTCCCGAGAATCTGACGTTGGCGCTTCGGCCCCCTCCGGCAAGAGGCAAGGACTGCCGACGGGGTCTCATAAGACTGCCGACGGTGTCTCATAAGTAAAACACTTGCAGCGCTCGGCGAGGGTCCCGGGCGTAACATATGCACGTTTCGTCCAAGATTGTCGTTGCCTGATCTGCGCCAGATGTCTAAGGCTGCTGTTGATGACGGGCAGGACTAAACTGCGACATCTTCAGGACGCCATATCTCGGTATCAACTAGTAGCCAATACCTCATGCAAGGCATTTGTGTGCCGGAGCAGAAGTACTCTAGACGCTCCCGGTATCTACCCTTGTGCCTTCACATCTTCAATGGTTCTGGCCAGCTGGACTTCGTGTGGCGAAGGCCCGAAGCTTCCATCTCTCCAAGACAACCGAGACCGATTTACCGCAGCCACCCCAATGAGTGGCCAACAGAAGCACTTAATTTCTGGCAGGGGAGCCCTAGGGCTGGCCGCACCGATACCGACAATTCCACCACATGCTGGAAGACGCGGAGGATTTGGAAGGCTATCAGTACTCGGTGTTTTCGGCCACTTGCAAGTCGACGTGCTGTCAAGTCCAGTTGCCACCCGATCTGCAGGCGCCCGTCTGAAGGCGGGGGATGTCTTTGGAGGAGACCCAGGTGAGGCTGGCGTTGGTCTTCTCAACCAATCCAAGCTGCAGCACTGGCGTTGTGCTCAGGGGCACGTGTAACCGAATGTGTAGCAACGATGACAGGTTTCTCGCTGACAAGTGCTGTATGCTTTAACACACCACCAGGCAACCGTCAACGTTAACAGCCTGGTTGAGTCCCCGTTTGGAAGCGTTGCTGATCGGTTAACATGCTGCGGTGATCTGACCCCGCGTCCTCCTCCTCCCAAGCTCACAGGGCGACGCGAAGTGTGCTGCAGTGAGGGCTAGGCAGGGGCGCTATGAGGGTACAAGTATCTTGGCTCGGACCCATCACCTTCACAGGTGACACAGAACCCCCGCGCGAGAGCCGGAGGAAGAAACACTTGACGCAAGGCTTCCCACCAAACGAGGACAAAGCGGGAGCGGCACGTTGAAGCAGCCAAGCTTGTGGTGTACGGCGGCCGAAGTCGGTGTAGATCAGATCTCGCAGGGTCAATTCAGCAAGGTGTATTACACCGACCTAGCAACCATGAACGGCCGTGGCCTGGCGACCGGTTGGCAAACGCCATCGGGCCCGGCGTATGTGGATATCGATTACACACCGTAAACCGACTTGTACGCGTGTTTTCGTCGCGGCTGCCAATCTTGGATGCCTAATCCACTGACTCTCGACCCTCGAAATGAGTTCCGGTACACTCGATATACTTAGTCTCTGGGCCATTGAGACACTGCTGGTAGGTTGGTAAGGAACCGAGCCATGTAAGGTATGATTACAAGTAACATTGCGGGGGGAAACAGCGGATCTTACAGGAATGATCGTGGTAGTTGCCGATGCAGCACGGGTTGACACACCCTTGTCCTGAAGACCACCGACCTGCCACATGTACTCCCTACTCGGTGGCCCAGACCATGACCTCCGACTGACAGAAGAGCACAGTTGCTAGTTATCGGCATTCGCATTTGCTGGAGACATGAAAAGCTCAATGTCAAAGTCCAGTGGCACCAGAGGTCTTTTGATCGTGAACCCATGAGCGAAGACATGTCGCAGAAGGGAAGGGAGGGCGTCCTCGGTACAATTAGAGGACGTACAATGCACATGTGCGCCAGGTCGCAGAGGCACCGGGCGCCAGTCTCAAGGCGACAGGGTCTGAATCCCACCGTCACCCGGCAACCCCAATCGGTTGTCGGGGGTTGACACGACGATGCGGCCCGAACCCGAGGGCATGAGCCATCGACGTGTGGAAGATCGGGTTGGGACAGATATTGGGTGTCGGGATCTCGCTTGTTTCCGTGACACAACGTGGCATGTGCGTGTCTTGGGGAAGGGCTGTGGTCCAACGGTGGCGACCGGAGGCCGGCGCCGCGAACAAAACAGTGGCCATCAGCCATTCTCATAGGTTCAGCCTACAGCGCAGATAGATTGACCTCGTATAAATCGGACGGGAAAAAACGGGTCCTATAGTTGGCTTTGCCGCAGCCCACCGTATTCGAGCGTAATGCTGGTCGGAAGATGCCGCCGGAACAGCAGCCCTGCTCATGGTGTGGCCGTCAGCTTGAGACCCTGACTCCAGAACAAGGTCCGAAACCACAGACTTCACAGCAGCCTGGTCAAGCGCTGCACGGACGTTGTCCACACAGAGGGAAGCGAGATTGAGCTTACTTCCATCAAGTCCAGAGTCATCATACTAGTGATTGTTCGCGGCGCGTTTTAAAACGTTGCACACAAGACGGATGAGGCGTCAAAGGACGACGGTTGGGAGGATGGACGAGTACAGTATCAAAATACCACGCATTTCAAGGGTACTCGGCATCTCGTTCGGTCAGGTTGAGCTCGGTTATAGGATGACGGGGGAGACTAACCATAAAGTGTATCCAGTTCGGATGCTTCTCGGGTCCAAGGGGACCGTCTGCTGCACGAGGAAGCCCGGACTGCATAAGAACATAACGTTCCATCGCATTATGCAAGCAGTGCGCAGGAGCTCGGCCGGTTACCTGCTCCTGTACTCATCGTGTCCGCGGTACCTGTCTCTATCTTCACTCGCCCCTCGATCACGATCGTAATCTCGTCGATCTTTCCGGGACCAGTCCCTACTTCCCCGGCTCTTCCCAACGCCTCCCGGCCGGTCATGGCGGTTATCCCGATAGCGGCCTCCCCTGGGGCTCCGGCTGCGCCGTCCCGCGTCACCCTTCCTGTCGCCATATCCGGACCAGTGTCTATCCCCGTGCCGGTCGGGTGAACGGTCTGGGCGTCGACCGTCACCATTGTACCGAGCGGAATCCCGACTACTCGGCCCGCCTCTCTCAGGGTCCCGTTCCTTGTCGTGGCGGCCACGTAAGTCTTCCATTCCATGGACCATACGGTAACCGGTATCATCATCCGGCTCGACGTCTTCATTGCGGTATTGGCGTCGCTTCTCCAGCTCCTTGACACCGCCCCAGCCACCGCCTGCCCTCCTCGCCGCCGCGTTCTTCCGCTTCTTGTTGGTATCGTCTCGCCACACATCGCTCAGCCGGCTCACGCTCTGGCTGAAGTCGACGTGAATTCGGCGATCGTCAATCAAGACGCCATCCATCTTGGAGTAAGCGTCCTCGCAACTCTTCTGGTCCTCGAACTCAATGAAGGCGTACTGCAGACTGTCGCCGGTTTTCTGGTCCCGAATCACCTCGCAGCTCAGAATCTTACCGAACCGGCTGAAGATCAGCTCCAGGTCCTCGTCGGTTGTGACGGGGTTCAGTTTGCAGACGAAGAGGACGTTTTCTGGCGGCTTGACCTCGGCAAAGGGCAGGTCCCCCATCATTTCGAGCGTCAGGGCTTGTGCCGCTGCTTCGCGCTCCTTCCTCCTCCGCTCTGCCTGGGCGGCGGCTTCTTCGTTGGCCTCCTCGTCTAGAAGTTCCTCGTCTTCGGCAATGCGGACCGTTGCAAGCTGCGCTTTCGTCGGAGGCGGCGAGCTACTGGGCTCCCGCAAGCCGGCCGGGTCGGGGTAGGGGTCATCAAGGATAACAGTGTGCTTGATGCGAATGTCGACCAGGGGGTGACCGCGCTCGTCGACGATGGCGTCGTTGATCTTTTCGAGGACATCAAAACCCTCAACCACTTTACCAAAGATGGCAGCTTTCCCATCCAGGTAGTCGGTATTGTCCCCAAGCGTAACGATGAACTGCGAGGCTGCCACGCGTCGGTCCGGGTCGGATGGATGGGGGGCTGTCGCCATGCTAACGGTACCTCGCTCGATATGTTTTAGCTTCGGGTGGAAGAGTGCGGTGAAGGTCCTGTCGGCCGGGCTGCCCGAGAGCAGGCCCCAGATGGAGGTGCCGCCGTCGGATTGAGGAGCCATTGGCCCGAGAGGGTCGCCGGTCTGGAAGGAGAAGGATTTTTGTACGGAGTGGATTGGGGAGAAGTTGTAGTATTTGACCTTGCAAAGCTTGAGGAAGCTAGACATGGCACTGGTTAGCAAGACGGCCAACCAAGCGGCGCTGGCGCAAAGTGACAAAGTTGGAGGGACGGTTGCGACGAGTTGTGGACTTACTTCTCGCACATTTTGGGCGCGTAATCGACCAGCAGGTCAATTACAATATCGCCCGCACTGGTTTCCAGGAGAACAGACATCTTCGCGCTTCCGAATTAAAGAGTTGCATGATGCTTTCTTTGCTTGCGGAAACTGTGTGATGGTGGGAGACGGCCAATTGTAGGACATTCCAGAGCCTGAGGAGCTGTTGCCTGCCGAGAATTGAGGTGTCAGGATCTACTGGATTCAACGGGTTAGGGTTATCAGTGCGTACAAGCCAGTTTTTCTTTGCAATGGCCTCGCAAGTTTTCTCGACGATGGCCTCGCCAAAAGCACAGAATCGGGTGGCCTTGAAGAACTGAAGTATCAATCAACAAGCAACATCATCGATTTCTCCCGCCTTGAAGAGCCTGCTTTTCCCTTCTGATCCTATTCAAACCAACCAAAAATCCAGCGCAGACCTTCAGTGTCGCGATCGTGGAAAAGGAAGTGGTGCCAATGCCCACATTCCTGTCCAAAAAACATTAAAGTCCACATCATCCCAAACTCCAAGCCAAATGCCATGGTTTTTCCGCTGATTACAATGCCCATAAAATAGAGTATCCAAGAGGAAGCGAAACCAAATAAGCCGGCACGTGTCCGACCCCGCTTCCCATATGCGCGGATTGGCCGATCCAATCTTCCGGGGACGATCATGGCCCGGGTGCGCTCCGTCGCCTCCTCCCGCTGCGCAGCTCCCGCTCCGTGTCCATTAGACGGCACTGGACCCAAGTGCGAAAGGCGCGGTCGGCGCGCACCGTGTCGCAGTTGAGCAGCTCCGTCAGTGCCCGCTTGATGCCCTCGTTGACGTCACAGAGCTTGGCCTCCTCGACGGCCACCTCGTCTCCCATCACCTCGCTGTCCGGGCAGGAGCCCTTTCTTGCCAGAAGCGAGAAGTTGTGCTGCCCCCGCCGGGAGTTCGAGCCCATGCGAGTGGGTGATGTGGTCGGGCTGGCCGAGACGGGGGTGCAGAGCGAGTTTTGCCGTGGCGGGCGCAGCTCGTCCAGGTGCTGCCGCAGCGACTCGTGCTGCTCGTTGAGCAGGAGGTACTTTTGCAGAGCCAGGTCGTGGCTGTGGTGCGGGTACGGGCGCACCGGCGCCGTCGGTGGCTCGATGAGGGTGTGCATGTGCATTCCCATCGTATTGGCCATGTTGCTGCTCCGCATGTTCATGTCCTTGTTGATGGGCGTAACCTGTCGTAAAGGCTTCCTAATGCGTGGTTCGTCGGGTTCGAGAGGTCTGACAGTCGAATCATTGGAGAGCAGCACTCGGATGGCGCTCTTGTTGCTTGCTCTGCATACGGAGGGGATGAACACGACTGGGCTTTGAAAAAGAGGCTTGTCCGGGGATTCGGGCTCGTGCGTGTTTCGGTATGACCCAAAAGAGTTCTCAGAGATCTCTGGGAGTTGGCGACAAAGGGTGTGTCCTCTCTTGGTCCTTTTGTTCAGACAGTGGAGGCGGTATAAGAGATCTGATGAGGGAATCTACGTAGAACGATGACAGAGAACTACTTCGATTTCGAGAATGGTCTCGGTCTCGTCAGGAGCGTTGCGGTTTGCTATTCGGTCAATTGGATTCGTTCCAGACTTGCTGATCGTCAGGTTGTCGTCACACGGACTCCGTCAGGTCCGCTCTGATGAGGGCCAAGCCGGCGATGGTGGGGATGGCTCCAGACCGGGGCCAGGGACCACGCCGTTGTTAAGGAGTGATTCTCGGTTCTTTTGTCGTGGACAGGATTCGAAGACACAAGTCTCTCCTACTTTGGACGGTCAAACGGGAGAGAAATGGGAATGAAAATGATAACAGAGCTGGAAGATGGCGCAGAGCTGTCCATATCAAGCATGCGCTTAGCTTGGGCAATCTTGGAGTTGGGTATCGTCATTTCAGCTGGGCTGATAACGATGGGAAGTACCTCCTTTTTGAGCGACAGACAAAGCAAACCTGGAAGCCACTGCCGCTCGGTAAATCGCGGTGAGATGATGGCCCCTCCCGTTCTTTTCCATTACGAGTCTGGCATGCAACTAGTGCACCAATTCATGGGAAGCCGACTCCAATAGACGATCGGCAAGGTTCACAAGGGCGCAGGATACAACGGTACGGACCTAACTTTGCTGCGGAAGACATCTTGGCCAGGCCCTGGCCAGAACCCGAGGCAGTGGAGTCAAGCAATTCCATTCTGACACGTACAACAAACCTGCAGTTCTGCACCTCCCTCATAAACCAAGATGGTTGCAATTGACTGACACATGACCGGTCCTGACCAATTCCGACTGCAGCCGCCATGGTCCCAAGGAGCCAGAGCTATTCCGAATCCTTTGTAATCTGTCGAGCTGCGAAGACGTGTGGGCATTTCAACCAATGTTCCTCTCGCGTGGTAATTGCACGACCCTGGATTCGGACTGCCTGGGACATAGACAGCGATCCGCGCGGCTCGGGGCTGTTCGATCGACCCAGGTCATTGATGATGATCTATCTCCACTGCATCACCTTCATTGGGCCGAATGGAAGCTGAAGAAGGGAGCTTTTTTGCATGGTGGATTCGGGAGAGCAACTGTGGATTGACTGTGTTCCAGGTTACCCTACTCAAAAGCATGAAAAGAATACCTAACGTCACAGAGGGCTGCTCAGCTCATGGTCAACCAGTTTCAACTTGTAAGACGACTCGGAGTCTGCCAAGGTGCTGTGGGTGCTGGAATTCCTCGCGTTTGACTGACCGTTTTCCCATCGTACATCTACGCCTCGTCATTTTCCCAATTTTCACCGGTAAAGTCGCTCCTAGCACCCAGGGAGAACAAGAACACCCCGTCCGGCCAAAGTGACACAACTGAATCAGGTACTTATGGCGGTCTGCTATCGAACTGACGCCCTTCAAAAACAACTTTGACTCAGTAGCCGATCCAAAAGCCGTCCCATGGAAGCCGAGATTAGGGACATTGACTCCTCGGTTCAGTCCTCGAGCTCGACCATGTCCATCCTCTCGAGGTAATTGTAGACCGACCCAGTGGGAATGTAGGCGTCATACTCCCGCGTCCACCACGCCGCAAACGAGTTGGGTCGGGGCTGGTCGCAGTACACAATCTTGTCCGACGTGAGCATGGCGATCTCGCCGGTGCCGTACCCGATTTCTTCCTTTCCCCTGACCTCACCGAACCCGAGCAGCTCCAGCACCCACGCGCCCTGCAGCTCGGCGAGGATCCCGGCCGAGACGATGGCAATGAAGCCGTCGAGCGACTGCGGGTGCCGCCGCGGGAACGCAAATTCGTCGTCGGCCACGTCGGTCGCCTTGTCGAGCGCCGCGCACATGGCCGCGCCCATGCGCGCCCGCCCCTGCTCGACGTACTCGATAACGTTGTCCAGACACTCTTCCACCATCTTGCGGTTCCAGCGCCGCTCTCCCACGGCGTCCGAGATGCGGCATTGCAGTCCGTCATCGTTCCACTCGGCCCGCCACAGCAACCGCGCTACTTCACGGGCGATGTCCTCCACGCTGCGCGTGTCCACACCCTCGCCCTTGAAAGGAGGGCTGCTGTCGAAGAGGAGGGGGGACGCGACGGTGGTGGTACCGTAACCGTGGCCTTGGTAGTAGCTCATAGCGTCGTGCTGCGGGTACGAATCGTTGTCTGAGTACAGCGACGCCGTCTTGTCGTCGTAAATGAGCTCCGTGTACCCTTCGTCCTGTCTTCCCTGACGGCCGGTGATGCACGCCAGCATTGTGCGAAGACCCTCCATTGCAAACTTGGGGTGATGAAGGCTCTGCGAGAACCGGAAGTCGAGCTGATGGAAAGGGTATCTGATGCTGATGTAAGGCGGAGAGCAGGGCGGTTGCTTTGTCTTGCCTAGCAAAGCTGAAACCTGGCTGCTGCGGAAGGGTGGGGAGGGAGAGGAGCTGAACCGCAGGACCGAGTGGCTTATTTATCTTGTCATCTGGTCCCCTCGCCGTCAAGGTATCTCACAGCGGCGAGTGTAAATCAGCGGCAGCCCGGTCAGAGTGCGGCGTGGGGAAGCGGCCGCTCTGTGGCCCGGGCCCGGAGGTGCTGAGCGTGGTCTAGTCCGGCCGGGGCCGGACCTCGGCCGCATCCACGACCGGTTGGGTGGCGATCGGGATTGAGACGATAAGAGTGCAATGCCATGCGTCGACGATACCTTCGCCACTTCAATGCGTCTAGCTACAGTATCTCGTTTGTCTTGGGTCACCCGCATGATGACCCGCTGGCCGGATCTTCGTGGGATAGTTCACATCGTCCATATGACCAAGCAAACACACCTATCGAGCGTCTACTACGGCTTGAGGGCCGACGGACGGCTGACCTGTGACCATGACTGCCTCAGCCCTAGCAGCATTGTCGGCAAGACCAACGTTCCGGAATCTGCCTTTCGCAGACTCGAGTGCAAGAGGGCCTCTATGACTCGTGGCTTCAGAGATGTCGGTTCGGGATGGGCTGTGTCTTGCTGGTAATACGGCAAAGAGAAAGGCCAGCGACCGTGACCTGACACCAGGTCGCCACCACCGACCATGCGTCTGATGTTCAGGCTTTAATCCAACTCAAGTGCGACCATCTCAAGGCGGAATTGGTGGTTAACCGACTCAAAAGCTGCCCGGCATCGATCATGCCCAACTTGGGAACAATGCGCCGGTTAGTTGTAAGCTACGTTTGCTGGACAGCAAGCAAGCCCAGACGCTGACTGCTGGGGCGACGGGACTGGGGTGAAAGATGGCCAGGAAGCAGCTTGCGCTGAATCGAGGGGAACAACCCGTCCCAGGTTTTGTTATGCGCAAACAAAGAGATATGTCCACGGGGAGGAACTGGACGGTGACAGAATAGTGTGATTTCAGCTCGAGAAGTATCTCACTGAAGCTGATATTCCTTGCCCGTCAAGTGGGGGATCTCAGCAGGCTCAACCAACAGACAATTCCATGCTCCTGCTGGCAAAACGTGCAGCTCCAAACTCCAACCCGTCTAGATCCCAATCCAAGTCAACAAAAGCCCGGACTCCGCGCCACACTGCGGGCAGAAGAAGGCGGGGACGAGAACTGGCGTGTCAGGCCAGACCACACCTAGTCATCGGGCGTGCCAGGGCGACTTCCCTTGTAGAGGACCGTTCGTTGCCCGCCGTCCTCTTCCTCGTCCTCCCTCCCGAATCTCGTCATGCTAAACTCGGGAACCCGCCTCGAGAGCGGCCGCAGGAGACCGGCGGGGTTCTGCCTCGCCCGACGCGCCCGTTCCATCTCGCGTTCCTGAGCCGTCAGAGCCCGCTCGGCGTCGTCGTCTAAGCAGGTACCCTCGATGCTGAGGTAGCCGTAATCACCCGCCAGCCCAACGTCAAAGTTCTTGATGCGGAACCGCAGCTTGCCGCTAACCTTTCGCCCGCGCTCGTTGACCCAGTATCCTGTTGTATGGATCTGCTCCACGACCTGAAGTTCTTCGCCGTCGAGCATGTCCGAGTCACCTTCCCCGCCCTGTTCTTGACCCTCGTTGTCGTCGGATGAAGCCGCGCCGTTCGCCTTTGCGCCGCCCTTGGCCAAGTCGACCCATTTCCAGCCCTTTGGCAAGCGCTTCGCTTCAATGCTGGCATTGAACTTGTTCCAGCACACCACGCCGATGTGTCCCTCGCTCTGGAGCTGGACGACTCCTTCCATCGACTTCCCTCGAGACGGCACGAATAGTAGGGCGTCAAAGGTTAGCCACCCAAAGCCGACAGCATACTCGTCGATCGAGTGCAACAAAGCTGGTGTCTCGTCTGTTGGTGGGTGCGTGATGCTGGCCTTGACCGGCCGGTCTGAGAGGTTGAGGTTGGAATAACTGAGGAGAACACCGCGCAGCACTGGGGAGTAATGGTTCAGGAGTGGATTGAGGTGTTGTGCGGCGACGTTGGTCAGGGGCTTGTCGAAGCCGACCGGGAAGAATGGGACGTAGAGCGAAACGGTTTGCGTGAAGAAGGGGAAGTCGGCGTCGGAGGGTAAGTCGGCTACCGATTCCTGGGTCGCCTGAGGCTCTAGTGAGACCGTTGTGCCAGTAGTCAAGTCGTCCTTGGATTTGTCCTTGCTCTTTCGCTTCTTTTTGTCCTGTACATCCTCTTTGATCTCGGCGTCCTCCTCGGACTTTTGCTTGTTCGACTTCTTCTCTTTGCGCTTCTTTTCTGGCTTGGGTTCCTCGTCGGGCTGATCAACGTTCATAGACTCTGGCGCCGGCTCCGCGGCATCTTTTGCACGCTTGCTCGACTTCTTGCGTTCGCTCTTCGGCTCATCGGCGGCTGCTACTCCATCTGGTCCCTCTTCGTCCACTCCATGCCGCTTGTGCCTCTTTTTTTTCTTCAATGGCTCTTCTGCTAGAGCCTGTGGTTGATTAGGCTGTAACTCTCGACTGCCGTCAACAACATTGTCACTCTTGGTCTTCTTGGGCTTTTGTGAGGTTTCTGCCACTACTGCCGCATCATCATCGTCATGCGGACGCTTCTTCTTGTGGTCTGATTTTGTGCGCTTGTGCTTCTTCTCGCTCTTCTGACTGCTAGCGGCTACCGCATCGTGCGTACTTCCGCTGACCGCGGCAAACATGACGGGAAGGGTCTAGAGACTCGGTTCGTGGGAATTCGTGGTTGATCGGTTGCAGAGGTCGATTCCAGTGTTTGATCGCAAAAAAATTATTGGGATGCCCGTCGCGGTGAGCTTGAAATTGGCCAATGAGAAGTGAGCTATCGATAAGCGCTTGATATCCCACACATGGCTGGTGTCTTCCTGAGATTCAGTTTCCCAATCTCGAGCAGTGTGGCTCAATCAAAGTGCTTCAATGGAAATCCCTTCATATCGTGTTCCAATAGTTAATCTATCAAGTTCAGGGATAGTACTCTGACTTTTCTGGCTGTTATTCTTTATTCCTTGCCCTTGGTGTTCCCTCTTCGCCTACTTTGGCGTCATCGTGGGGTGACCTGGGACTTGCAAAGCGCGACTGGCCCATCAACCTTCAAAGTACCTGACTTCTGCTGCTTGGGCAAGTACGCAAGTACCTTGCCGGCGATGGATTGGTGGGAATAACCTCTGGGCGTGAATTGTTTCATCGAGGACATCAAATCAATGGGATAGAAACCCACCGAAGTGGACTTCCAGCACGTTCGGGACAACAGCCGGCGATAAGTTACGCCTAGCATGGGGGAAGGCGGGGCACTGAGGGGCAGGTTCGACATGTCGTGCGCCCTTTGGACCAAGATGAGGCGTTCATGACCTGCTCTGTCGTGATTCCTTTCCGTTAACTAGCACTCAAATTTCCCGAGAAACGTCGCTCGGCAGCAATTTCCTCTGTTATTACAAGAACGGCCACCAGCGGACGAATCGGCCTTTCCCGGACGGTCTCGGCCCATCCTCGCGATACCTCAACAGAACGGCTAACTTTCGAGGAGATCATTCTGGAAGAAGCCGAGATGTCCTCGTTCGCGGCATCCAAGATTCTAATCTTCGGTGGTACGGGCACCATTGGGCGGTACATCACATCAGCAGTCCTCCGTGCCAAGCCCGCCTTCCAGCAGGTGGTGCTCTTCACGTCTCCCAACAGCGCTCAAGCGAAAGCTCAGCAGCTGGAGAAATGGAGATCCGAAGGCCTCTCCGTCGTTGTCGGCGACCTGACATCGGAGGCCGATGTCAAAGCAGCTTACAATGGTGTCGACACAGTCATCTCGGCGGTGGGACGGGGAGGGCTTCAGCATCAAATCAAGCTGCTGGAGTTGGCCGAGGCCTCGGACAGCGTCCGTTGGTTCCTGCCGTCTGAGTTTGGTACCGATATCGAGCACAACGACAAGAGCCCGGACGAGCCCCCACACCAGCTGAAGCTGCAGGTGCGCAAGTATATACGGGAGAATCTGCGGCGCGTCAAGGTCACTTACGTCGTGACGGGTCCATACTTCGACATGTGGGTGGACGCCGCTCCCGGTCTTGAGGTCGCCGGCGGCTTTGTCCCGGAGAAGAAGCAAGCGTATGTGATTGAGGGCGGCAACGGCAGGGTCGGGTTTTGCACAATGCCAGAGTAAGTGCATTTCCCTACATCATGTACCGCAAGCTTACCTGACCATGCGGCAGTGTGGGCAAATTCGTTGTTGCTACCCTGAAATCTCCGGAGTCGTCCTTCGGCAAGGCGCTTAAAGTGCAGAGCTTTGTAGTCACTCCGAATGAGGTTTTGGCCGAGTACGAGCGCCAAACGGGATCCAAGTGGGAGGTCACCAAGACACCGCTCGACGACATCAGAGCATTCGAGGCGAAGCTGTGGGGAGAGCGGGATCCCCGCGCGACCTTGGTCACGTTGAGGCGCATTTGGGTTGAGGGAGGCACATTGTATGCGGAGAATGACAACGCTGTCCTTGGTGTGAAGCCCGAGGATCTGGATTCGCTCGAGGCTGCCGTCAAGAAAGCGCTTGCGGGGGGATACAAGCAAGACATTTTCTAGGCCAAGCTACGCTAGATGTTTAAATGCATGAATATCCCGCAATCCGATGCACTACCCCGCATCTTTCATCACCTTAACCCGTTAAATCAACCGTCTGAAGCTGACAGCATGGAGCAGCGACGCAGGTTCGCCAGGGCAGCTTCATCGGGGAAACTCACCTTCCAGGTTTTCCGCCCGGCACCCAATCCAAACTCCAGACACCTCAGCTGCTTGCTACCTGCTCCATCTCAGTCAGTAGCAACTGCCACCATGCGCCTCAATTAGCAAAAATACTGTATCTAGCCAGAATTAACCAAAGTCCATTTACAATGGCTCCGGCTTTAAGCGGTGTCACACCGTATCTGGTGGTGCTCGTCGCAGTGGCCACGCTCGGCCCACTCCAGTTTGGCTATCATTTGGTAAACATGACTGATCTTCTCCGTGGAGCTCGAGTTTCTTTGTTAACATCACATCCAATCCACAGGCCGAGCTGAACGCGCCCCAGGATGCCCTTACGTGCCAGAAGAAGTCGGCCTCCACCCTCGACAGGCTGTTGTCACTCGGGCGCAAGACCGCCGCCGCCGACTGTATACCCATGACCCCCGCATCGTTTGCCACCATTTCGGCTATGTTCACCGTTGGCGGGCTCATCGGCGCCCTGGCGGCTGGGCCCTTCACGTCGCGCCGTGGTCGAAAACTCTCGTTGCAGGCCACGGCCGTCTTCTACCTCGCCGGCTCGGCCATCGAGACCTTTGCCGCATCGGTGTCGGCCATGCTTGTCGCCCGCACCCTGACGGGCATTGGCGCCGGCGCGAGCACCGTTATTGTGCCGCTGTACATCAGCGAGGTCGCCCCGCCGTCGAAGCGCGGCTTCTTTGGTGCCTTTACGCAGATCAGCATCAATCTCGGTATCCTCTTCACCCAAATGTTGGGTTATTTCATGAGCCACGAGGGAGCCTGGCGGTGGATCTTCGGCACGGGTGTCATCATCGCCCTTTTCCAAGGCCTTGGGCTGCTGATTGTGCCGGAAAGCCCATTCTGGACAGCCAACGTCAAAGGCGACGTTACCCAGGCGCGGCGCGCTCTGCAGCGCATCCGCGGTAAGCACAGCAACATCGATGAGGAAGTTGAGGCCTGGGGAGCAGGGGATGGCAAACCTCTCAGCGAGAGGGAGCGGCTGCTGGGCGGGCAGGACAGCGATTCGGCCGAGGCTGGTGGTGGGCCACTGTCGCCTTCACTATCTGCCTCCGGTTCCCGAACGCCAAATGCGCATCTGGGCTTCGTGCAGGTCGTCCGTGATCCGCTCTACCGGCCAGCCATCATTGCTGTGGTGGGCGTCATGTTCGCCCAGCAGCTCTGCGGCATCAACTCGATCGTTATGTACTCGGTGTCTCTGCTCAAGGATCTCCTTCCAATCAGTTCGGGGGTGCTGACAATCGTCATCTCGGTCATCAACCTCGGCATCACCATGGCTTCATCGCCACTTCCGGACCGCCTCGGCCGCAAGACTTGTCTGCTGATGTCCATCGTCGGCCAAGGCTCGAGTTCATTGGCGCTGGCGCTTTCCATCATGTTTGGCTGGAAGATCCTGTCGGCAATCGTTGTCCTCTTGTTTGTTGCTTTCTTTGCTCTTGGCCTCGGCCCCGTGCCGTTCATTTTGGCCTCGGAGCTGGTCGGACCAGAGGCTGTTGGGGCCACGCAGTCTTGGGCACTCGCGGCTAGCTACATCGCCACGTTCCTCGTCGCTTTCCTGTTTCCCATCGTTAACGAGGCGCTGAACAGCGCCTTGGGAGGCGCTGGCTGGGTGTACTTCCTCTTTGCTGGGTTTGCTGTGCTGTGGGCGGCGTTTGTAACAAGGAGTGTGCCGGAAACTCGGGGCAAGAGGGATGCTGACGAGGTATGGGGTCGGGCAAGACGTACTGACTGATGTGCATAGGCGGAGTGTACGTGCGACGAGGTGGAAGTCAGCGGTTCGCTTTTTCGTCTTATTGATAATGATTATGATGTTCTCGAGAAGGCCCGCCTGTCGCGGGTCGTCATCTCCAACAGTCTAGTTCCGGCCGCCACACCGTCAACCACAAAGAGTTGGTTGGCTTTTTCGGGGCCGTATTGTTCTGCCGCCACCGACCGAATGATTTCCTCCAATCCTGCCATGCCCGCGCAGCCCATGACAACGCACTCGACATCACCCTTCTCCAACAGCCTTGCGGTGGCCTCTCTCAGCTTCTGCCGGATCACCTCGGGTTTGACACCTCCGTGGAAGTCGCCTGCGTTCAGCCCCGTCGACTCGACCCCGGCGAACTTGGTATTGGCATCATGAGAAGATGTACCCAAGAAATGGTTGATCCCTTGCGTCAGGTGGTCTTCCCAGAACTTGCCCGTCGTCACGATGCCCCATTTCTTCCCCGGACGAAGGAGCGATAGACACGTCAGAATGCTGGCTTCAAAGATTCCCGTCACAGCCAGCCTGCCGTACTTGCCCTCCCTTTCGGCCAACATACCGACCAAGGGGTGGACGCTGAAGCAGGCCACTAGGACTGCGTCGTACTTCTTCAAAATGCCGGTTGATTTCACATCAGAGTCCACTTCGTGGGCGCTTTTGATTAGATCCTCGCCGTTGTTGATACTTGCTGGGCTGCTCTCGGGTGCCGTGTAAGTGTCCACCATAGTCCACTGTGAAGGAGTCAGCCGTCCTGGCGAATCTCGCCGGGCGGGGACGCCCTGGAACTTACCTCTGACACGTCTCTGGGAATAGCCTTTTCTAAGCCGTGTGTCATGGCCTTGGACGAGTTTGGGTTGATAACTAAGATTCTGTTCCAGCGTTTGTCGAAGGTCTCCCGCTCGACTTGGGCCCGTTCGTCATCCATTGTGAAAACCGATGCTGAGAGGGACGTGAGAAGAAAGTCGATAGAAGTGTTGATGGAAGAATTCCTATTGTCATATTGGATTGTTAAGATTTTTGAATGCCTTCCAGCAAGGCAGGCACCGGTGACCTTCCGTGTGTGCGATGTGGGGTATCACGTGGGCCGACGCTGAAGAAGTGCGCCTGCCGCCCAGCCACAGCGCTGCTGACGCACTGCAGAGGCAGCTGCCAGGGTTCACGGGTGCGGCCAGAACCCCACCATTCAACGTCTCCGCAAACCATCACCACCCGCGCACCTTGCTCTCGACCTCAAGCAGCTTTCCAGCCCGTCGGTCGCACCCGCTCACCGGTTGAACTCCCATTCTACAGATTGGGCATCCATTCGAAGTTCACAATGTCCAACCCGCCTCCCATAGGTAAGCCGCAGAGCCGATTGCTCCGTCGATATCACAGGGGACGTCGCAGCACGCGGGCGAAGCAAGGACTGAGGAACGGAGCTGACACTGGGCCTTGCATCTAGTCCTCGATGGCGGCACCGGCTTTCTTAAGGTCGGCTATGCCGCCCAAAACTTCCCCGAGTTCCAGTACCCGTCCATTGTCGGCAGACCGATCCTCCGTACCGAAGAGAAGGGAGGCAGCGACATGGTCATCAAGGACATAATGTGTGGAGACGAGGCGGCCGCCGCCCGCACCATGCTCCAGATCAGCTACCCGATGGAGAACGGCATCGTCAAAAAGTGGGACGACATGCAGCACCTGTGGGACTACACATTCTACGAGAAGATGAAGGTTGATCCCCGCGGCCGCAAGATCCTTCTCACCGAGCCGCCCCTCAACCCCCTCAAGAACCGGGAGCAGATGTGCGAAGTTATGTTTGAGCGCTATGGGTTTGGTGGCGTCTACGTTGCCATCCAGGCCGTCCTGGCGCTGTACGCTCAAGGTGCGATCTCCCCCGGGCAGACTCCCGAGAACTGCCGGGTTATCGCCTGCGTAAACTGACACCGTCACTCGGTTGCAGGTCTCAGTTCAGGTGTGGTTGTCGACTCCGGTGACGGCGTGACGCACATCGTTCCCGTCTACGAATCCGTTGTCTTGAACCATCTCACACGTCGTCTCGACGTGGCTGGCCGTGATGTCACTCGCAACCTTATCGCCCTTCTCCTCCGCCGGGGATACGCGTTGAACCGGACCGCCGACTTCGAGACGGTACGCCAGATCAAGGAGAAGCTCTGTTACGTTTCTTACGACCTGGAGTTGGACAAGCGGTTAAGCGAGGACACGACGGTCTTGGTGGAGAGCTACACGCTGCCGGACGGGCGTGTCATCCGCGTGGGATCAGAACGGTTCGAGGCGCCCGAGTGCCTGTTCCAGCCGCACCTTGTCGACTGCGACCAGCCCGGCATTGCTGAGTTCCTCTTCAACACGATTCAGTCAGCCGATGTCGACGTCCGCTCGTCTCTCTTCAAGGCCATTGTTTTGTCGGGCGGCAGCAGCATGTATCCGGGTCTGCCATCGCGTTTGGAGAAGGAGCTGAAGCAGCTGTGGCTGACGAGGGTACTGGGAGGAAACCCGGAACGGCTGAGCAAGTTCAAGGTCAGGATAGAAGACCCGCCGCGGCGGAGGCACATGGTCTTCCTCGGCGGTGCGGTGCTGGCCAACATCATGGCGGACAACGACAACATGTGGATCTCAAAGCAAGAGTGGGAGGAGCAAGGTCCCAGAGTCCTGGAGAAGCTGGGTCCCAGATAAGCTGGGTCCCAGATAAGCTGGGTCGATATAGCGAGCGTTGAACTTTCAGATGTCAAAAGATGGCCATGCCCAAGTTGCTTCCGATTGCCGCCATGGCTGATGTCGTCCAGGTGTTGGGAGTTCCCTCTTCTCTTCAAAGCACATTATTTCTTGGAGTGACAAGAAGCGCTAACAGTTTCATGTGGCAATGCCACCACAATTTGTTGGTTGTTAAGTGTACAACCTCGCCTGCCAAGAACTCGCCCAAGCCACCGGAAATCTCGAACCCCACTTTTGCACAGATCAGATCTCATGTTCATGGATTTGTGTTTCGCTCACAATCGCAACAACGGTCTTGAATGATATCCATCCATCGCATGCCGTAATACGCACAGCCTCTTCTCTTCGTCGGACAAACATGAAGGCGTGGCAACGCTGGCAATCTCCGAATTATCCGCATTGAGCGCATCCATCCGTTGGTACTGACTCGCCTCATTCGGTAATCCCGACCCCATCCCGGGAAGTATCCTGGATTAAGTCACTTTTGGTCTCCAGCCCATCCCCCTGGCCGCCCCTCTTCCCACGTCAGATGAGCCTCACGAACCCGCCATCGACCGCTACCGGCCCGGGGTCGGTCTCCGCTGTCAGAACTCAGACATTGAAGAGGAGTGTGCAGGCCGCTTTTGAAGGTATGGAGTTGCTGCTCGTTGTTTTGTTTCCTTCCCAGTCCCGGCTCTTCTCTCCACTCCACTCCAGGCTCATTCTCCGTCTTCCGTTTCGCAACGCAACGGGGCTGTGGCTACCCGGAGAGCCCGAGCTTCCTCAAGTTGCTCCTCGGCCTTCGATCCGTTTGGGTGAATTTAGTCGCTTCGAAATCCTCTTGGACCCTTTCCAGACACCAAAGCACTGCAACATGCGGTGCTCATGAGACCAGTATCGGGGTTCAGTCGTTATGGAGAACCAGTACTGGCACCATGCTCCACTGTCGTTCTCAAAGCAGAACCCAACTGGACCGCGAGCTGCCAAGACATATGGCGTTCATCTAACCTTGCCACATGCAGCCCTCTCGTCCAGCTCGTCGGGCCTGGTGCATCAGTATGCGCCGCCGGCCGGTGCATTTCCTGTCTTCCATCACCTCGGCGGGATCGGAGCAGGCCCCAACGTCGCCATGAACCAGGCCAAACGCCTGAGGGCTGAAGTCAGCTACCAGCCGAGGCCATGTCAGTCCCATTACTTCATCTCCTGAGTTTAGGAAAGGAGCTCCATCAGCTCGATATCGGTATTCCACGCATGCGAGCTAACACTCCCCACAGACCCGGCGGACCGCGGCACGGGATCCATGGGCTACCAGAGCAAGGTCCGGGTGACAGACAAATACAAGGTCGTCGGCTTCATCAGTAGCGGCACCTATGGCCGCGTGTACAAAGCTCTGGGCCGCCACGGCCAGCCCGGCGAGTTCGCCATCAAGAAGTTCAAGCCCGACAAGGAGGGCGAGCAGGCCTCGTACACGGGCATCTCTCAGTCGGCAGTTCGAGAGATGGCCCTGTGCTCCGAGCTCAACCACGCCAACGTGATTCGGCTGATCGAGATTATCCTCGAGGACAAGTGCATCTTTATGGTGTTCGAGTACGCCGAGCACGATCTGCTCCAGATTATCCACCATCATACGCAGCAACCCCGTCACCCCATTCCGCCAAGCACCATCAAGAGCATCATGTTCCAGCTGCTTAACGGGTGCCAGTACCTGCACACCAACTGGGTGTTGCACCGCGATCTTAAACCAGCCAACATCATGGTCACGTCGAGCGGGGAAGTCAAGATCGGCGACCTTGGACTCGCCCGTCTGTCCTACAAACCCCTGCACAGCCTCTACAGCGGCGATAAGGTCGTTGTCACAATCTGGTACCGTGCTCCGGAGCTTCTTCTTGGCAGCAGACACTACACGCCCGCCGTCGACATGTGGGCCGTCGGCTGCATCTTTGCCGAGCTCCTCTCTCTGCGGCCCATCTTCAAAGGCGAAGAGGCGAAGATGGACAGCAAAAAGACAGTACCCTTCCAACGCAACCAGATGCAGAAGATTGTCGACATCATGGGCATGCCTACCAAGGAACGCTGGCCGCTGCTGACCAGCATGTACGAGTACAGCCAGCTGACCACGCTCCAACCGCCCATCAGCCACGGCGGGCATCATGGACACCATCACCACCACCAACACGGCCAGCACTACCAGTCCCAGCGCCATGCCTCATCCTCCTCAGCCGGAGCGGGCGTAAGCCACCTTGAGAAATGGTACTACAACACCATCAACCAACAAACAAGCAGCTCCCCAGCGGGGACTCCCACCGCCGCTCACAGCCCCTTGTCCAGCCTCGGCGCAGAGGGTTACAAGCTCCTCGCGGGCCTGCTGGAGTACGACCCAGAGAAGCGCCTGACGGCGGCCGCGGCGCTGCAGCACCCCTTCTTCAGCACGGGCGACCCTGTCAGCGCGAACTGCTTCGAGGGCTTGAAGACGGAGTACCCGTGCCGCCGGGTCAGCCAGGACGACAATGATATCCGCACGAGCTCGTTGCCGGGGACTAAGAGGAGTGGGTTGCCGGACGATTCGTTGGTGAGGCCGGGGAAGAGGGTCAAGGAGGGGTAGTGCAATTGGGGAATTTTGTTCTCAGACAAGGGACGGATATGTCGAGGTCCCGTGTGCGTTGAAGTCGGGGCGGGCGATGCTGGCGGTTCTTTCGGTTGGGCGTTGAGATGGTGTTGTGTGGAGAGCATATTTCAAGCATGGTCATAGCACTGGCGTTAAGAATGGGACGGGGCATTGTTCTTCACCAGTGAGTGATGTGACGGGCATGGATTTTGCAACCATAGCTCGGTATCAGCATGCGGTGATGCATCAAGCACATGTTCAGAACAAATACTCAAAGTTCCTGGAAATTTGACTCTTGCTCATTTCTGACTCTCTCAAAACGCCGTCGCTGCCATTCCTCCCGTCCTCGCTCCTTGGGTATAGACAGTGTTCCTCCGGCAGTTGCGAACAGATGAAGAAAGGAAAACCGGGGTATACGTAGCGCCCCGGCGCATTAGGATGTGTACAATGGTCGTAAGTTGTAGACGTTAGTGACAAAAAGGGAAATACAGGGCTGGTGCGTACAGACATGGCGGAGCGATGTAAACGACGACTACTATGCCAAAGTATCGGCCTCTGAGCATGTTGAGATGGGGGACGGTGGTGGTAGAAAGAGCAACTTGAAACGCTGTGAGCGTTTAGCGCTGATGCGTGGTCCTCCACTCGGATCATGCAATCGCATGCCGCTTTGTCCTTTTGGTTTGCCGCGGGTGTGGTGCTAAAAGGTCGACAGCAATTGTTCCCTCCGTGGCCATCCCAGAACCGTTCTCCGAGGAACCGAGACCGGGTCGCAGAGCGTACAGGGAGAAGCCAGGGGCCTCGGGTCACGATCGTTCGCCACGTTCTCTTGGTCGGCCCGGGCTGTCTCATTTCCCGCCGTACTTGGGCATCTTCTTAATATTGTCCGACAGCCAGCCGAAGCCCTCGGTCAGGCCCTCGCCCTCAATGGCGATGGCGGGCTGGACGAACCACGGCCGTTCCTTAAGCTTGGAGAGCTGGAGCTTTTCGGTGATTGTCTGAGGGTCCATGGCTGTTGTACCTAAATCAGCAAACGAAGATTCGCACAGATACAAGCGTGCAACGTACCGCCATCAAGATCCTGCTTGTTCGCAAACACCAGAAGAAGGCAGTCCGACATTTCCAGGTCGTTGAGGATGCGGTGCAGTTCTGTCCTGGCCTCGTCGATCCGCGCGTGATCAGACGAGTCGACGACGAAAACCAGACCCTGGGTCCCTGCCCGGTGTATCAGCACACTTCTGTCCTCGCCTCATCCGTCTCACTCCCGACCATGCTTACCGCTGTAGTAATGCCTCCAGAGCGGACGAATCTTGTCCTGGCCACCGACATCCCACATGTTGAACTTGATATTCTTGTATGTAAAGGTCTCGACGTTGAAGCCGACAGTCGGAATGGTGGTCATGGTCTGGTTGAGCTTGAGCTTGTAGAGGATGGTGGTCTTGCCCGCGGCATCGAGACCCAGCATCAGAATGCGCACTTCCTTGGATCCAAAGAGTTTGCCAAAGAGGCTCGAAATGGACATGGAGGCGCCCATTGTGGTCGGTCTGGTTGCCCTTGCTGACCAGGTTTAGGCGTACTGTATGCTGTTCGGATCGCCGGGTCGATGAGCTTGCGGACGACGCCTACCCAGGCTGTCCGGCTAGAAATGAGTCGGCGTGGGTCTTGGGAGCAGTCGGCGACACTATTGCGATGGCGAGAGACGGTCGAGGTGAAGATGTTTGGGTAGTGTATGTCGAAAGGCCCCTTCACCCCGCAGTGATCGGATGCGTCGCTCAGCGGTGTGCGGAGTGGCAAGATCGATATGGGTTTCTGGGTGGAGACAAACAGATCAGCCCGAGTGTGACAATTTACTTCCTCTGCCGAGATGAGGCAGGAGATTACATGGTAACGACTAGCGCAACCTAGAAAGGGGACAGACAGTGCATGCGATACGTACAAGTTGTACAAAACTTGAGAGGGATGATTGTGTCGAGAGGTCAGATTATACAAGTACTGGGCACCACAACAAACGAGAGTCGAGGTCGGAAAATTCGAGTGCCAGATGTCTCGGGGCCTCGTGATGCAGATCGCAGCGGTGATGTTGCGGACGCGGAGCCCCGTTTTGTTCCCTGTCAGGGGAACTTGGAAGTGGCCCGGGCCAGGACGCTGTGGAGTCGTAGATAAATTACCCCTGAACTAAAGACCAATCAGATCGCTGGACGACCAAAACTCCGGGTTCTCTGTTCTGAACAACGCACGTGGTGTCGCGATAAGCATCGCCGAGCTGTGGAGTTGGGCATGAGGTCGTTCGCTTATCAGACGCCATTACCTTACAACGTACACGTGGGTTGTTGTGCATGAATATTTCGGAGTAAGCTCCGTTGAGAACGGTGGTCACATGCGTCCGTTATCATACTCATCTGTTTAGTTTCTGTACTCTACAACAAATCGCCTGTCGACGAGTTGGAGCGTCACATTGTTCTCCTCGCCCTCGAACCGCAGGCTGACCTTCCCTGTGGCGGCATCAGTCCCCATCACCTCGGCTTTGTAGAATGTGGTGCTGTCGGGATAGAGCGCCAGCACTGTCTTGCCCTTTTCGAGATCCTCCAGTTCGACGCCCGGCGCCGGTATTGGGATCATGCTGCTGGCGCTCGTGCGGTATTCGACACGCTGGTCTGGCGGCAAGTCCGGGTCGGCGTCCTGCACCTTGTACCTCCGTGATTTGCCCTCGCCCAGCACCTGCTGCACCTTGCCGAGCATCCACTCTGTGGTGTCCGTAGTAGTCACCGGCTTCGGCTTGAAAACCACGTCCTGTCCCTTGAAGAAGGTGACCTTGGCCCGCTGCGCTGCGGTGAAGCTGGATTCAGGGGGCACGCTGTCGGACTTTCCGGGCGTATCGCGGTCTCCGCCTCGTGGCGGGACGCTGTCCCGGTTTGCTGAGCGGTCGCTCCCGCCCACGCTGCCTCCCACCTTCCTCCCCACTGGTGATGGCACTGGAGAATCCCCAGACCCGTCGAACTCATAGACCGACCCCGGGTCGCGATCACGGTCCCGTTCCCGATCCTTCTCTCGCTCCTTGTCGCGTGCACTAGCCCCTCGCACTGACGCCGACCTGCCTGTCGCAGACAGCAGGCCCGGCCTCTCGCGGCCGGAAGAGGTCGGAGCCCCGGCTGTTTGTGCTTCGGAGTCTTCCCTCGCCTTCACCAGCGCTCTCAGAACCGTGACATGCTCGATCAGGGCGTCTATTTGCTGCTTGGAGGTGTCGGACCCTTTCACTCCGCTGCGCAGCAGGCCGTCGAGTTTCTGTTCCTCGGCGGCCATGTCAATGCTGTCCTTATTCTTGGCAAGGTAGTTGTCCTGGGCCACAATGGCGCGGAGCGAGTCATTGCTGCTATTCACGCCGTCAATCATGGCCCGCATGTCGTCCTTGATCTGGCTCCATAGATGCGCCTCTTCCCCCTGCGTGCTGCCACTGTTGCGGTTTGGCCCGCGGGAGTTGCGGTTGCGTGACGACATGTTTGGGGCGGTTGTGTAGGTCTAGGGCGTCCACAAACGAGCTTCGAGAGCGAACTGGGTCAAATTGTTGTTTTGGATATTCACCTCCAATCCTCGTGACCGGCCGATCCCTGTACCACCTGTGTCTTCCCACAGTGGCTGGAATACCCGCGGCCTTGAGTCTTGATTGGCTTCGTCGAAATAAAAGTTTGGAATTAGCGGTCCAGCACCGTTGTAAAGTGCGAGTAGGTATCTGTTCTTCGTCATGTCAGCGTGGCATGGTTTGGGTCCTGGCTGAAGCGACCGACTCCCTTTGTTAGCAGTCGAATGCACGGGCCCGACACATCCCCCTATCCAACCGAATCGATCAAGGGCGGGTAGCCTGTGACGTACACCTTTCAAAGGGCCGCATTCCTTGGTGTTGTGCTTCAATAATACCGGGGTACCAATCTTGGCCATGTCAACCATCAACACCATGTTGTTGATGCCGAGCAACAATGGCAAAATTCGAGGTATCTCGGCTACGTCCCCTTCCCATAGAGTCGAGCCGTGTGCGGAGCAGAGTTAGACACTGTGTCTTGAGTTACAACAAGAGCTAGGTTTACAGTGCGTGATTCTGCTCCGACTTGCTCCAAGTTCCAGCCCCTGGGAAATTTGACGCGGCGAAACGAGGGGTCGATCTCCCCGCACCGGAGGACGCACCTCCCAGAGCTGCGGGTCCACCGCCTTGTTGGACCCTTCAAGGTCCCTACCGACAACCCAGTCCCTACATCAGACGGCCCTCAACGTTGAGTACAAAGGCAAGCCAGCGGCAAGGCGCTTTTCTTACGTTGTCCCTTTGCTACGCCAAAGCTTAAGCGAGAAGGGAGCGTTCCTTTTTTTCTCCACAATGCAGGTTCCCCTGATTCGCCTCCAATGCGGGGCCAATTCGTACGAGTGGGGGAAGAAGGGCAATTCCTCTGCCGTCGCTAGGTTTGCTGCCGCGACGCCATCCGCCAACTTCAGCATCCAAGATGACCGGCCGTATGCAGAGGTAGGACATTGTACGCTGTGTATATTCTTCAGGATCGACAGCTGACGACCGTGGCTCAGTTGTGGATGGGCACGCACCCCTCTAACCCGTCCAAAGATGTAGCCACCGGCCGCACCCTGCTTGATCTTGTCCAGGACAACCAAGCTCTCCTCGCCCCGTCCGTCGCTGCCCGCTACGGCGCCAAGGTTCCCTTTCTCTTCAAGGTCCTCTCCGTCAACAAGGCCCTGTCGATCCAAGCACACCCCAACAAGAAGCTGGCCGAGCAGCTGCACGCGAAAGACCCCAAGAACTATCCCGATGACAATCACAAGCCCGAGATGGCCATTGCCATCACCCCGTTCGAAGGTCTCTGCGGCTTCCGCCCCTTGGACGAGATTGCGCATTTCCTGGAGTCGGTTCCTCCGCTGCGCCAGCTTGTAGGCGAGGACCACGCCAAGGAATTCACCGACGTAGTTGGGAAAACTAGGGAAAATGGCTCGGAGGAGGCAGTGGAGCAGAACAAGAAGGTTTTGCAAAAGGTCTTTGGCGCGCTCATGTCGTCCACTGAGGCCGACATGGCTGCCGCCACCAAGGTCTTGGTCGAATCGGCCGCCAGCGCGGGGCGCGACTTCGCAGGAGGCGGTGTTGCTGCCACCTCAGGCTCGACCCTTGCCGAGTTGGTGACCCGTCTCCATGGACAATTTGGGCCCGACTACGGTCTCTTCGTACTCTTCTTCCTCAATTTCGTCACGCTTCAACCCGGCGAGGCGCTCTTCCTCCGCGCAGACGACATCCACGCCTACGTTAGCGGCGACATTGTCGAGTGCATGGCGAGTAGCGACAATGTGGTGCGCGCTGGCTTCACACCCAAGTTCAAGGACGTGGACACCCTCGTCAGCATGCTCACCTACAGCTATGCACCCATCGATGAGCAAAAGATGCACCCCGCAGATTACCCATACGCGACGCTCAACCGGATTGCCTACAGCTCCGGGTCTTCCGTGACCCTGTACGACCCCCCAATCGACGAGTTCAGCGTTGTGCGGACAACTCTCAGGGGAAACGGTGCCAAAGCCACGTTTGACCCCCTCGACGGCCCCAGCATCATCATCTGCACGGCTGGCAAGGGCAAGATCTCGGTTGGCCCCACGGTGCAGGAGGTCAAGGAGGGCTATGTCTTCTTTGTGGGCGCCACGGCCGAATGTGTCCTCGAGTGCGAGGGCGAAAGTGACGACGATGAGTTCATCACATTCAAGGCGTTCTGCGAGGTTGAGGAGAACCGCAACGGCACGTTCTAAGTATTGTTCGCTGTCAGCCCTTGGTTGATATGTTAGTGGTATGAAAGCAAAGCGGAAAGCGTGCTTGCAAACGGACTGTTCCCTGGTTACTCTTGGTTGACTGCCTTACTTAGGCTTCCATACCTGGCTCGATTCGATTCCCTCCACTTTTTGTCCATTTGTCCCTGCCAAGTAGTAGTCCCTGCTCGCCCCTGTAGAGGTCCTTCAATTCGGCAAAGTGTCGCGATCTTCTCAATGGATGATGGTTGAGGTGTTAGGCCGCAGTAGTCTACCGCGTCCCGTCCCAATGTCAGTCAAGTGGCCAGAATAGATTGCGGGACACACATACCTATGATGTAGACACAATATGGCGGGACGCGGGAACCCGGTTCTTGGATATACTCTGCATAAAGTGCTTGCCCGACGCTCTGGATCCCGAAAGTTGTTCAGGCCTGTAGAATCCTTAGCTCTGCAGGTATACATCACATTTAGAAAGGCTTACTTACCACTCATACTTCATCTTCCTTCTTCCCTCACCCTTTCCGACTTGCACGGTGCCAATAACACAACTGCTTAAACATACAACAAACATGTAGTTCAGGTCTCTACAGTTTGCTGCAGTCATTAATCCGGATGTTCACCCATTCCCGACGTCCAAGGCCAGGTTCACCATGACCTCCCAGCCCTACCGTCATTCAAATATATCCCATGAAATCGTCCATTAGCACGCTCTTGAAAGCTAGGAAGTCTTTGATGTTAGGGGGTGCCGAGTGTCTCAATGCTCATTTTGAGTAAATTTGTTTCCACACTCTGAGTCATCTGTCCTGGTCCATACACACATCAAATCGCCAATGTCACAGTCCTCAAGCACGTTACCATTACTGCTTCTCATACATCCTTTCCCAACCGCTTCACCTTAGCATGTTTTAGAACCGGGAAATCTCTTCGAACTTGCATTCTGAAAGCGCAGGACAGCGTTGCATGTTGACATGACTAGGTACCTATGCAGCTTCCAAAGGGGCTTGACCGCATATGAGGTAGTGTATTCCGAAGTATTTCGTGCTGAATATGGTTTTCAGAAATCAATTTCGCGGTGTCACTACCTTACCCGACGTTCCTGAAGATCCATCCGAGGGACAGAGAGCACAGCTGAAGGTCAACCATGCAGGATATTGAAAATGGCCTTCTCCCGTCTGGTCCAGCCGATGCTGAGCCAAGGATAAGACGGAAGCTACTGCGGCAAGCCCGTGCATGGCTGATGTTGGCATCATGGCTGCGCGTGGATATTTATAGCCTGTGGTAACTAGATATATTAAGTTCCGGAAAACTGAACGGGTCCAATTAATTCAACCGCCAAATTGATCCCGAGGAAAATGGCACGTCTGTCAAGGGGTCGATGCGACCTGAATGTTCCTGTATAGGGAATATTACTGGCTCCGAAGGATCACAGTTGCGAGCTGGAACGGAACGGTAAGCCTGAAGTTTGGATACGTCCTCAGAACCAGGACGGGGTAGCGCCTTGACGAGCCTCAAGCACCATTCTAGACCCAGAAGAGTGCTCCGCGATATACAGATCAATATATTGATTACTACCTGGACACAAGAAAACTCCGCTCGCAAATAGTGACAAAGCTGACGAACCCGTGGTCCTTAAGCATAACGCAGAAGAAAGATAAAGCTCTCTGTGTTTCCACCATGTCCCCTCGTGGATGACAGGAATCCACACGTCAGTGCCAACTGCAAGCTCTCGTCGCTCCCGCTTTATCGCGCTTCATCTTCAGGTACCTTCGAGATGTTCTCAAAAGTTGTAGTCCTACTCGGACTGGCCAGGTACAACGCATCATTCTCATTCTATCCGAGTAGAACGCTGACATGAAACTGGAAACCAGCGCCGCTCTTGGGCAGGTCACGCTCGAACCCAGCACCATTCGGTCAGGCCGGCCCGGGCTTCCTACATCAACAGTGACGGTGACAAAGACAGAGACCGAGACCAGGACCGAGACGGCCACCGTGACCAAGACGGAGAGCTACACCAGCCACATCACGTCAATCATCACCAGTGTCAGCACCAGCATCACGACCACCGTCAGCCCCACGACCAAGACCAACACGGTCAACGTAACGGCAACCGTCACCAAGCCGTGCAGCACCGTCAGCTGCCCATCCCTGACAAAAACCGCGACAGCATGCGCAACCTGCCTCTTGCCGCAGTGCACTCGGACGTCTGTGGTCACCCAGCCATGCGGATGCACCGCGCTGCCCACTGCCACGGTCTCGTTCCCCTGCAGCGAAGTTGGGGTGTGCAACAAGATTGGTTGCACGACTGTGTATGATGTGAAGACGGCCGCTTGCTAAGCAATAGGAAGGACGGCGCCCTTAGCGGTGATAGCAGGGCAATGTGAGAAATGGTTCAGGGGCACAGTGGTCAACAGAAGCTCAGTTGTGAATAGATAGCCATTCAGTGTCGAGCCCTAACTACATAAAAATGTTGTGTTTCTGCAGGCATACAGCCAATGCTGAATAGTAACTATTGATAGTTGTTGTTGATATGAAATTCGGATAACTAGTTAAATAGCTGGCAAAGACAAGTTAGCTAAGGTGCCTAGACAATTTGAAGCACAGGGTTGAGGATTCAATTGTCCCATGTCTTCGATCGGTGGAGGTGGTTTTCAATCCGAATTTATGGATGAATCCCTCGGGCTGCTTCCCAGTCAGTCATCATGGAGCCTGAAGGTACTGTAAATAACCCAAGGTACACCTACCTTACCTAGGTACTTATCACACTCACTGTCGCAATGCAATCTCGGAAGTGGCAGAGCCGCAGAGGAGCTGAGGCTGATGCTTTCCGAAAATAACCCCTTTGAATGAGGTTGCAGTGTCCAACCCAGGTGTGCGCCAAATATCCATTTCGTATGTGAGATAGTGTAACTTAGGTAGTTAACCATGTGAACGAAAAAAGTACAGAGTAACTAGCCGCTCCAGAGCCAAAGCCACCACACGGTACGGGTGATTCCAAATCTGGTGCATTGGGCCTCCAACTGAACCCGTCACGACCAACGGTTCAGCAGGGTATTCCATTCTTGAAACAACAAATCACCCCTTGCAGTCTTGGTATCGCCAGAAAGTTGTCGCAGGGGATTATTTTCTTGCTCGCTGTCCAACATTTGTCACCATTCAAGCCACTCGCCTTGCCCTTCTTCACACAAGTTCACACTGCATCACAAGCTCCCTATTAGCTTCCACCACCATCCGATCACACTTCCACCAATATTCACGCAATCAACGTCAGGGCTATCAGCCCCGACAACTCACATCCGTATCACAGTCCGATCTGGGCAGCGGGGATACTTGGACTGCATAAGAGTAAGTCGTTCTTCCTCTGCTTTCGAGCCAAGTTCAATGCGATGTCGACACGGTCGAATATCGGCCCCTGAAGTTCTAACTGCTCGCTTTCTCTTTGTTCGCGTTTTGTCTTCAGAAACATGCCTATTAGCATTCTCTCTTCAAAGTCTCTGATTAAGTCCCCCAATCCAGGCCAGAATCACCAGTGTTTTGACTCCAAGATTTGAGCTTTGGGGAGTGCCGTACTTCGCGGCTCACAGCTTCAGCAAGCAAAACCGGCCGGCTGCATTCAAAACCATCATCATGCCGAGCAGCGAAGGACGCGGCTCAGGGTCGGCATTCCGCTTTGGGCGGCTCAGCGGAATCAAGACACTGGCGATGTCAACATCACCACAACCTGCCACCAACCATCCATCACATGCACACAGCCCCGCAGCTACTGACCCGACGGTCAACTCGGAGGATACCATCCTGTTCTCCAAGGTGTACGAGGATGCCTGGGGCGGGCCCGAGGTGAGCCGGACCGAGATGGAGCGGGCGCGCATCTTCCTGCTGCGCATGGCCATCATGGCTATCGACGGGCAGGCCCAGATCTCGGAGCTTCGGGCCATCATCGGGGACGAAAGTAACCGCACGGTGCCCGGCATCGCCTGGGCCATTCAGATGCGCATCTACGGCAACCGCCACGCCGACTTCGCCGCCACGCCCCTGCTCCAGGCCGTCCGCTTCATGCTCATCAAGGCCCGCGTCCCGCAGAGCGGCTTCACCGACCGGTCCCGCGCCGTGCTGGATTTCTTTTTTGACCCGACCCTGCACCGCAACCTTAACCCCTTGCCGCCCGGGGAGCTGGTCCGCTACCCGTATCCCTCGGGTCGACTGCGTGTGTGCATCGTCGGCGGCGGGCCGACTGGTCTCGCGTCGGCCATCTCGCTCGCAGAAAAGGGTCGCGGCAAGGTAGAGGTGCATGTTTGGGAGCGGAGGTGGGTCACGACGGAGAAGGGAACGGTCGACTACCCGCCCACTGCGCGCCGGCGGGACCAGGTGGTCACCCTACAGGACTCGGTCACGAGCTTGCTCAGTCCTCGGACGTTTGAGGCGCTTTTCGAGGGACGGCCGGAGCGGGTATGGCCCGGCTCGGCCAATATCCAGATCCGCAAGGTGGAGGATAGGTTGCTGAGCCGGTGTCAGACCGACGAGTTCTACGGTCTGATCCACCTGCACGCCGAGGGCGTCACGAGGGAGGAGCTGGCGGCGGGCAAGTGCGGCGATTTCCATGTGCTGTTGGGAACGGATGGCGCGGCGTCGTGGGTTCGGAAGAGCTACTTCAGGGGGTATGAGAAGGAGCGCGGGAGGAGTTATGCGCTTGGTCTGGCGTTTGATCGGGGCGCGAAGGCTGGGCTGCCCTGGAGCCAACCACTCAACATGTTCCTAACGCTGGGGCAGACGCGGTACCTGCTGAATGCGAGCGACCACGACGGCAAGGGGTACCTCAACATGCAGTTGACCGAGGACGAGTGGGAAAAGATGGTAGGCGTGGATGGAAAGCCTATCCACTTTGGCAGTCCGGGCTGCTTTCGTCGGCCTGATGGGAGTATTCCGGAGGGATTTGACGAGAGTCGAGTGTTTGCGCCCTCCGAGGCCCGGAACTCGGCGCTGTGGAAGTCGATTGAGGACGGGTTGAAGCTGTTCGGGTTCAAGGAGAGCGAGGTCATTAACGTTGTGCGCATTCCAATCGTGGTCCAGGCGGTCCGGGAGGGCGTGCGGACGCTTCCCCTGGAGGATTCCCGCTTCGTTCATCGCCCACATGCTCTCGTTGCCGTGGCCGGCGACGCCGCCATGACCGTGCACTTCTGGCCAGGACGCGGACTCAACAGCGGCATCAAGGCGGGCATTTCTCTGGGCGACGAGATCTGCCACGCTCTCAGAGGCGGCAAGTTTGCCGGGCTCGAGCTGAGCGCCATGAAGGAGTACAATGACTTCATCATCAAACTTCAAGGCCGTGAGCACGACAAGCGCAGCATCCCCATCCTGAACCAATCTGGGTCGCCCGAGATGCTCGGCTGGTTGCTGAGTAAGGCACAGGCCGTGCCGGACGAGGTTGCCATTGAATGGTGGGTCTAAATCCAGGACAGGAATGGGAGTGAATAGGCACTAACCAGGCTCATGATTATCTAGGCTTGTTGGTGCGATGACGCAGATTGCCGAGCGTCTCGAGCTTCGTCGAGACTGGTACTTCCCACATGAGTCCAACGTCGAAGCCCAGATCCGCATCATCCTGCGCCAGCTCAACAGTCTGACGCTGCGCGAAATGGCCGTCAGCTTTCCCTGGCCCACCCGCGAGATGGCCGGCGCCGAGGTCCTGCCCATCCGATCCATGCGGCCTGAGGAGAAGCGCAAATGGCTGCAACAGCTCTGGGATCTTCTTACAACTGAGAAAAACAAAGAAGCAGCAGCATCCGCCCGAGGCCGGGACCGTGCCTTGTCCACCTCCAACGCACGCTTCGAAGCTCTGCGGCCTAGGTCACGGTCAAAGTCACCCCTCCCATCCTCCGGCTCGCCGCCAATCCGCAGCCAAAGCCCTCTACCACCGATCATCAACACATCCCAGTTGGAACCTATTACTCAGGTCGAAACCCTCGACCTCAACACGGCGCTCGCAGACAGCACCACTAACCGCTCCCCGTCCCCGTCTCCATCGATTTCCCCGGCCAGCTCACTCCGTCGAAGAAACGCCACCACCACGGCCACCAACAGGCGTCTGTCCCAATCCGGACCACTTCCAGTTCCGGCCCCTGACCGCTCAAGGCGATTCAGCAACGCAAAGAACCTCGTTGTGCCGGGTGCCAATAGCAGTCCGTACCCATACTTGAGTGACGGGGAAGAGTACATTAGCAGTGGGGACGAGAGGCATCGGGGTTCCCGATCGCCTTCGCTCGTTTCTTTCGGTGGTGGTTTTGGGGGAAGGGATGGTGGGTTGACGCGGCTGTTGAGCGTTAAGAGGCCGAACGATTCGTTCCTGGCAGATGCTATGTCTCTGGCGCTGTTTCGAGTTGTGGATGAGTGAGGAGCATAAGATTGATGATCGTGGGGTTGATGATGTATCCGTATGGTTCAGAGGAAGGAACAGAGGATGAGTCAGAATGGCACAAGCGGTCAAGGCTCGTCGGCTCAAGTCATATCACGAGAGGTAGTACCCTCTGCGCAAGGCTGGCGGGTACCAGGAAATGTAATGCTTTACTCCTTACGGCTGAGTTCAACTCTGCCGCCATTTGATAAACCTTTCCTCTTTCTTCGACTGAGAAGATCCCGAGCCCATTCCGCTGCCTCAACCGCGTCCCATTGTACATGGTCGTGTAGCTCTTTGGGAGAGTCTGCAGCAGTTCAAACGCCCGACTTACATGTCGCGGCTGGATTGGACTGTTGGGCACTCGTGCAGTCTCTGTCTCCTCCCTCCCCTTTTCCTGCTCTGCCGTCCCTCACCGCAAACGGCCCTTCCCCCTCAAGCTTTCTCTTGATGCCCCTTCCCCCCGGGGTAACCTCACACCTCAACTTCCTTTCTCCTGCTCCTTATCTGCCAATGCCTTTTCCGTCAGGACCCGCACCCTCTCGCCCGTCAAGAACCCCAACATCTCCAGCACGTCGTCCTTGGACCGGTGGTCGGAAATGACACCCAATCCGCACCTCTCCCGGAACATTCTTTTCTTGCGGTAAGTGAAGGATGCCGACCGACATTCGGACCAGGCCACGTACTGGTCGGCCGTCATGTCGCGGGTGCGTTTGTCGTTTGACGAGGCGGGCGAAGAGCCAGGAGTTGTTGGTTTGGCCTAGTTCAGTGTCTTCCACGGCTTCGTCGTCGTCGAGGGGTGCGAGGGAGGGGATGTCGCTTGTGTGGGGGAACATGGAGAGTATCGACCAGGGGAGAGGGCAGATGATAGCTTCTGGGATGCTGGCTTTCAGTGTGCCGGGCTGCGTTGGCCGGGGAGTGGACGAGTCCGAGCCTGAATTGGCGGGTCCTGCTGCTTCAGCAGTGTCTCCACCGTCGTCTTTCTCAGTCAGAGCATTCACATCGTCCAGGCCGATGTCGTCGACTGCCTCGTCGCCTTTGACCCTCGCCTTCACGCGTATCTGCTTTCAACGCACATGGTGTCGCAGCCTGGCCAGGCGTCCCGGGTTGTGGCGTATCTGGAAGAGAATGTCGTTTGTTGTGAATACTGGTGTCGCCACCGCGTGCAGCCAGTTGCCCAGCAACCGCCAGCTAGGTGGTGACCGTGGTGTTAGTGGCCAGTTTCATAGGAAGCAGAACTCGATGGACGCCTCTCACCATGTGCATTGTTTGTTCCCGGACAATGTTCTCAACCGTCGTGTTGTCTCAGCTGAGGGGTGAGTCACTTCCGCGGCCACCTACATCATTTAATGGAGTGTTGTAGTTAGATGATGACATATCTAGCCCCTACAATAACTCGGCCCCAGGTGCAGCACTCTTCCTTTGAGGATTTCATTGCGGTACCTTGGCGGTACGGTTTTGTTCATTTTGACGATTCCCAAAAATTAAACCACAGTACCAGACCGCTCTTTCGTTAAGGTATAGATTCAAAGGTGTTGAGGAAAGCTGCGAGGAGAACACCCAGTTATAACTCCATCTACCCACTTCAAGGTTTGAAGCTGGCAGGATACCAATGTCATACAGGCAAACAAGTTACATGGGAAAACAGATTGCCACAAACAAAGGGACACATGAGCCCACCAGGAAAGGTCTCATGGAACTTCAGATGAGGCTTATCGTATTGTGCATCCTCGTGGGTATGGGCTCCTTTATTTGTTAGCATGGTAGCACAACGAAGGGAAGTTGGAGATTGTGTCCCATGCCCTTCATCCCAAACTTTGAGAGTATGGTCACCCATGCTGACATACCATTCCGGCAGACTCTATTTAGTGAAGAGGTGCCCTTTCTCAGGTAATATATCCGGTTGGCATGGGAATAAGGCATGATTACATGTACAGCATGGAATAAGTCCACAGGTAATTAGTAACTAAGCCTGAAACTTGCAATATACATGCAACCAAGTTAAAGTTACCGAAGCATACACAGTCCCCCCAACTTTGTCACCGACTGACTCCGTGGAATGTCGTTACCGGGGAGTTGACTGCCGGATATGAACCCTGAGTGGATAGCTCGGTATTCCTGGGATCGCCGTTGGGATAATAGCTCTGACCTTGCAACTCGTGTGTCTCCCGGTCTCCTTGTAGCTCGTGCTTCATCGAGATGTCTTGGGGATAGTAGGAAGGCGCTGGCGGTGGGGGAGGGTATGAGTTGTGCCAGCCATGTCGACCTGCTGCCGTTGCTGCGATAACTTCCTGCGTCTTTTTCAACTTCCACCACAGATATGCCACGGCTAAGACCAGCAAAGCGCCGACCGCGGCGCCTACCCCGATACCAGCCTGGGCACCCGTGGACAACCCCGAAGATTGTTCGGTTTGTGCGGCTGAGGACTGCCCGGTTTCTGCGGGCGCTCGACTTCCCGTGCTCGATGGAGAGGGCCCAGTCGTCGCTTGGGATGCGTAGCTTATCGTGGACGCGCTCGTGCCACTCGAAGTGGTGGCGTCACTCGCACTGGTACTACCGCTAGCAGCACCTGTTGAGAAACTGGTCGAGGAGCTTATTGACGAAGACGTGGTGGTTGAGAGCGGATTGAGCACGACATATGCGCTCTTTGACTTGTCGTACACGGCCCATGTAAATATTGGCTTTGACGGCTCGATCTCCAACCGGCCGAGGCCACTGTCGCAGCAACCGGCTTTTTGATCACAACAAAAGGATGTCTCCTTTTGGGTGACATTGGAGCACGAGACCAGATTCCACCCTTTGCCCTCCACATCTGAGACGCCTAGTCAGCCGTGGATGCCTCCACCTCGACAGGGAGACGTCGGGAAGACATACTCATGCAGTATCTGGGGCAGTCGGGAGACGTAAATGTCGGATCCGTACATCCTCCTCGGGCGATGGTGCCGGCCGGCATTATGCAGAGCTTGTTGGACAAGCACGCATTCGCGACCTTCGAATCTCCATTGGCGCAGCAAGCACTGACTTCGGCGTCCGGATCGCAGGGAATGTCGGTGGATTCAAAACCGCCTGGGTAGTAGCACTTGGCGAGGCATGTCTGCAGGATGCCGACATGAACGAGGACGACAAAAGGGGTCTTCATGTTGGGCAGGGGGACAATGGCTGAAGCTGCCGCGCTGTACGTCCTGGTTAAGGCCAGAAGCGTGCCACGCTGACGGGCCCAGGTAGGCGCGCGAGCGAGACGAAGGACGGGTTTAAAAAGGTAGAACGAAACAGTTGGAGCACGAAGGGGAATCAGAAGTGGGAATAACCTCCGGATCAAGAGGGACCCAGAGCATGGCCCCCAAACTCATGCCTCAAGGTTGCATTATTACCAATTTTGAATCGTCCAAACACCCTTCCTGGTGGGAACACTGTGCCGCTCCTCTGCGCATCTCACAGATATCGCGCCCCTGATACGGGTCGCGAACAGGGGATCTGCAACGCTTCGGCAGGGGCTCGACCCACTGTCCCACAAAGCGCCCTCAACCGAGGCCAATGAAGCAGTTCGGAGTGCTGGGTCAGCCGAGCCGCTGATTTTAGCGGTGGTGGCCTTTCTCTTTTCCTCTCCTCGCTTGCCGTCTCTCACCAAACCCGCGTCAGACCGGGGCTTCACAAGCGCTTAAACGCCCCCTCCAGGCCAATGATTCATAATCCCCCACACGGCCGCGACGCGGGCCGCAGCCTCACATGTGCAGCTGACGGCTTTCTCGGTATTACAGACCGACTCCTTCAAGATTCTGGCGTGGCGGCAGAGTTCAACATGTGCAAACAAGGGAATGAGAAGCGGGTAAAGGGTAAGTAGTCCTGATGGGTTTAGATAATCGATGGTCGTTTAGATATTCCATACACTACAAACCGAGGAGCAATACAACGAAAGAGACTCGAGACAATAGCAACTCCTCGAGTGCGACTCCTAGTGCGATTGAAATATCTTTCCCAACTTCAACTTCTTCTTCGCCGCTTCCAATTCCACCATCGCCGAACTCAGTCTGCTCTCCACAGTCTGTCTAAACTGCGACGATGCAAGTCTCTTGGGCGCAGCAGTCTCCTGCCAGAGCGAAGACGCCGGCAGGCTGACACCGCGGCGAACGCGCGGCTTCTTGACCCAGCCTGAGCCGGTCGGCATGTTCGGGTCCTCGTACGTCTCGTCAATGCCGTCCTCGGCGTAGTGCTCTTCAAGTCCGGGCTCCGGGCTGCTAATGACGAGTGACGCAACTTGGAATCCCTCAGGAGATGTCGAGTCAGTTGCTCGTGCGGTGGGGGTCACGGTGCCTCGATAAGCCGGACGTGGACTTGGCGAGGTACGGTCTGTCTTGATGTTAGGGGCGGTGGACGACTTCAAAGCTCCTTTCTTCTGACTTGGCTTTTTGGGCGTCGGCTTTTTTTAATGGGTATATCGACTAGCTTCTGAGCTAATTCAGAGAGATGCTCATTGTCATCTTCCTCAGAGATGTCGCCAGAGCCATCAAGACGACGCATAGCTTCTTCGTACTCCAAATCAGGAGTCACATCCGGCTTCCGGACTTTGAGGGCCGACATGACGGCACTCTCGGTGGGCGATTTAAACGATCCGTTCGTCGAGGCTTCTTTCCAAGGGTCGCTCAGCGAGGCAAAAGAAGAGTCCGACTTTGACCCTGTGTCGTTGTCATGCTCCTTCTTGGGGACCGCAGGGTTCTCTCCAATGTCACTGTGACGACCTAAGGTTGAGCGGGACACCAAGGCAGGATCGTCCATGTCGGGAAAGGGATCATCACCGGTGCCTAACTCGATGCTGAAAGCCGGGTCGACCTGCCTTCCACTGTGAGGGCTGGCCGTCTCAGATGGCAGAACATCCAGCGCGGTATATGCTTCTCGGCGTTCATCGTGCCCATCATGAGGATCCGAGATGGGGTCAGAGAGACGGTGGAAAGGCTCGAGATAAATCGGCTGGGAGTCCACGTTATTCAATGTTGTTTGTGATGGCAGCTGCGGGCTGGCTTGGCTCTGGGATTGCGCGGCCTGAGAGCCGATGATGGTAGTGGCGTCATGAGACATCTCTTCCAACTGTCTCGACGGACTGCTTAGATCTAAGCCTGCGCTGTTCGGAAAGGTGGTGACTGAGGGATCGACATCCTTGCGAAAACCCGCATCATTGATGCGGAGACTGAATTCGTGGCGCCGGTCTTCCGAAATCGAAGCATCGGGTTTCCGAGCGACAGGAGTTTCGGATACTATGCTCTGGCCACCGCCGCCGTAGGTGTCAACGTCCATATCTTGAGTATCGGTTTCATGTGGACCCGCCTGTGTTTGGTCAGGGGTAGTCGAGACTTTGTCTTTAGACGACCGTTCCTCATGTTGAACTGCATCGCGCATCATATCCCGTTGGCCAGGGACAGACGGTTCCTTGGGCGACGGCGCAACCTCAACAACGCCAGGGGCGGCTTGAAGAACACGGGGTTCAATCATATCCGCCAGCTCCAGGGTCCGATACCCTTGTTCGGCGGCTTCATCATCTTCATCATCCATGTCCGGCACCTCAAACTTGTCATAGACCCGGTGTCCGTCGTCGTCATACACCCTCTCGCTGCGGTCGATGTTTCGGTCGCGCTTGGCAAGACGAACCTCCAAGGTGTTGCCGCCCAACACGTCGACCACAATGCCTGTGAGAGTGGACACCTGGGGCTGCCAGTTGGTGGCCTTTGAGAGCAGCAATTGCTTCCATGAGACAATCATGCCGGCCACCGCATCGCCGGGGCGGAGTTTCGGTAATGTTGATACGTCGGTTGGAAGGGGTGGCAAGTCCTCTTCCTCGTCTGCAGGGTGCACCGACGTTTGTTCCGGCTGCTCCCGAGTTTCCGGCGACTCCTCGTCGTAGTTGAGGATCGTCTCCTTGTAGCCGGTTGTGTCGTTGGCGTACGACTCACCATCGCCATCGTAGTCCATGGAATTCCCGTATTTCTGTCTCTTGGTGCTGGCCCGGCTACCTTCCAAGAACTCTTCCCGGTTCCGCTGTTTCCGCTTCGAGCGCCCACCGCGATTGTTCCCGTCTCTGTGGACAAATTGTTGCTGCGGATCCCATCGCTGCACAAACGGAAAAGGCGGCTCGCTGAGTTTAATCCCCTCCTGGCAGCATTCCACCGCGCGGTATGCGATCTTTTTCCGCCATGCCTCAGGATCAGCTTGTTCTTCGGGTTGATCATCAAACCGTCGCGGATGACCATCGACCGAGTTAAGCGGAGTGTGGTTGTTCAAGGGCCGAGTGCCGTCCATGCGCGTCGACTTCTCCACCACAGGCGCGTTCGAAGGAGCAGAATCCTGTTCCCTGTCGTTGACTGTTGCTTCCTTCGCTTCTTGTGAGATGAGCTCATGCACCTCGCCAAATCGCCGAAGCAGCGCCGCTTTCTTGGCTGCCACTGACTCGAGAAGCTCCAGTGTCTCTGCTGCAGGTAACGGAACGGCAGTTGGTGGTAACGGTTCGCCTCCGCCGGCGGCTTTCTGTGCCATCCGAGCGGCTTTTCTGCGGGCATTGCGTTTCTGTGTAGACCTTTTCCCTTGTCCGGGCGGCACCGGTCGCGGGGTTTCGGCGGAGCCGCTCTTGAGCTCCGGTGGTGTCGCATCCAACTGTGGTTCCTGGGCATCCTGGTCTTGGGTAGCAGGTGGTTCCATTGCAGTGATGACCTCTGCATTGACTGAGCGGGTCTGGGGAGCTTCCTCCGCGCTGTCGTCTGATGACTCGTCATCATTGGACGAGTCTGCCTCGTCGCTGCTGGCTGAGCTGTCAGCAGAACCACCGGCTTCTTGACCTCTGCCCTTGTTACTGTCATCCGTGTCATCGTTGAAACTGCTATCGTCGTCACTGTCGCTGCCGCCGTCGCTACCATGACTCGCGCTCTCGTCGACTTCTTCGCTGTCGTCACTGTCGCTGCTGGTAGCTTCGTCCTCGCTGGAACGGTCACTTCCTCTTTCTTCTCCGGTCTCATCCTCGCCCTCGCTTGAGGACGGTAAACCCCTCCCGCCAAAGAACCTTGCGCTGCCTGATGCTTCGGCCATTTTGGACGATGCTACCTCCGGGCCACTGTCATTGTCACTGTCACCCTCACTTCCATTATCGCTCTCGCTTTCGCTGTCGGACTCGCCAGAACTGTCTCTCTCGCCAAAGGAGGGGGAAAGTGATACTTTCTTAGCTGGAACCGCAACAATGTCGTCGAACTTGGTATGGACTGGAACCTTTACGGAATGTCCGGATTTCCGCATGGCCTCTGCCGTCTGAGAGGCCGCCGTTCCGGCCAAGATGGAGCCGCTGGGGAAGCCGTGCTGGTCGTAATGCTTAACCATGGAGGCTACCGATTCTGCCTCGCTCTCATCAGATGCGGCATTCTCGGTTGCTGTGGCTTTGGGTGGGGAAGAACCAACATAGGAGAGGATGGCATCAAGGGGCATAGCAGGTTGATGCTGGGTCCGTAATCTGAGATATGCTAGCTTCGTGCTTCCTTGCTGCTGATTTAGAGCTCGTTCGCAAGCGTCAGCTGGGACCGACGGAAACGCCGCTCGGAGTGCTGTTATCTTGTCAAGCGTCTCGAGATCCAGTCTCGCGACAACCCCCGACGCTGAAGGCTGGGTGTTCTTGTGCGTGGAATTAGGTTGGATGGACGCCGTGTCTTGTAATTCTTCATCGTCCTCTTCGATGTCCTCTTGAAGATCACGCAACTCGGCTTCCAGGTCGGATCCGTCGATTCCGCCTTCGATGGCCTCGTCACCCTCGTCCTCGTCACTATCCTCATCTACGAAATCGTCGTCTGCATCATCTTCGTCGCCTTCAGACCCATCGCGTTCGACGTCATCAAATGCTGCTCGGATGCGGACACGCCGGTCGGATCTATCGTCCTCGCCATGCTCGGTCAGGAGGAATCTCGGTTCCTCGTCATCTTCTTCGTCGGCCTCGAAGGTAATCCTCCGACGTTTGAGAGGGGGGATGTCGATGGGTGGTCGATCTCTCGGGCCCCTGAGACGCGGACGGCCGAAGGGCACGCCGTCAATCAGGTGCCTGCCGTCGGCTGTGATCTGGTCTCTCCCGCTCAATCTACGCTTGCGGCGATCTCCAATGTCCAGTGGACGAATACTGTTGCGAACAAAGGCCTCAGTTGAATGCAACAGAAATCAGCGCATGGCCGGCACTTACAAGACTTGTTCATCATTGTTCAAAACCAAAGAAACCTGTTGAAAGTGCAGGCAGTCGAAGGCATGACCGCTGGAGTCTCGGAGCTCGACGGCGTAATCCTCCAGACCCCAGTCGTTGCTTTCAAGGGGAACAATCTCGTTCACCTGCTCCAAAAGGTTCACGATGGTTGGGTCGGTGTCGAGCTGCACGACAAATACCACGCGGACCTCGGGAAGAGCATGGCGACGCACAACCAGGCGCAGTCGCATAAGGGTGTTGCTTTCCCGCATTGTGGGAGAATCGGGAGACGAGCAGAAATGGTAGTTGGTTCCGTCAAAGAACCACTTTGAACCGTTGGCAAAATGCCTGGGGTTAGACGAATACTACACGCCTGACAACATGGAGCGAGGGATAATTCGGTCGGGCGGCGTCGCGGTTTCTCCGTGCGGGATGACGGCGCCTTGACGCACGAGCTCTCGGCCAAGTGCCGATTGTCTTAATCGGAGGATCGGAGTGCCTTACTTATCGATAACCACGGAACCCTCACCCTGAATCGGGAAGTTGGGAATTAATCCCTGAGCCGAAACTCCGACCGACTTCAGATCTCACATGATCGTCGAAGATGCTATTCTTTACTAGTATCTGCGAGGTATGTACATGATTAGGGCTGGCTGTTGAGAAGGCCTTGAAGCATTAAGGGATTTGGTCCACGAACGTATAACAAGAGCGAACCCGACAATCTAAATGTTAGTGCTAGCCCAGACACACCAACGCCAGGAATGTAGATCCTCTTATTCTCGGCGGAGGCCGAGATGCCCAATAGACTAACGCCAAATCCATGCAAAAGGTATCCATGGCAAATACAGATGGATTACAAGGCATCACTAAGTCCTGGATCCTTCAATGCGGTAGGTTTGCTAAGTCCAGCATGTGGCCCATTTTCTCGATCTGTGATCAAGTGCAAGTCAGCTTCACGACTGGCCGGAATCACGGAGCAGGGAGGGCGCAAACCTTTGTCTTCAAATAACCCTCAACCTCTGGCGCTCTGAAACCGCCCTTGCCCTTCCACGACAAGGGTACCATGGGGACTCTCTCCTTAACGACAATCTCGCGGTGGGGCCCTTCGACGGCGCGGATCTTGTCTGGATTATTTGTCAGGAGTCGAATCTCCTTCTGCCCAAGGTCGAGCAGCATGGCCGTGGCCAGACCGTAACTACGGGCGTCGGCCGGATGGCGAAGAAGAAGGTTTGCCTCGACCGTATCGGATCCCAGGTCCTGGAGATTGTACGCCTTGAGCTTCTCCCCCAACCCGATGCCACGCCCCTCTTGCCTCAGGTAAATGATAATGCCCCCAGATTTATTGCCGGGCAGAGACATGAGCCTCGCCGCTTCGTCAAGCTGCTCTCCACAATCGCAGCGCGCCGACCAAACTGTCTCGCCGGTATAGCATTCGCTGTGTATCCTGACCAGGGGTGGCGCTTGTGATGCCTCCGAAGCGCTGGTCGGGCCGTCTGGCGTGGGTGTTGAGAGGCCGCTGGTTGTCCTGCCGGGGAACAGGCGCCCTGTGTAAGCGCCTCTCACGAGTCGATCCATCTCCGTCTCGCCCTCCCTCACGGCGTCCAGGGACTTGCTCCGAATGTTCCCTCCAAACACAATGGCCAGATGTTCCTTGTTGTCCACATTGTTCGTGTAGAGATGCAGGAACATCTCAGCCCCCGTGGTCGTAGGTATCCGCGCGCGCACGATGCATTCGACCTGTGGCAAGGTCTCGAGCAGCCGGGGTTGCTTGGTGCCACACCCTCCAGTTGGTATTGAGCTGTCGACTGGAATGCTACGCGGTTCACGGGGTACACCCGCCTCTGTACTTCTCGGCGTCGCAGTTCCCGGTGTTGACGGCGGTGTAAATGCGGGGGAGAGGAGGCACGGCGGTGGCGGTTGTGTCAATGGCGTGGGCGCTTGCGTAAATGGGCTCGGTTCATCTTCAATGGTCGAAGAAGCGGTGTTTTCTGGGGCAGAAAGGGAGAAATCGGCATGTTCAACGTCTTGATCGCTGTGCGACGTGGCACGCGCATCTGCACGCGGAGAGTAGAAGGACGGAAGCTGAGTCCCATCGGATTGCTGGTTTCCCGCGTCGGAGCCGGGCATCGTGGGTCACCAATTGATCTTTCGATCCGGGCGACGACCAGGGCTTGGTTCGGGGGTCCAATCCGGGGGTATGCAAGGAATTGCGCTTGTCTTAGGCGCTGAGCTACGGTGTGCTGAGTTAAATGACAGAAGAGTGAATCGAGAGCGCCTGAAAGTCGGTTTCTGTTCGAAATATGAGACAGTTTACTGTTTTGGCTGGGCTGACAGACAAAGTTGCAGCATTTGGCAGGCATTAGTCATTTCCTCGGTTTCTTGGCTGTGGTGTTTCTGGAGACTTCATCCCACTGCCCCGCATTTTGCCTCTCCTTGCTTCCCGCGCGCCGAGGAAGAAGTTCGGCTTCTAGAACGACGTTCTTTGTCGTCGTGGTGCCGGGCCGGCACCGCCCTGACTTCAAACCCTTGGCGATCTCGGCGCAACGCAACCACATTACTTGAAGAGACCTGTGGGTGCTATTTCCATCCCATTGCATGACTGCAATTTCTCTATTTCCAAGCGGGATGCTGAGTGATTAGCAGGTAACGTTAATCTATTCAAGCGAAGACAACAGTCTTGCGTTCCCCGGTTTGAGCGAATTTCGGTGGGGGCCCAGAGGTTGCCAGGGGTCGCGAATCTTGGGAGACTGTTCAATTCACCCGACGCTCAGATCAGGCATTGCTAAGGTAGGTCGGTCTTCATCCCTTGTCTCTAGCGATGACGGACTCATGTGCTAATGCGTAGTGGCAGCTTCATGATGGATTCCAATCTCGACGCGGAATGTTTGTCTCTTGCCCGTTTGAGGCAGTGGAGATGCTCAGCGGATGTTCGGATAGCCATCCGGAGCCGCACTCCCGGCCAAGAGCTTAGCCTGCCAACACATGGTGCCGTCCCGGGCGGGCCCTCTTCATATTCAGTCCATGGCACCGGCACGCAATCTCCTCCCCGCCAGGCCACCCTCGCCGCCTTGGCTGCCATGGTGCCTTGGACCCACGGAACCAGCCGGTCGACACGGCCCATCCGCCCGGCAATAAACGGAAGGTGAGGTGCCGGTTGACGATGGTCTCCAGTATAAGAACACCGTCTTCCTCGCAGACAGCTATGGGTAATTGGTCAGGTTTCCTCACTCTGAGTCGAGTCTTCAGTCCTCGGATCTTCCTGGTCTTGTCTCTCCTTCACGCTCGCTCTCCAGCACCAGTCTTTTACCACTGACGATGCGTCCCTCGTCCTTGCTCGCGGCCCTCGCCACCGGCGGCCTTGTGGCTGCTGCCCCCAGTCCCAAGCAGCCACGCGCAGGGAGTGGTGATGTGAACCCGTTCCAGGGCAAGACACAATTCGTCAACCCCAAATGGGCGGCCAAGCTGGACCAGACCCTGCGGTCGTTCCTGTTCAAGGGGGATGTTCTCAACACCCTTAAGACCTGGAAGGTGCAGCAAACCAGCTCTTTCGTGTGGGTCTCCAAGATCGCCGACCTCTCCAACATCGACGACGCCATTGCCGACGCCCGCAAGGCGCAAAAGTGGACCGGCAAGAAACAGATCGTTGGTCTGGTGCTCTACAACCTCCCGGACCGCGACTGCAGCGCTGGCGAGAGTGCCGGTGAGCTGAAGAGCGGCGAGAACGGCCTCGAGCGGTACAAGAAGGAGTTCATCAAGCCCTACGCCGAGAAGGTGGCGGCGGCCAAGGACCTCACCTTCGCCATCGTTCTCGAGCCCGACTCGTTGGGCAACCTGGTCACCAACATGGGCATTGAGCTGTGTGCGAATGCCGCCCCCATCTACCGGGAGGGAATTGCCCACGCCATTGCCAGCCTGCAGTACGACCATGTGCATCTTTATATTGATGCTACCCACGGCGGCTGGCTTGGTTGGGACGGCAACCTGCCCCTGGCCGCCAAGGAGTTCGCCACTGTGCTCAAGATGGCCGGCGAGGGCAAGAAGGTCCGTGGCTTCGTCACCAACGTTTCCAACTACAACCCCTTCAACGCCGTCGTGCGCGAGAACTACACTGAGTGGAGCAACTCGTGGGATGAGTCTCACTTCGCCTCGTCCCTCGCCCCGCACCTCAAGGCTGAGGGCCTCCCGGCCCACTTCATCGTCGACCAGGGCCGCGTGCATCTTCCTGGTGCCCGGAAGGAATGGTAAATATCTGTGATCTCCAACCTGTTGCGCCTTTCAGGTGTGCTAATTGTTCTTCACAGGGGCGAGTGGTGCAACGTCCACCCCGCTGGCTTTGGTCCGGCGCCCACCACCAACACTAACAACACCGTTGTGGATGCCCTCGTTTGGGTCAAGCCCGGCGGTGAGAGCGACGGCCAGTGCGGCATGACCGGCGCGCCGAGGGCTGGAGAGTGGTTCGACGAGTACGCGCAGATGCTTGTGAAGAACGCCGATCCCTCCGTCTTTAAGTTGTTTTAATGAGCGGGTGAAAAAGAGCAAGCGTGGTGGTGGCGGTAGGGGTGAGTCTGTATATATGTTGTTGGATTTGTGCTATCCAGTAGAATGATCAACTCCTCGCCATCCTGCCGTCCACCTCAGGCTTTTTGGAGATTGGAGTTGTTCCTGTCTGGTCTCTATACCCAGATCTACACGCACCAATACCGAAAGCTTGTAGTTATTATTCACTCATGTCATTGCTACATTACATTGGTCGTTCTTACGGGCAACAGAGACTTGCCCTTGATATCTGCAGCCCTTCATAGTCCTCACCTCTCATCGTCTCCCTTGTCCATGAGAGACTCCGGTTATGCTCGCAGTGAACGCTCTACAACACTCAGGATATTCGGAAATGAATGGGGTCATTGAACGGACAGGCACACAACGTATTTTCGCTTGTCAACATGACGTAACGCGGGCGAAAACAGGGTAACGTTATTTATTGTCCCAAAACTGTGAATCAAACGCTAAACCGCTAAACTGGAAATCAATCATTGCTGAAACAGCCCGTATATAGGTATCCTAGCGCCATCTTCCCCTCCCCGAAAATCCCTAGTTCGTGAAGGCCGCCTGCCGGGGTTGGCTTTCTCTTCGACCCTCAATCGTCATGGATCCTGTGTGGCGCACCCAGTTATTGAAACCAACCGAGTTCCGAACACCGTCATATCGCCCTGATATGATGGCCTCCTTCCTTGCGGCGCCTTTAGTCATCGTCCATGCACTCGCTCATCAATAGAAGACGCCCTGGTCCTATGATGGGGCATCCCCTGATGGCTTGAAGGACGAGGCAGGCAACATCTCGAAAGCCTTGGGCGTGCCAGGTACTGGCGCTGAGCTTGTTCCGCTTCCTGATATGTTCAATGCGGCTGGACTGGGTTCGTTATCCGGTCTTGGTGAGGTCTGGGTCCCAACTCCTGCAGGTGATGATTCTCCAACCTCGACAGCCATTGGGCCCGCCAACATGACCCTGGCCCTCAACCAGACCAGAGCTACACCATCATTGCTCACATTGATCCCTGGAAGGCTGATACTGTCGGTCACCACGGCAGGCTGCACGACCATGACGATCGGTTGCTCGGTCTGGCTTTCTTGCGGTGAACCAGAAGGTTTGTCTTTCGGGGTCCCGCTCCGGTGAGTGCGAGATTCGACTTCGACTTGGGCGTGGCAAAGGGTGACAAGCGGGGTGGCGGCTCTGACTTCCTTGCTTCCGAGATCCTTCCAACCATGCAAGCGGTGGGGTGCTACACGAGTCCACAGTCTGCAGGAGAATCTCAACGCATCGTCGATCATGTCACTCAACATGCGCTCAAGCCGCTCGATTCCGCTCGCGTCTTGATCTTGTAGCAGGAACCGGGCGGATCCGCCAAGGAAGCGCTCCTTCAGCTTTCTCGCGTAGTTGAGGCGTGATTCAACAAACGAGCGACGGGATTCGTTTCGACCTGCATCTGCAACGTCCTTCAAGCTGAAGCCGCCATCGGCGAACAGTCACATCATCTCAGCCCGCCAATGATGGCCGGCTACTCTTGTGTCTTCATCCTGGGCTGTCGAAATCAGTCCAGTAGGTTAGCCATGATCTTGCGAGACAACTTGATGGAAGGCCAACAAACCGTCTGTGAGCATGCGAACAAGTCGCTCCATGTCAGGCTTCAGGGGAAGTCCGAGGAAAGATGCTCCGCTGCCGAGTGCCGGCATCATGGATGTGATCAGAGGCGGCGGGAATTGCGGGCTGCGTGGTGTCTGAACAGGGTTGCCAGGTCGGAGAGGTGCCACTTCGCTGAAGCTGTTCATGTCCATGCGGAAGCCAACCCCGGGCAAACTAGGTAGGGCTTTGGCAGGGAAAATGCCGGGGCTTTCCAAGGTGCCGAGCGACGCAGCGACGAACACCCACATGGGGGAGGCAATAATCTCGTCGCAGATAAAGTTGGCTAGCATGCCGTTGAGGAGAGTGTGCAAGGCCTCTTTGCCGCCGCCGACGATTTCCGGCGGGAGGGTCCCAGACTCTGTCATGCGGACAAAAGCCTTGACATCGCCACAAAGCTCTTGGAGTTGAAGGGGGTGAAGACCGTCGGCGAGCCGGTTGGCGTCTTGGTGCCCAAAGGTCGTTGCCCACTTGTTCCAGGCCCCATCTTGCTCATCGAACCAGGCCGAGATCTCCTCATCCGACAGGATGCCGGGCAATTTCTGCGGGTTCTTGCTGACAAGATCCAACAACTGTTTGCCCAACTCGCGCATCCGAGCCTCGTACTCGGTCTCTTTGCGACGTATTCCTTCGTTCCACTGACGTGCTCGGCGTTCGTGATGTTGTTTCAGCGCCGCGAGCTTACGGGTGAGATCTTGGTTCTCGGCCAGAAGTTCGCGTTCGGTGCGTTGCAATGCGGCGATTCGCTGATACAGGCTCTTGTTCTCCTGCAGCAGCTCGCTCTCGGAGCTCTGGGCCGCTTGTTGAGCCATCGACTGAAGGAACCTGTTGATCCGCTCTTCTGCCAGACCACGGTCGCTGGTCGCATTTCTATCGGTGGCCGTGCCTCGAGCGTCTTTTGCATTGCTCGATCTGCGTTGGGTGGACTGTGACCGGTCTCTGGACTCCCTCGGCGCCGTCGGAGTAGCCACGGACCTACTCCGGCTTTGATCCCTGCTCTCCCGCCCTTCGCGACCGTCGCGATTGTCCTGTCCCAAACGGGCCTTGCTGTTGGAGCGAGACTCGGAGGCGCCCACGCGAGACTGGCTGAAGGACCGGGCAACGCTCTCAACCAGCTGGGCCGCGGATGGGACATGCCCTCGCCCCAGATCACCGAACTCAACGATTGTGGAACTGGGGGTAAAGGGTTCTTCATCGACAGGCTGCAAGAGATTCCCGGGTATGGGGGTCAAAGGAGGGCTGTTGGACCCGAGTGCAAGTTGTGGCCCGAGGTTAAATCGCGGGTTGGTGTAGGCCGAGGACTGCTGTGTGTGGGAGTCGCAGAACTGTTGTGCGAACTGCTGCGTGAGGAAGCCGAGTCCCTACGCAGTACGACAATGGCGTCTTTCCGCGACTCGACAGGGGGGAAGGCCATGGTGGGAGACGTGGTTGCCGGGCCTGGTAGAGCTGAGTCTGACTCCATTGTTGAGACAAGTGTGGTCAAGATCATGACGCATGAAGAGGGATTCGGAAGGAGAAAGCCTTTGCTAGATCAGTAGCCGGTTCGAGTACCCTCACGAGATCGTCGCCCCTCGAACCTAGCGCCGGAGGACAGAAGGGGAGAGTCCCCTGGGCGGATTTGACCAGGGTTCCGACGAACCCCACTCGCGCCGGCCATGTCCTTTGGACACGGCTGGGGAAGGGAATCTGCAGACCTGCCCAGGGTGTTGGTTGGGAGGAACAGCGAGCGGCGGTGCTCACGGAAGTTTTCCAACCGCCGAAGCAAGCCCTTTGAACTTCACTGGTCGGACGGGGCATCTGCAAGTTCGGGTCTGCGAAATTAACTGGCGATGGCGGTGGTCCAAGAAACATGAAAACTAACACATACTGGTAGTCATCCTTTGAACATCGCTGGCAACGTTGTTTTTGAAATCTCCTAGTATTTTGAAGGCTCTCAGGAAGTAAGAGATCAGAGTCCCGCTTGTGGAATCATTTGACCTCAACTGTCCAAATCGTGGATCTGAAGAACAATGGCAGTGCTCGCCTCCGTCTTGTTCCAACGGGGGCAGCACACGGGAATCTGGGCCAGAGAGCAAACGTTAAGCGCCGGGCCCACTGGCCTGCTGGCCACTTAGCTCGCCATGCGGCTTTCCAGCTGGGCATTCAATTCATCTCATTCGTCGAAAGTGACAGTACACTTTCCAGATAACACCAAGCACTGTGCAAGTTCTGGTGTCGACGGGCACACAAATAAGCAACTCGCGCGCCAAACACACCATGCCGGTGCACTACGATCAGAGTCACGGGCAACAGCGCAATCCACGAATCGCCAGTACATACAGCGGCGTGCTTAGCCTTATATCTGTATCTCTCGCTCTCCACGCGTGGCGCAGCTTTGGTCAGCATTCAGACGCCTTTTAGTCAATAAGCTCAGGCTAGGCCGAGACCATGCCGTTGGCGGGGAAGCAAGACATTCTTAGTTGCCGTACTCCGTAATGGTACGTGCGGATTCAATCAGCCACACTGTTTTCAATGCGCCTGATTTGTTTCTGCGCGCCCGAGATGGTGTGATCAGCACGCTGGCGGCCAATGACAGCCGCTTTTGCTGTCCAGGGATGCGGCAGCCCGCCAGGAAACCACCTGGCCAATGTGGGCATCTCAGAAGCCTGGTCATCATGTTTGCCTTGCTCACTTGCAGGCCAATATTATCGCCAAGCCTGGTTGCTGCCTGACGAGCGTACAATCGCCAACCGTCGCAAAAGGGACGATTTCAAGCCGACAATTTTCGGGACAAGGGGAGCACAATCAATGCCTACGGAGGTACACCCCAAGATGACCCGTATGTCGTTGCATTTACACAGTAGTGCTCACCGCACCACGGCAGCAGAGACCGTGACTTTCCCCTATATACAGGAATTATGTACCATGGTTGGATCGACTATGCTACTGTCACGGGCATTGCCCGTGCCAGGGTTAGGGTCGCAGTCCTGTAGCTTCGATGAGGAGCTGGCAAGCCCAGTGGTGGGGCTTGCCAGTGGTCAGTGCGCAGCCCTTCTGCAGGGTTTCCCTGAGGTCTGCACCCTGCCCACAGTTTGGTTCCTCGTGCAACCACACCAATACTAGCTACCAAGGTAACGGACAAGGGGGTCGGATGGATTCGATAGAGCGGAGGCTCAACTAAAGTCAGTGCCTAATACAAGTTACCTAGTACCTTACTTCACGAGCTTTCCTAAGAGTAATGGTACCAAAGAGCTCAAGCACAGTCTCACTGTTTCCCCCGTCTACTCTAGTATTCTGAGTCCCTCCCTCAACTAATCTTTCTGCTCGTTTCCGGGGTTTGCACTTACTATGTGAAGCGTCTCAACAAAGCGCATTCCTGGGACAAGTAACCACTTCTACGTGGGCTTCGAATCTTGCCGCTAGAAGCCGAGAACACAGCTACTCAGATTACACCTGGTTCAGGGTTTCGACACATTGTAGGCAGCGGCAAGCACATAAATATGCCCCAAGGTAGTATACCAGTAGGAGTAAGAGAGTCAGAAGACAAATTCCTATCAGGCTCAATCAAACAGCCTGCAACGGCTGCTGGACATCGCTCAGTTCAGCCGCATTCACCAGCGACAAGCTCTTAGTGATCCTCCTAGCAAAGCCCTGACCATCATCCGCCAGCCCGACCATCATACGCCAGCGTACTGAAGCCGGGCGCGCCTAGGCGCGCAAGATCCGGCCGCTAAGCCTTTGAACTATCGTCCTCACTGACTTGCAGATAGCAAGTATGATCATGGTCATCGGAATTGCTGTGACCCGTAGGACCCAGAAGTCTGGGTTGGCGTTCATATGCTGGACCCCGAAGGTAAGGAATTGAGTTCCAAGATGGAGGAGCTGGCGCTGAAGGGGAGGAACACCTTGCCAACGATGGATATGAGGCGCACGGAGCGACTATCGTTGAGGTTGACTCGGCCGTCATATGCAGTGTTGATATGGAAGGCCTGCCCATGTTAGTCCTCAGCGTTCTTCAGGAGTGGATGAGACAGGAGAATGCGCGTACGAGATCTACCTTATCGTGTGTTTACGCTTGCATGCGAGTTGAGAGTCCTCATTGGCTGACTGAAACGGCTCGCCTAGGTGCGGCAAGAGACGGTGGGTGTTCTCCCACACTTGCCCCTTCTTCGACGCGACATCTCCTAGTCGTGCTCCAACAGCGCCATCTCCACGAGCTCGATGCCAGCGCCCAACGATTCGAGCATGAAGATGGCATTCTTTGAGCTCACGTAAAGAGGATAAACATCAAGGTCAGCGACAGAATCTTCTTTCGGTTGGAATAGCTGTGCGCGGCGGAAGAGCTCATTTTCGTTGGTGTGTTACAAGTGATTCCATTGTCTCAACTGGCGGCTGAAAAGCAATCAGGCTGACTGTGTATGCCGAATCGGGACATGCCCTGGAGTTGCAGACCCCGAGCCCCTGAGCCGCTATGGCAGGACAAACCCCTATTTGCGATTCGGGCTGTCTGTCGGATGTGTTCGGCCGTAGAATTCTGACAATGTAGTGCATCCAGACCCCAGAGCTGAACGAGGTATATCGGCGACCCATTTTCGTAGTGTGAGTGGGGAGCGCTCACTCTCGAGGCGGTCTTCACGAAGCCGCCAGGTGATATCCAAAGGAATGCGTGAAGTTTAGCTCGCGCTCCCATTACGAACTCGATTTGTAACGTTTATAAGTAGAGCTCGATAAGCATTTGACACTCGATCTCGCTATCTTGGAATTTACTCTCCAATGGGGTGAGTTAACAACCCATTGTTCCCAGGCCGTTAGCCGGGTTCTAGTAATTGATCACTAAGATATCATCTGTAACATGTAGTCGTTGCGGCTGGCGGTGTCACAGTAGAGCGCTAGAACGAACATGATACCGAGATCGAGCCTTGTCCATACGTCAAGTGCCGGATTTCACCGGCTTGCCATGGAACTCCCACCTGTAGCCGTGAGCGGCAAGGTGCATCATCCCATCTCATATAAAGATGTGTCAAGCTGGTGGACATACTTCATCAGCGGTAGTTACAGCTTGCGGCGATTCTCGAGTCCGCACTTCGACTTCCACCCCATGCCTTGTGACTTGGGGAAGAGTGCAAGAGCATTCTGGACCTCAGTAAATTGCATGCCACTCAATGAGGCTGTTGACGAGAACGGAAACTACGGCGTGTTAAAGGGCTTGAGAAGGAGATGTTGGCAAACCAGACGTAGGTCACGACGTTCAACCGTGACCGAAGACGATATTACAAGCGAGCAAATGTGGCTAACCAGTGGTATTCTCAAATTAGACATAAGTTACAGCATCAGCGACATTATCTTGGGCCACCAAGAATGAGATTGTTGTAGCAACAGAGAGCGCCTTTAGGACAACAAGGCACTCTATATCTGGGGCCAGCGTGTTCGGACCCTGTACGAGATTGTCTTGAGAAAGGAGACTCGGATGACCGTTTGACACTATGGAGCCAGAGAAAAGCACTTCCAGCCGTCCTCTACAAGGTCCGCGAAACTTACCCGCAAGTCATTGTTTCCCCTTGTGTGCTTGGGAGCACTCCGCAACATCTCGACAGCTCATTGAACACTACAGCAACCTTCACCCTGGCCGGCCCGAGCCCGTGAAGATTGCATTGGAGTGCCTGATGAGCCGCAGCTTCAGGTCTCTGCACGCTGTAGACAGGGTGTACGTGTTGATGGACCTGCTTCGGATCCGTCCAGCCATCGACAGACTCGTCGTCCCAAGCCTTTGCGCGCGGTTGTCTCTCCTACAGGATAGCGACCGCCTCATCGAGCGTCTGGTCTGCCTGTCACCCGACAAGCAAGATCAGAACTGGGAGCTAATGACAGATCAGTACAAGGCCAGGCGTTTTAACATTTACCCGGGCACACAAATCTGCGGCGTCGGCGAGACTGACACGGTCATCGGAACGGTGCCAGAGGCGCGCAGATCGAGTGGTCCATCGAGTTTCACTCCAGGGCGCACTCTCCAGCGGCGTACACGAAGCGCATAGCGTCCTTCTACTTTTTGACCGGGCCACCCGCGTGTTCTTCGTCGGCGCCACAATCGCTGCCGTCACCGCACCGCCTCCTGGCTATATCGTCTAATCCTGCGTACGGGGTAGCTGTTGCGATCACAGTTATTACTCTGCTGTGCTTCATCCTCCCGAAACCATTGTGAGAGATCGAGCCTTGTTCCTTCGGTATTGGGAGGCCATGTGCCCTTGGAAGCGATCGAGGAGATATCCTCGACACATGTAGAAAGACGGCCCGCGCCTGCGCTGGAGCGCAGATAGCTCGCCGCTCTCACGGCACAAACAAGACGAGCCCATTCACGAGCGCGCTGAGCGGTACAGGTACCACAACATTGACAATGCTGGTACAGTGGACAACATCGCCGCCATCGATGCCTACACGGCGAAAGCAGTTGATTCTATTAGTCCCTGTGCCCGAGCCTCTTCACACCCCCAACAACGGCGGGCAGTACTGCCACTACCGCCCGACCTCGCCTCTGGCCGGGCCGCAAGCACGAGAAGCCCATGGGCAAGATGAAGGTGTTTACGCTGGTCGATACCTTTAACCTAACGGTGACACTCTTTTTATACGGTGTGGCCACCAACGGCGCTAGCCGAGGGCGGCAGCGAGGGCGGCATCAAGCGGGCCATCGCGTGTTCTTTTGATGTCACCACAGGTACACTCTGCCGCGAGACGGTGTTGTGCATCCCTTCGCAGAGTGCCGATTGCATGGAGGGATTGCCGCGGCCCAGGTTGGGCTTGAGGTGGCCCTACTTGGAGGGAGATGTGCGTCAGAGTGTGGCAGGTGAAGGTGTTGAGATGGCACAAGTCGCGCCTGGAGCGCATTAGCTGGACAAGTTCTTGCAATTGGTTACAGCAGTCTCGAGTTCCTTTATGAGCAAACCTTGCGAATGGCGTTGTCAAAGACAGAAAGCTGTTTGGGAGAAGAGGGGATTGGTCGTAACCGAGATAAGATAAGAGGGTAGTGGGGCGTGTGGCCGTGGTCCACTGTTCCTTCCAACCAACGCATCACCTTTTTCTTGTCGCTCTCAAAGCACCGTTCCTCTACACACATTTATCCCGTAATCCCATCACGATAGCGAGACTACACGTGTAATGACTTCCGATTTTTCCCACCATCAATCAACACGCCGAAAGGAGCTAACCAAACAACAACGGATTCGTCACTTGGATTTGAGCAAATGAGCTGGTCCGGATTAGCACGTGGGAAAGTGTGGGGTGGACTATGACGTCTTTGCCCGGCCCGCCCGGCTTCCTGACCTTGCCGACTTGGCACCACCGAGCTTATCACTCAGACGGCATGGAAACAGAACGGGCTTTTCGCGCACGTGTGCTCTTTGCTCAACCGATCAGCCTGTGCGCTAAAGCCCTTCATTCTCTCATTCTTCAACCCCTCAACCAGGAACCATTCCTGCGGGATTACGCTTTTGACGGGAAAAGAAGTCATCTTGCATGTTGATGCCGTCTGCAGCGCAGGGTCCCAGAGTGCGGTGGTGCTGTTGCGAGAATCCACACCCAGGGGACTCTGAAATGTGCTACTGTGTGCTGGCTTCACAACGGACTCCCGCCTTCGGGCCTGGTCCTTGTTGACAGGAAGAACCCGCCCATACTTCACCCCTCGTATATACTGGCGCGGGGTCCTGGAATGACTCAAATACCAGCAAAACGCAATCCTATTGACACAATCCAACAGCTTCCATCCCACGCTAGGAACCTAGCGTAGGTGTGGATCTGCTGCAGCTCGGCTGCCTGTCTCGAAGAGTAATTGTACAACTTGATCAGCTTCCTCGCAAGACTTTTAAGCTGTGGTCATTCCGCTAAGCATTTAAAGGCAATACCGCCCACCTGGATTCTGGTTGAGCCCTAAGCTTGGACTGCGATTGCTGTGAGACCATGCTAGCCCCAACGGTTTTCGTTGCTGCCGTCGGGCTCGCTGGCCCCGCCACGGCCTTTTATTCTGGCAACATCAACTATTTCTCGCCATCCCAACACCACCCTTCCCTGGGAGTGTCGATTCGCAAGGTTGCAGCACGCACCTATACCGCCTCTCCCTGGACGGCGAACCAGCTCAACTTCACCCATGGAGTCGCTAGTGGCGATCCGCTCGAGGACTCAGTCATTCTCTGGACCCGCGCAGCACCTACGCTCGACAATGACGGCAGCAACGTTACCGTAACCGGATACGTCGACCTCTATAGCCATGAAACGGACGCGTATGTGAAAGCCAGCAAGGCGCCAGTCTGCGTCGAGTGGAAGGTTTCAAACAAGAAGGATCTCTCTCACGTCGTCACCAAAGGCACGGCATACACCAGCTCTGATATTGACTTCACTGTCAAGGTACGGCACCGTTGGTGGACATGTCCACAACAGAGGCTCACATGGATACAGGTCGAAGCAAAAGGGCTCAAGCCCTTCACTCAGTACTGTGAGCAATTGTTCGCCTCCTACTGTCTGACTTGGGCATGTTTCTGACTGGAGTCATGGTAGGGTATCAGTTCAACATCTGCAACTCCAACAAGACGAGCCCGCTTGGTAGGACCAAGACCATTCCGAGGAAGAAGGACAAGGCCCTCTCGGCCATCAAGTTCGCCATCTATTCGTGCAGCAACTACCGTAAGTCTCAGTGGCCTCGAAACCCGTCGGGATTGGGATCGTTTCCTCACAACGCCTCACAGCCTTCGGCTTTTTTAACGCCTATGGTAACCCTGTCCGGAAGGATTCGGTTGACTACGTCATACACCTTGGCGACTACATCTACGAGTATAAGAATGGCGAGTATGGCTGGGGCAATTCCTTCGACCGCATCCCGCAGCCGGATCGTGAGATCTACACGTGCGTCCATCCCAACTCCCACTCTCCCGTTATACTCTTCGTCAGTCTGTCCTCTAATGACTGATCCTTAGTCTCTACGACTACCGTAAGAGAATTGCCACGTATCGCACTGATTTGGATCTGCTTGCGAGCCACCAGCAGTTCCCCTGGATTCCTGTCTGGGACGGTATGCCTTGATGATTCTCTCATGGCAGTGGCACAGCTGACACCCAGATATCAATCCAGACCACGAGGTTGCCGACAACACATATCGCGATGGGAGTTCTGAGCTCAACAACACCGAGGACTCTTTCGTTCGGGATGGCGGCGTTGCCGTTGATCAACGCAAGATGAACGCCGTTCGCGCTTACTTTGAGTGGAGTGAGTATTCCGGGTTCGTTGGATCGTAACTATTGCCATTACAAGATGCTCATCCTCATCCACAGTGCCTATCCGCCAGGTTGACATGGACGACAATCTCCGCATCTGGCGCGATTTCCAGTTTGGGGATCTGCTTGATCTCATGATGCTGGATACGCGACAGTACGACAGGAGCATCACCGACCTGTACTGGAACACGGACTACGTGCATGCCATCAGTAACGATGCCAGCCGGTCGCTCATGGGTCCGCGGCAAGAAGCGTGGTTCTACCGCAAGCTCCGCGAGAGCTCATCCCGGGGCGCGGCCTGGCGTATTGTCGGGAATCAGATCATTTTCAGCCGCATGAACGAAAGCCTCGCCCTCGGAAACGAGAACCCGCTCAACTACGACCAGTGGGACGGCTACCAGGCCAACCGTAACCGTACCCTCAACACGCTGTACGAGAATAAGATCAACAACACCATCTTCCTAGCCGGCGATTCGCACGCCTCCTGGGTGTCGGACCTTACCTGGCTTGACACCAAGCCTTACAACCCTGAGACGGGCGACGGAGCCATCGGCGTTGAGCTGGCCGGCACAGCGGTCAGCTCGCCCTGTCCCGCGGGCCAGAACATCAGTCTCGCGGCTGCCAACCTCGGCTCGGCGTGGCTCACCGGCGCCAACAGTGAGCTGCAGTGGCAGGATCTCTTTTACCGCGGCTACTTTGAGCTCTCGGTGGGCTATGACGCCGTCAACGCGAGCTTCTTTGGCTTGCCGTCCGTCACGACACGCAATGGTTACGAGATACCGCTCGCCAACTTCACTGTTAAGCATAACGCGAACCGTCTCGACCGGGGGTTGGGGTCGTTTGCTAACAAGCAAGTTGAAAGTGGGAGCTTGAAGGGGGGGAGGACGGTGGGAGCCAATCTGACGCATGATACTGAGACCGGGAAGTGGTTTGTGTTCAATGGAAAATAGCTTGACTAGGACAGTGCTGATCGTTGTTGTTGTTGTTCTTGTTAGCGCTTAACGTCTACGAGGAAACAGGCCGAAGGCCCAAAGTTACCTCAAGGCACTGCATATAGGACGGGCCAATGCCAGGGTTTACATACGGAAGTACCATCAACAGAGCTCCAACCTTCCAAGTATCTACAGGACGACAGCCAAAGCTGCGGGTTGCGGGAGCTCTACACCATGACGTGGAGGAGAGGTCCGAAACGGGGTCCAGAACGACGTCTGGTACCTGCCGAGGGCCGCCAAGGTTCTACACCGGGCTCTCAACCCCGTCACACTGCCGACCGACCACGACTGAGGCCATAGAAGCCGGCAAGGCCGCCTTTCAGCCGGAATTATCAGATTAAGAAGAGCATCTCATGTCACAGCGGGACAGGCGGACAATCCAATGACAATTGTATTCGGGCTAAACTACAGTCTAAGCTCTATTCCGTCAGGTACGGGCAGGCTTGATTGTCAAGACGTAGCTCGAGGAGCTATGAACAGATCTCGCGGCAGCGAGGTGCAGAATATTTAACCCACAGGGGCCCGTGCTTTCCACATGCCGGGTTCCACCCGTGGGTCCTAGCAGGCACGGCGCAATCGCCGTGACATCTCATTACCTCCTCATTTCTATATCGTGTTCTATCACTCAAGCAGTGTGCCAATTACTACTTGACCTCGAGGCTTGCTGAAACTAGGCTCCCGCTTATGCTATCTGTGTCTGAGCTGGCTGTGTACGAGTCGTTTGAGAACCTGCGACGCTGCCTGGCGAGAGGTGTTTATAGTACCGGTATAGGAAGGGGGTGCGTGGTATAGGGAACGTGTTTGTAATAGACTAGTCGATAGTGCAGGAGAACGGAAGAGAAGTATCTTGAGAGAGCGTGGATGCAGTGAAGATCCAGGCTTGGGTACAGCGGTGATAAGAGTTTCAGGTAAAGTAGCTGCAAGTTCAGAGCAGGGTCGGGGAGTAAGGGGGACGAGCTAAGAGGTGAAGGGTATAGTCGTATATAATGAGGGAAAGGAGGGTTTTCTCCTACAAAAGTCAGGGCGCTCTATATTCCCTATGTGATAGGTTGGTATTAGCTTTAGGGATAATGACCGAACTTCCCTACTTGGAGAAGCAGCACGTTTGTTTGAATTGCGGATTTTTATCGTACTAAGCTTAAGACCACCTACTAGGCCCTTACGATGTTGATCTGTGACGAATCTCAAAGCCCCAACTTCTGAAAGGGACTCCTGAAGGTTATATTTGACAACGGGGTGAGGTTCGGTGAAGCCAAGCGTTCACAACAAGCAATGTCCAAGGGTACTAACAATCTTGCACTTGAGTTGCTTACTGGAGAACTCCCAGAGTCCTCCAGAACGAGTGACTATATACTGACACGATTCTTCGAGTGCTCGCAGTGCTATGCCTTCGATCGCCCCGAGCACCTTGCATGCTGCAATGTGCTCGTTTGTCTTGGCGTTATAGCACTCTAGCTTCATCCTCACTGGTCTGCCTTGCTTCCTTAAGTAATTGGTTCGGGCGTTCCTTGGGCCCCGCATATGGCCTTTTGGCATGCGGCCTGTTGTTAGTTAATTCGTGACATGATCCCCATGATATAGATCGGTTCTGTTGAACTGAGTGGGTTCCTTGGCACCAAGATTCAGGAGCTGAGCACTGATGTTCAATGCGAGACTCTCAGTCAACACAGATCCATCACAATGACGGCTGGTTGACGGATTTGGAGACTCTCGGTCAAGATGGGCTTATCTTTATGAAGCAGTTCCTGACATAAACGCCATATCATGGCACACTGTCTCTATGTAAGGGGGTAATTCCCCTGGGAGGATTAGAGAGGAAAATTTTTTCCAAAAAGGAAAAGGGACATTCTGAGGCACCCTAACCCACTATCTTGATCCTTCATCTGTGTGGTCACTCTGGAATTGTAACGGTCCCAGGAGTATATTGCAACTAGCTGGTGACGACTCTACGAGTTTGTCTCGAATGGAGAGAGAAGAAGAAAAGAGAGAACTAGATGACAGGAAGAGAGGGCAGCTCTTATATGCTCCGGAACACACAGACACTGCCTGCCTCAGGATGACGTTATCATGATACCACGGCCGAGGGTTGCCGAGGCCATCATGGGCTCAGCCCATCACAGGAATCGTGACTCCAATTCAAGCTTCATTTCATACCTCAATCTATTCAATACCACTTGGTTGGTCTAAGCTAACTCGAGCATGTAACTGTTGGCTGCCCAACAAGGGGCTGTCATCCTGTCCCATGCAAGGGCTCGAGGGCTCAGGGTTTCAAAGGCTCAGGGGTTCAGGGGCACTAGGATGGATGGAATTTATTTCGCCCGGAGGCACGAAGCCTAAAGGGCCTTGGCACGCTAACTACATCCAATTCCTTGACGTTCAACCATCAACTCGTACAAGCCCTCTACTCTCTCCCCTTTTTTCACGCCACCTGTTGCCTCTTGACTTCGTTTAGCAGATCGACTTGGAGGCTGCGTTCTCCAAGTGTTCAGCGTCCTATCTTCAGCAGCTAAAGCGGGATCTGCTGGAGGGGCACTAGGGTGCGGTCGCCTGGGCAACTGTTGGTGGGAGTCAGGTGACTGGTTGGTCCGTGCGCTGATGGGAGTTTTTCCCGGGATGCCTGCAGCACCTCGAATTGCCCAACTTTCCACACCCACCGCGGCCACGCAGCAAAGTGCGCGGGCGTGCAGTCGGCGTAGTTAGATAAGGTTTTTTTTTTGGAGCTTTCGAACGGTGCCAGTTTTGAAGACTTTACGCAAGTAGTCGATAATCCAGCCACTGAACACGAGTAATAGGTGGCGTCTGTCTGCATTATTGCGGCGTAGGACTCTTCCTACTAGAATTATAGACAACTGATTTTTGTTAGCCAACATAGTATGCCGTCCGCGATCTGGACGTTTCCATCTAAGGGTCCTTGTACCGTTTGGCCATGCCAAAGCAATAACGTGCACCGTGTTAGCAGCTGGCGTTCCTGGCCTCCCAAGTAGGGAATTGTCGGGCTTGAGTCTCGGTGAACAAAGCCTTTCGGGTGAACAAGTTTCAGCACATCTAGCTAAGAAGTAGGTTAAACACCGGGTATTTCAGGATTAGCATGTGTATATACCATACACTTGGCTAATATAGCCACTCTCTTGAGTGTAAACCTCCGCTCGCGTTCTGCAAAGATGATCTCTAGAGACGATCTAAGAAGATCTACTACAAATACGTCATGAAGGTGTAAGGGACCGAAAAATATTCGCGCGGGATGCCGTCTACTTGAGTTTTCACCGCGGTCGGCGAGCATTAGGTAAGTGCGATGCTCGTCCCGTAGCTGAAGAATTTCGCATGTCCTTGGTTCCTCGATTCAGGGTAAGTCTCCGCGACATTGTCAGTAGAGGTACGCTACGTACAAACTTGTTAGTCACATATAGCCGGCTCTCTCTCCGGCTTCCTCCCCGGCTCTCTCGCGGGAGTTTCACGCCCTTAAAGACGGCTCCGAACGACCCTTCGCCCAGTCTCATCCCAATGCAGTACTTGTTGGAGCCTAGGAACTCCATGTTGCCTCTATCATCATAGTGAGCGGTGTCCACGACATCCAGTGATGGCACCAGGGCATCGGCCTCGTCATGCATATCGTACAGAGAGGCAACTTGAAGCCTACGACCAGGGCGCGCTGAGGTGTGAAGTGAAGAGTAGCACGTGGGTTGCCGAGCAGCGCCACCACTTTTTGTCTTCTGCCGGTTCGGACCGGCAGTCATCAGGCCCATCCGCCTCTCCAGGACGGTGCAGATCCAAGGTGGCACTCTGTTGGAAGACCAACAGCCACGATTCCACGGTGTTACGCTTTATGGGAGCCCTTAAAACAGTGAACTTTTCGAGTGCCCGGGACCAGCCCAGAATCTGTCAATTGAGGGTTCTGTCCTTCTCCTTCTCCAAGTTGCCTGGGTGCCTCCTAAACCTTATGTAAAAGCTGTGTATTACCCCTGACCAGGGTACGATACCGGCAACCCAGTTTTCGAGTTTCAAGTGCCTTCACTTCCAACACACTCGTAGCCGCACATCTGACGTCAAGTTTATTTCGCTCATTCTAAACTAACTACCCCTTTTTCCTATCCTAAGCTAATTCCTTTAATAGCTCTTATCACGAAATTGCGCCTATTACAGATTTCAGCTTTTCTCTTGCCTCTGCTCGATCGTACCGCGACTGCGAGCAGGGCTGCAGGTCGGCAGCCAACAAGGGTTGCAAGACCTGCGCCGCATCAGTCGCTTGCTTACGCCATGCGAGCGCGATGCAGGCAACTAATTGGTGAGTGACAGAAAAAGTACGTGCATGGATGGCAGAAAAGGTACGTATTACGTGGCAGAAAAGATACGTACCTGTGCGGCAGAAATTGTGCACAACTTCCGGAAGCTTCAGCGATCGCTGTCTTTCCACCTTTCACGGGTTCAAGTGCCATTGGGAATTCCAGGTTGCCTGTTGCTGCGGTCGTAAGGTCAGACTACTATTATTGAAAGAGAATGAATCGAGATGACTAGTTAGAGAAGATACCGAGGCAAAAAGTCTTTACATTATCTCAACGTTATCTTACTATTTCTCAATAACGTGATTCACCATTGACTCGGACACCCCATTGAGTCGGACACATTTTCCGGACTATGCCACTACAAACTGCCAAAAGTCCACCAGAATCTGATGCAATCAATTGAAACTACTCAGAATCGCTTAAGCTATCTATTTCTCCAGCCTCCGAGCATGTCCTTGCATTATGGCCAGTCTTGCGGCAGATGCCACAGAGCCGTAAACCCGTCCGACGCCTCTTTGATGGTCCTTCAATTTCCTCCTCAACGCGCTCTTCCTCGTCCACCATACCTTTCTCTGCCATTTTTTCCCTAGCTTGGCTTCCATT